GCATTTCTTGCCAGTCCAGAAGAACCAAACCACAACAGCAATTAACAGGAACCCAGAAACGGCAGCAACAAAGATCATAGAGTCTTGTTGTAGAAAAGACTGTCAGGCCAGAACTGCGATGATAAAGAAGTGAGCGTGTCAATCCGATCTACAATCACAGATTAAGAACAGCTGAGTAAATAAACATTAATATCAGCATTTTCACACCTGAAAGAGTGTGTTGGTGTCCAGATGTGTGGTCTGGTTGCTGATGGTGTTGTTGATCACACAGCTGTAGGTGTTGTTATCCTGATAATCCACCTCCAGAGGTAGAGAGAGACTGATGCTGAGATCAGACACACTGATGCTGGACAATACACTGTTTCCTTTATACCAGGAGAGACTCGCAGCACTCACATTCCCCACTGAATACAACACTGAACTGTTGTACTGTGAGGATGAGGAACACTGAGAAGAGTTAAAGATGAGGACAGGAACAGGCAGACAAGCTGAAACATTAAAAAAGAAAATGTATAATGATATTAGTGAGTTAGTGAGTGTCATCTTACTGATCATTTTGTAATATAAAATAAAGAAAATCTTGAAGGCCAGGATGAAGGTACTCTACTCACCATAAACAGAAACACTAAATGTTTTTGAAGAATGTTTTGCGCCACTTAACTTTACTTCATAATCTCCAGCATGTACAGATGTGATGTTCGTGATGGTCAAAAATCCAGTTTGATGGTCCAGCTTCAGTCTGCCTCTGAATCTCCCATCCACACCATCAAATGTGAAGACATTTTTGGCCTCTCTATTGATTTTAGCTATTAAAGACTTCTCGTTTCTTAAACTTCACAGAATATCTTCATCTCCGCCAGTAGCACCAGTTCTTAAAGTGACAGAATCTCCCTCCAGCACTGAATAGCTTTCTTTTGTCTCTAAACCAAACACACCTAGCGAACAAAAATAAGTGCATGTCAGTTTATATTTTTGCTTTTATACAGTAGATAATGTTTTAAAAAAAAAGATTAACAAAATGAAGCCGTAATGGACCCTTTTCACATTTCGGGTTTCTCAGCAGCGCAAGTCATCATAGTTGGTAGACTTAAGGACCGGTCAGATCACACGAATTTGTCATGAATTCAGCACTGTTTCCTTGACATTGGTGTCGTAAGGATTCATTAACAACAACTGGGAGTCGTAACACAAAATTCAATAATTTATTCTCGTGTAATTATGCATAGTTCATGACAACCGATATCATGCCTGCAACACCTCCTGACACCAAACGCAGAAAATAATCTGCAGATGTACTTATGGGTGGGTCATGGGTGGATAAGGTCAGTCATTGGTTAACTACCTTTTCTAAAATACTAAGGTGTTTTAAGCAATTTTATCTGACAGGCTGGCACAAATATGCAGACATCTCCATTCTCACAATGAGTTTCTGAGTTCTCTCATCCTTCCAACAGAGTTTGTTCTTCCGAGGTAATCTGGGAACATGTTCAGTGCTGCGAATACATTGCAAAAGTATCTCCTGCTTATTTAAATTTGTCATTAATAGTAAAAACTGTTTAATATAGGCTTTTCTGAAACTGTGAATATTTCACTTCCATTTTATTTAGGCTGGACTATTATTTATTTAACAAACCAGCACAAACACAAGGCAATTCGTGCCTTGGCACATATAGCGGACTTGTTTTGAAGCGCTTCACCTTAAATGTTATTTATTTTTGTTTATAGAAATCTGTCCAACAAAAGATACATTAAAATTAAGATAACAATTATACCAAATAAAATTCGTAAAAAAAAAATATGAATTATAGTTTTGTTTGTGCTCCTTTGCTACTCAACTACATGGGTGGGTGATTTGTTTAGCTCTGAGGAAAATAAGGATTTAATGAATGCTTCACTGTGATTGTTGTATCACAAATCTCAGTTATATATTTGCTATTTTTTAATATGTCATTATTTTATTATGTCTTGAGCATCTTATTTTTCCTCGGTGCTGATGTGCTTTCATTCTCTCTATCTCACTCACGAAAAGTTTAGGCGAGGGAGTGTTTAATAATCAACACTGGGAGGAAAATATACATTTAGATAATAAAAAAAATATTTATATTAAAAAGGAATCATAAGTTTGATCATATCCATGTCGCATTGAATGCCCTTACATAATGTAGTTATTAGTTTTCTGCAAGCATCAGTGTTTATTGAGATTGACATAAGATAAAAAAGAAAGAAATTGAGACAAGAAATATTGTTCTAGCAACACTTGTGACTACTTTGGGAATTAACGCTGGTCGTAGACTGATGTAGTCTGGCACATTTGTTACTTATGACAAGTCAAGATTTTATCAAGAAAAAAATCACATAATCTGATCGTGACTTTCGTAACCAACAATAACAATCATGTGGTCTGACCGGAGCTTTAGAGCACAGTGAATGGAGGAGCACAACAAACAGTTTTTTTCAGTCCTATTTGCTGAAAAAAGAAAAGAAAAACACCATGATGGTGTTATAAAGACTTTTAGAAAAAGGAAAAAAAAGAATAGTGTGAGTCTGATAATGATAGCTAGAAGAGAGAATAATGTCAAATTTACTGTCCTGCCCCATAGATGCTGCTTTAGAAACACCTTGCATAAGCTGTAATTTGTTTTTTGAAATTCATTGTAAAGATTATATAATACATAGGCCTGTGTAAAATCATATAAATGTTCATACATTTTACAAAAAAAATCTAAATATTAAAAACTTTCAAGGATTTAGTAAGCTAAATCTGATGATGACCGTTAAACGGGTCATAACAGGCTTGTGAAAAAGGGTCTATAATGCTTTAGAACTTACCAATCAGACGCCTCAAGCACAGGCATGACAAAACAAACACAGGAAACATTTTCTTCAGCAGCTCTGTGTCTGGTGTAAAAGCATATCCGCTGAAAACACTACTCAACTTTTTGTGAATTCACCCACAGCAGAATTTGACCCTCCTCCAAATGATCATCTTTCTCTTTTTAGAGCTTTAAATTGTTTAAATAAAAACAGGATGGTTAATATTTATCATTTAACAGTGACAGTTTTTTTATTATTATTTGGGATGTTCCAAATTTAGAATGCAAATCAATTTTAAATTGATCACTTTTGATTTAGGATTGATGTTTTGCCATGGAAACTAAATGTAATAATGTTAAAAGTTCTAAAACTCATTCAAGAGAGACAGTTGAGACATTCTTACCAGTGAAAATGTTAAAAGGTATTGAAAAGCCTCATTAAATGTCCTTTATGCTATATGCAAATTAAAGAGTGTGCTATTGTGAAAAATATTTCTTAATATTTGTGGTTAAAAAAGTTTTTGAATGGTTTTTAATTGTCTTATATATATAGAGGTCTGACAGTAGCAGCTCAGCTTCTACATCAAACTGAAACCAGCTGCGGTCTGATTTCCTTAGAATTGTGGGTTTGTATTTTGGTGGACAAAGAGCTTGTACACCAGTGTTTAGAGCATGGGTGATTAGTTTGTAGGTGAAGAGCCATTTCCTGCCATCATGAACCTTAAAATAATGCATTCAGCACAGAGCATGAAGTCAAATCAAATGGTCAGAGGTCAAACAGGAAAATTCATAGCTAACTTTACATATAAATTACTAACGACAATTTACAACAGTAAGTTGACTTTTTTTTGCATTCCACTGTTGCATTCTTATACAATATAATTGTGTTTTTAACTTTATGAAAGCAAAAAAAAATTACATTTGCAATGAAATTTTGATAATACGTTAGATGACAAATTGTGCTTTGCGGTGACAAAATGGTTGAGGTAACCCTGAGTTTTGAGTTTGAAGAATGTGTAAATGTGGCCATCTGGCGGTCAACGGGAGGAATTCTCATTATAGGGTGAACTATTCCTTCAAGAGAAGAATGAAGGTTGCAAAAACTATGGGATCAACTATAGGGTCAAATTTTTAAAAAATTATTTTAGAAATAGAAATGATTATGTGGGGGAAAGAGAGAGGAGATAATAAGGATGAGATTTGGACACTAGATTAAACGCGTCATAAGGATCCACACTATATAGTTGGTGTTTGTCAACCGCGAACAGAATCTCAAGAAATAAAAGAAGGGAGAGAAAAGGAAAGAGAGAAAAGGATGAGGAATGTAGTTTGTTTTATGTATGTTTTATGTACAAAATTATATAAATGAATTTTACAGTTATGTTAAAATAGATGCATCTAAGAGCTTAAATAGAGTAGGTGTGGCTTTTACAGTTCCTGAATTTAAAAAAAAAATATCAAGAGTATTACTAAGAAAAGAATGAAGGAAAGGTGGCAAAAATAAATAAATAAAAATGGGATAATAAAAAAAGGGCCGGTGGTTTTACAAAATTCAACAGAAATTGGAGAAACGAGAAGTGTAGGAAAAAGAACAGGAGAGAGGAGATAATAATATCTAGGATGAGATTTGGACGCACAAAATTAAATAGTACACTTTTTAAAATGGGTAAACATGGTACAGGACAATGTGAGTTTTGTGGACAAGAAGAGATAGTTGAACATGTTATATTACACTGCATGAAGTATTAAGGGAGAGGAGAGAACTTAGTAGGAATTTTGAAGATATAAAAGTTCAGTCCAAATCAGATGATAATCTTAAAAAATAACTCAGGAAATAATGTTTTACCCTTTTATTGCAATATCTTAAAACTTGTCATTTATGGGGGAGGGTTTAATAAAAGAAAGCATGTGGGGGTTAAGTCATAATGATCCACACTCCATACCAGTTGGTGGCGGAAACCATTTTGTTGTTTGTCAACCGCCATTAAATCGAAGCAGAAGAGTGCAAAGCTTCTGGCATCTGAAACAGGTGTTTATGATAGGATATAATAATTTAAGTTAAAAGGTAAAGGGAATAAAGTTAAATATAACCAAGTAGTGGAAGTAAAAGTAAGAGTAAGAGCAATGTGGTGGTTATTATTATTATTATTATTATTATGGTTTTAGTGTAAATAGTAGTATGAGTGTATTATGGTTATTATTATAACATGGGAGTAGGGGAGAGGTGTGTATGTAAGTATGTATGTGTGTGTATGAGAAGGGGTGGGAAAGAGGGAAGTGGGGGGAATGATTAGTCTGTAAACCTAACCTCTGGTCCACACTCCGGAGCTGAAGGTGGCGGTAATGCACCAAAACGCTGGATGCCAACCGCCGTAAAATTATTAGAAGAAGAAGAAGAAGAAAAACAAAGCTTCTGGCAGACGGGATGGACGCGTGGGTGGATATAGCAAACAGTTGAAACAGTAACGTTACAAGTCGAGCCTAAACGATATAAGCTGTGTTTTTTGCATCTGTTTCACACAGGTTTAAGATGTAACATGCAATTACAAAACGAGACGGGTTTGTTTTGTTGTTATGTTTGTAGTAACGTTGGTTTCGTTTTTACTGGAGCTAATGAGCTAACGTTAGTGGAACCATTGAATTAATCGAAATGTTAAAAAGTGGAGGGAAATATGTTTGGAAGCTTTGTCACACGATGTCTATTGTGTGTTTTTCTCTTGAATGGTAAGCCATTAATTTATGACTTGTCTTTATATGATTAACGTTAGCTAATGTTATGTTGTCGACAGGGCCGGCCTAAGCAGGATTTTATTTGGGGCCCCCTTGGTGCAAACAATATGACAAATTATCGTCAATCCTTGATTATTCGCACACTATACATTTAAAACCCATATTATCGATTTTATTCGCTGTAGCTGTGTTGCTTACATCGAAAAATATTTGTTTTAAGACAATTCTAAATATTATTCTGCAGAAACAACTTTCTATTGATCCCACTTTTTTATAGGACTACTTGCCACAAATCTAAACAATTACACACAAAATATTAATATGAGCTGGCAGAAACAAAAACAGCTGGAAGTAGCCAATAGCATACATTTTAAATATTTTTTAATATTATTCAGTCACAAGATGCTGCCAAATGTGACAATGAAGATAAATTTTTTTTAATTGGATATAAATGTTAACACTGATAAAAAAAAAATCGTATTGTATTTTGTAGTTCAAATAACTTAAATCTGTTTAAATTAAAATCAAATTTAATCGGGAAGCATTTTCTAGACATACTCGCATATCAATCAAATTACTAAATATGTACAAAAATTGTTCAGTTTTCAGAAATAATTCTAAATAAAGTGAATTTTTTTTTTGGTAGAACAAATTAATCTGCCAATGAGATAAGTAAAATAATCTTATTTAAAACCTAAAACAATATATATATTTTTTTATTTACCCTAATTGTCAGATTATTGAGCTTTTTTTTTTAATGAAAAATCCACATAATTTTGACCAAAAAATCTGTCCAGAAAATGTTCATTGGTTTAAGAATTTTTAGTTATTTGGACTAAAAACCACACAAAAACTAAAAGAAAGAAAATCATGTTTGCAGTGTATTTACCAATTGTATACATCAGAAGCTTATTTTTTTTATCACCAAGTTTATGAAAAAGAGTTTATGACTTAAAATAGCACATCTCTATCACAGCAGCAGAATCTCAAGTTACTGGAATATGCATTTAAGAAAATAAAACTGTCAAAATAGTAATTTATTGCATTCTGTAAACGTAAAACACTTATTACAACTTGACGAACTAATTTTATGTAAACATGGAAACATTTTATGCTTAGCCCTGGTTTATTTTTAATTAAAAAAAAAAAATTATTTCACACTATTTTTTCAACTGATCAGAATGCTCTGAGAGGTGAGCACAGACTCCTCTGAGCAGTGGAGAACATTAGTTATTTACTCATCTATTTAAGTTTTTTAATTCCCCTAATTTTTTTTGCCAAAATACCATCTACAAGACTTTGACAAGGTCTATAAGAGTCAAATAAACGCAAGGCCCTTCAAATTATATGTTCATGTCCTATTGATATCTTTATCTAATATATTTGGCGGAGTTAAAAAGTTTGAGCACATATAAGAAGTTGCACTGCCTGCGGGCACGCGCGAGCGATATAGCGAAGTGAAAGCGCGTCTGTATGAAAGAAACTAGTGGCCATCCGTATGATGGGTCATACACTGCAAAAAAAAAAGGCTTTTCTTATTTAGATTTTTTCTTGTTTCGAGTTAAAATATCTACAAATTCAGCTAAATAATCTGTTAATGGGGTAAATAAAATAATCTGATCACAAATCGAAAAACAAGATTATTTCGCTTACCCTATTGGCAGATTATTTTGCTTGAAAAACTCTTTATTTTGACAATATTTCTTAAAACAAGACAATATGTTTTGCTTGTCTAGAAAATGCTCCTTGATTTAAGAACTTTTAGATATTTCGACTAGAAACATGAAAAAATCTTAGTAAGAAAAGCGTTTTTTGCGGTTTACTGCTGTTTTAAATGGTAATATTTGCATAGCTTCCAGGACATCTGAATTTAACCATGTGATAGTGGGATTTGGGAGGTTTTGAAATGGTATAGAGGTAAAGTTGGTTTCATATTTGCACATTCGTTCAATAAGCAGTCTCTATATTGTTTACCATGTTACTTTGAATATTCGATCGGAATTAGCATGCAAGTATGACTTTAAAACAGCATTAACACTATCTAATTCACTGTGAACAATGTTGTACTTTGATAGTCATTGGCTGCTAATATGTTTAGCCTATTTAGAATTTGCAAAGAACACTTTTCTGAAATTATATTGATAAGGTAAATTTCTGAATATCCGGATATAAAACAAACTTTACCCAGTCAAGATTTAGATAAAAGCTAACTTCAGGAAGAAGGATAGATTTTAAAACTTAGCCAAAATTAAATGCAAAATTAGGGCTGCACAATGTATTGTTTCAGCATTGATATCATAATGTGTGTCTGTGATAGACAAATCATAGTGTATGCAATGTTGAGTTTGGTTTATAGTTGATCCTCAATTGAGAATATATGAGATTTGTAACAGAGTGAAACTTTGTCATTTACATGTGTTATAAAGGCTTTTCAAGAGAGTTAATAGCAGTCAGGCACAATAATGTCTACAACATTTACAACTTTACTGAATTATTAACACAATGAATGAAGACTATACAGCATCATTTTACACTTCATTATTCAATTTCTGTACCTAAATACTGTTTGATTCTTCTGGCAAACCATAAAGCACTGTTTATTTACAAATAAATACAAATGCTAAATACAGCCCTAATACAAATGCAGTATTTTTTATTAGTAGTTGTAATGTATCAGACTTGGTATTTGTGAATCCTAATATGGTGGGAAGTTATGTTACAGTCTTTCCCTCTGAGTTGAATCATATATACAAATAAAAACAAATGAGGAAAAAAAAATGTAAGGCTGGATTAGATTTTGTTTTTGTGTATAAACAAAGATATTTAAGTATGCAGGGGCGTATATACACAATATGATTGTTTGGTGTTTATTAAGTGAATATCATGCATGAGAGTAATGCAAGTTTGTCGGATTATTGGATGTATAAGCCAGTGATTATCTGCAGTTTGTTTGCATATTAAGAGTCCAGGGGTCCATTCTTTGTATGTGGATTACTCGGTTAGCTTGACGATTTTATCTGATCCAGGATCGTTTCGTTCTTCAAAACTGATCCGAGAGATGTTGTTCTGGTAGCTCAAACCTGCTTGGGAGCAGGCTTATTTCATATAAACAGGATTAGATTGACTCATTATAAGCAAAGGTAATATACTCAAAATATGTACTGAATGCTGATATTTTCTTACTGTAGTAAACTATAGATTATATACACTTTTTAAAATGGTTAGAAAAGTTATTATATAAGGTATATTAAATAACTAATAATATTTATGTTTATATTCATGTACATTTAGAAAGATTTGAAATAAAACATTCTTGTGTTGTTGTTTTTTTACGATGCAAAATTAATTTAAATTCCTTGTGCCAATTATGAAATTACTATAGGCCTAGGCTACTATAGTAAAGAAAATTTGATCTAAAATGTAAAACTAAATACATATCTAAATACTCTTGACAGATGAAAGTGTAAAGCCTGCAACCCACAACTAAGGTGGACCGTTATTGCGTATCATATTTAACAAACCGATTGCTATGAATTTTATATAATTTTTCTCGCATGGATAATTGAATATTAATCAGGTGTTGTGCCATCAGCCAATCTTTGCATTGCTGATCATGATTTCGAGGATCGATAGATCAGTCCTTCACAACACATGCAGCGATCTCAGATCAGTTTATGATGTCATTTTAATCTGAACTTGTTTGAAGAACCAAATTAGACAGATCAGTTATCAAGATTAAAACATCCAGGATCTGCCAAATAATCTAAGATCATTTAAGCCATTTACGAAGTATGGACCCCTGCTCACTGAAAGCTCTTTTAACCTGTAGAGAAAAAATGCAGCACTTTTTTGTTGAATATTTTTTGTCCAGATATCACAAAATCAATTTATTTTTCTCTTTTCAGGTCTGTCTTTTACCTCAGACCCGTTATTAGTGAAGGAAGGACAATCTGTCACTTTATGCTCTAATATTAATCTAGACCAAAATGATATTAAAATTATGTGGTATTTTGATGATGTGCGCATTGCTGACATCAATGCAGTTAATAACGGTAAAACCTGTTTAAATGATCAGTGTAAAACGAGATTTAGTGACAGACTGAAGCTGCATCAACAGACTGGATCTCTAATAATCACAAACACCAGAACCACAGACTCTGGAGATTATAAATTGATGATCACAGGAAACGACAACTACAGTGAAAAGATCTTCAGTGTTTCTGTCAGTGGTGAGTGTTATCTTTTAATTAATATTAAATGTAGTTAAATGTTTGAATCAAGTAAAAAGGAAAAAAAAAGAGAGAATGCTTTATCTCGTAACATGAGCAATGTTATCTGCCTAAAATTTGTTCACTACAAACTAGGGTTGGGCATCTAAGCTATAATGCCGATCCGATACGCATCTCAATACAAAGAATACGATCCGATATATTAGCGATACATTTGTGACATTATGATACAACACGATACGATTTACACCCATATCACAATACAATGCGATAATTCAGCACTAACTTATTAGATCAAGTTTATGAGATGATTTAAGAAAGGATGCTGTGCCATTGAAGGAGTTTGATTATTTATTAAGTAAAACCAAGACTTTTTTTACAAACTGGCTTTTCTCTCAGAGCCAGTGTCAGTTTACAGTAGAGGGCCATTTTAGAACCTATAGCACATATTATTTAAGTATTTTCAAGATAAACAGAATGTATAAGTGCAATATATGTTATAAATGTATATATTTGCACTTTTTCAACATAAATGTTTACCATTGCACAACAAGAATTGTGATTTAACTTTTCAACTATGAAAACAAGTTTTATAAAGATATATTGTGCCACTGAATATTCAAAACTTAAGGTGGTGAACTAGCAGTGTTATGCTGCTTTGAAACATCACTGTCACTGTAAACAACAGGCTAATAAAAATATAAATAAATAAAAATTAACAGGAGGAGGTGTTTAAAACCTTCGTTCTCCGTGACACTAGGCTGAATTTCTTTGCAGATGAACAAGGCAATAGCATTCGTTATTGGCGTAGAGCGAGCAGAACTGTTGCGCATGGAGAAAACTTTCACTGCTTTTCTCACCACTTTTGGAACTGGTAGCTACAGTTGAAGCAGAGCAGGAAGCCGGGGATGCAGGAACACTGGAAGATGCTTCCACAACAACACTGAGGCGCCGCTTCAAGTGAGATGTTCAAATTTGCACATTTTGCAAATTGCATCTGTCCTGTCAAGTCGTCCATCCTTTTTGCAGAATGCATAATGTTGCCATACTTTAGATTTAAAACTCAGTGAGGAATAAAATGTTTGTTTTGCTTCTCGCGCTTTCTGAGGCGCACCACTAGCTTCATCCGCACACCTGATACACTGAGTTGTAGTGTAGGTGTACACATCCGCAAGCTCGTTGCTAATGCATACTTTATGTAGCTCGATTAAATTATGCGCCAAAAACAGGTTGACAACACTTGTTAATAAATAAAAAATACATTCTATATTAAAAATATAAGTTGTATGTTGGAAAAACCAATGCATCTCGCAAAAATCTATGCATCTCGATTTGCTTCCAAAATTTCATTCATCCTCTGCTGCTCAACCGATGCACTCGCATGACCGCGTATCGATACATATCGGTTAATCTTCCCATCCCTACTACAAACACATTTCCAAGACATTTGTTATTAACATGAACAGTTCAGAAAATGATTTGCACTAGTCCTAAATAAACCCAGCCAAATTTTCAATGTATTTGCTTTTTAAATTATAAATAATAAATGAGTGTAATTTAAGTGTTGAATGTAATTGGTAAACAAAATTAGTTTAGTAAGTATCTTCAGATAAACATGAAGATACATGGGTATAAAATTATGTTATTGATAGTTGTAAATAAGTGTTGTTTATTTATGTTATATTATGAATTAAGACATACTGTTAACTGTTCATGAATTATTCTTTTCTTTAGGTGGGGCTGGTAATGGCTTAGATGAAGTGTTTGTGATGGAGGGGGATTCAGTCACTCTACTTGCTGATGTAAGAGCCGACCATGACAGAAGTGTGTGGTATTATAATGAGATTCGCCTCGCTAAGATCAATGGAGGTCAGAGTAGCATCTGTACAGATTATCAGTGTAAAAAGGGATTTGGTGACAGACTGAAGCTAGATAATCAGACCGCATCTCTGACCATCATGAACATCAGAGAAACAGACGCTGGACTTTATAAATTGATAAAACGCAACAGTGACAAAATCTTCAGTGTTGTTGTTTGTGGTGAGTCATTTAAAAGCAGTTTATATGTTTAAACTGTATTTTTTGAAACTTTTGATTGTGCATTATCATACTGTCAGTTCAGAATTCCAATGTTATATCTTCTTCAAAAGGATCCTAAAGCAGCTGTTTGTATGTTTCAGGTGTTCCTGGTACTCAGGATCAAATTAAGAAAAATCTAGTGAGGGATGGAGAATCCGTCACTATAAATCCTGGTGTGTTAAAAATACCAAATAACTGAACATGCATTTCTTATTAAGTGCCTAATGTATTTTCCTGACAGACTTTTGTTGTTGTTGTTGTTATTAGAGTGTTATTAATTCTTCCTCTTGAGAATTGGTGTTATTTAAAATGATTAACTTCCAAAGTGCTCAAAATGCAACAGAATGACAATTGTTCAAAAAGGCATAAATGCAACAAAAATGTATTAAAACATTAATTATGATTCTATTTAAGCATCTAATGGCATTAATTAGTGATGCACATTACAATCTTAATTTATAAACAAAAGATAAAATGGTCATAAATATGCACAAATTAGCTGTTTTTTTATTCAATTAAAACAAATAAACTGTTTTAACATTTGGTTTTCACATAAATCTATTTGAATGTCAAATATGTAGTCTACATGCATAGACAAGTAAATTAATGTGTACTCAAGTTTTAGATATGGGATTTCACAGGTGAATTTGGTCATTCCAATTTAAAGCCTGTGCTGCTAGTAAAGTACAGTTTATTAGCTGGTTCATCTGCCTCTTTGAAAATTATAGAAACCTATAATCAGTATTAGACGAAACTAACTCTACAACCCTAGTGTACAGTATGTAGACAACTATATCTGACTATTAAAAGTCCATATTCATTTCACTCACTGATATTTACAGATGGTTTAAAAGTGGAAAATGACATGGCAGCAGCAGCTATGTTGACTGACCTGAGTTTTGTTGCTGACATGGCATTAACTAAAAATAAATATGAATGCGATGAAGCTGGTACAACTGAGCTTCACCTTTAATTTCTTACACTTTGTACTATGAGATCATTAAGTCAGAAAAAGAAAGAATTATGTCTGATTCTGATTTCTGGCTGGTCGATCGGTGCATTAAACTTATTAGCTAGAAGTGTCTCTAAGATACACTTTCACTTTTCACATACACTTTACAATTAAATTTTATTATTTTTTTTTTGTAAATTATAAATTATTAACTTGCTGCATATTTTTTCATACATACAAAAAAATGCACTTCAAATTCTACTACATTACAAAAAGCTGTGAATATTAATGAAATTTCAGTATACCTGAGAAGATTGTCTTTCTTAATGTTACAGACAGGTCTTCAGCTGCTGTTGCTCGTATACATTTTGTTGGTGCTGCTGCTGCTGCTGTCCTGCTGCTTGTGGCTGTTGTGATCATCATTGTCAAATGGAGGAAGACGCGGCCATATTCGGTAAAATAAACTGAATTGCTACATGATACTACTAAAAGCAGGGACTATGGATCTAGTTTTGTGTGATAGTCTATAAATACATATAATTAAATATAAATGTAAAATTTAAATAATTGTAATATAAATTTAACTTTAAAGCTGTATATATTGGCAGTGTTAGGATTAATGTGTGAAGGTAATGTGAAATACTTACTGCTTTTTAAGGACTGTAACTGTTAAAGTAACACACTTTTCTATTTTCAGGAAAATAAGAGTAAAGCCATATATTGTCAGCACTTTTCGCAATGCTGTACAACAGTCCTTTATGGCTAAGCTTGAACATCAATAATTTTTTAATCATCAATAAAGCATGTCATCACTAAAACATATAAATACAATCCATACTCTTATATAGTGGATAAAAATTGATTTAAAGAGTTGGTATTTTTATTAGTATTTAAAAAATATGTAGAATTGGTAAATTCAAAAGAAAATGTTTTTTTCAATAGCCACATTTCCACTTTCAGGCCAGTGCCAGCCAGGGCTTTTATCGGGCTGGGCCGGGCTAATCGCCTGTGAGGTTGAGCAGTGAGGCCGGAGTCATGTCGCGTTTCTACTGTCGGGCTAGTAGCTCGCAGTGTGTCACGCAAACCCTGCCCCCAGAACATCCCCCGAATGTCACGCAACCAGCCCACTTCAGCAGGAATCAGGCAGATAAAGCACATCATCTTGAAACCATTCAAATGAAGCTGTTAGCAGACCACTGTAATCCAGAAACATGGGTCCACTCGCCAGTGGTGCTCTCATCACAGGAAAATGGAAACAAAATTTCATTGTGACACATTTATAAATGCTGCATTACAGCAAACGCTGACGACCCATGTCTCCAAACTGTTTTAATTACGGTTGTTAACACAAGGTTGTGTCTCTCTGCCGTCTGAACACAGTAACGGGTAAAAAGAGTCTTCGAAGCTATCATGCATATTAATGAAGTGGCACCTCATTCACAATAGAGCACGCTGATTAATTTAAACCAAGTCTTTTTCATGAAATAAGGATAAACTCAAAAGACGTCACGTTGTACTGACCGGTACAGACATTCAGTCTCCACGCTGGAATTTACACAATGATCTCCTTGCCGTGATGTAGCTTGAAATTTTATTTTTAAACCGGAAGAATTTGTTCGAAATAACACAAAAATAGCAACCAATTTTTACTTTTTAGTGAGATATGTGTGTCCTAATAGTGTTTTTAGCAGCGTGGGACACACAAATGACTGTCAACATCTTAAAACATGTGTTTTTGTGTTTCATGACCCTTTAAAATCTGAGATAGAATTTGAGCTTGAAATGAATGGTTTAGTTAAAATAACACCGAGATATTCACTCTGCTTTTCTTTAAAATCACTAATCCATTTTTTTTTGTTACTATGGAAGTGAATAAGCAGTCATATTTGCTTGTTTTTTACCTTCTGTGAATCTGTTTTCTTACAGGGAGCCATCTCTGCTGTGGAAAGTGAGAGTTCATGACAGTCACTGACAGTGTAATCAAGAACAAGGTCCAATCACAATTCTACCCCTCATGGTTCGTTTACACCAGATGGTGATGATGAAGCATCTAGAATAAGTGATTTACTTGTTAAGTCAATGCAAAGACTTGATTAGACATCCTTTGGTGAGTTTCGAGAGATTAAAGCAATTCGAGCACATGATATAAAGTGAATTAAGCTTAACCAAGTGGGTGCTGCACACTGGTGGTGGTGTGGAGAGACCCCTCTCCTGATTGTGAAGCGCTTTTGGTGTTTGGCCATACACAATAAATGCGCTATATAAATTCAAATTATTAAAAAAATCTAAACTTTTGTGGACATATACATATGCAATAACCAATAAGGAGCTTGCTCTAGTAGGGGTGTGATATTGATTTGCACCTGTAGTTGGTGTCATGAAGGGAAATCTTCCTGCTGACATGGGACAACAGCTCATCAAACTGGGACCGGCTGAGTCGGAAGTACAGCTTAAAGCATACGTCAGCCAGGCACATCTTCTGGAGGAGTTGGATCCAGACAGAGCACTAAACAAATGTATGCCATTTTCAGCCTTCCTAAAGCACATAAAGTACAGCTACTCTCTCAAAAAAATTCATCTCAGTCATTTAGTAATGAAACTGGAGTCTCCAGGCAGACAGAAGCCCCTACCGTGACGCTAATCACAATCTAGTGTGAGGTGAATTTGACACATGAATGTAGCAAGTGCAAAATAGCGCACTCTATTTGCGTAAGCCGCATCTAGTGAGAGCGCCCCATTAGCATTTCTACTTCTCCCTCAGATTGCTCACTCACATGAAGGGGTAGGGGTCTCCCAATTCTTTTTTGCTTGAAGGGTTACGGTTAAGGCCATATAGCCCTAAGATTTTTCAGAACCACACTACAAACGAAGGCATATGAGACATTTCTATGAATACACCTGCAAACATGACACACAAATGTTGAAAAAAGGCATTAATAAGGTTTTTTAAAATAAACATATATCTCCTTTCTTACATTCATACCAGCATTAATGTGTCCCAGTCATTATCTTAGAAGAAACATTTAAAAAATAATAAATAAAGCTAAGCTCTGTAAACAATAGTGGCTTTTACTAAAATAGACACACAAATGAACACACTGCTAGCAATGAAACAAATAATGCATGATGTTTTTAGTATATTTATAGTTATTAAACTATTGCAGTTACAAGTTAGTAGGACATCTCTGTTTGCATTACTGGTTTGACATCTACCATTGTATCCTATTTATCCATTTACAACCTATTGAGAGTTATAATTTACCATAAGTTAATTATGACCAGAGATTCGTTTTTTGCCAATGTGGCTCATACTTCAACACACGAGCCCTCCACAAATATGCAGTTGTGAATTTGAAAACTGCTGTTTTACTCTAAATAATAATCTGGGTGCTTTATGGAAGTCTGCCCTTCATATTCATGTATAGCTTAATGTTTAAATTTTGTTTATAAGGGAAATGTTGATTCAGAAGCAATGAATGCAGATTCAGATTCTTCATTTAGAATGCAGATGCACTGCCTGAATATTGAATGCTGTTAGTTGCTAGTATTGTCACTCTGCTGCTATACGTAAAAAAATGTGCCTTAAACACTAATCTCTGAGCGTGTTTTCATTACTTTTTTTATTTTTTAGTTTACATTCAATCTCATGGAGAAGCACAAATGTTACCCTGGAGCACATGACTAGTTTGAACATGCAAGGATATATTGATTCTAGCAATAACCAAAAATACATTGTACATTATTTTATAAAAAAAAAAAAAAAGTAAAGTCCATGAAGCTATATTGTTAATTTTCTACTTTTAAATATATTATAATTTTTTGATAAATATTTTCAAACTGTTGTAGCTCTGCCAAATATCCCACCCTATCAAACCATCAATCAAGCCAAAAATGCTTCTAGATGATACATAAATCTGATATGATTAATGTACGCTTGTGGTCACTACAAAGACCATGGTCACAAATACTGTACATCTAAGATGAAAATTGGCAGAATCTATGGAAAATAAAGCAGTTTTTGTGTTTTAAATACAGAATAATTCAGCATACGTTTATGTATATGCACTCAATTGTATTGTCATTTGTGTTCCTCAGTCTTTTCGTTTGTTTTTGTGACTGCCAATTGTGCCAATCGATTTAATATGTAAATTAACGAATATAAGTGCTTCTATTTAAATAAAAGTGCCTGTGCAATTGTAAACTTATGTATGTCGTTCTTATTATTTAGGAATTCTCCACTGATGAACACACAAACACACACACACATCCAACGCAGAATGGAAAAACCTTGCTGTTCTCCATTCTCAAAAAGAAATGTTTGCAACTGAAGAAAATCAGAGATAGTATGCTTGATAATTAATTCTTTTAATGATACTGCAAACTTTTATTAATACATTTTGTTATCATATTGATTCACAGTGTTGGGGTAACTTGCCCCAACACTGCTGATCCCTGACTGCTGCCACCAGCATTGTGATCTCATTTATTTTTATATTCCTCTACAACGTTGAAGTGAATACTGATGCATCCCAATACTATTTTGTATATTTCTATATTATATTCTTCTATATTTAACATTTTAAATTAGTATTTTATAGTTACACTGGTGGTCTGCTATATATAAATTAAAAGTTCCACACTCTTAATGGCATATTAAAAGAGAACATTCTTTTATGGTTTCTATTTTTTTCTGTTTGGTTATTATTGGGGATATTAACTAAATTAGAATGTTGTGGAAGTGTTCTATTTAACAAAAAACTAATGTTCTTAACCAATTCTTGCTCCCTTACAGTTTTATAGTTCTTATTACATCAATCAAGCTGACTTTAAAAAAATATGTTTCACTTTCTATAACGTGTTTTAGGTTGATAAATCAGACTAACTGACTAAATAAGTTAACGAAAACATTTCAGTCGACTTTTTGTCTTTTTTTTCATAGGAGAATGTTACATGCAGGTTTTTTTGTAATGAAGAGAACCTTTCAGGCAATGTTCTAATAATCTGTAAAGAATGTTCAAAATTAATGTCTAGAAAAAATTCCTGGCTAACCAAAAGTGAACATTTTGGGGACAAAAAAGACATTCAGTACTAGAAATGGATTTAATTATAACAAATAAATGCAGGTAAAACGCATTGCAAATGCACAAGATGGTAGTAAAAGTGGGAGAGGTTTAGGTAAAAGGGTTTTAATTAATAACATTTAATTATAACAATATTATTTATTTAATGTAATACATGTTACAGTTGATAAAAACATGTTTGGTAAGTATTTTTGAATGCATTATTAGGCAATTTTTGACAAGATGATTGAAAAGGTAGAGTGTTTTTTGTCTCTAATTGATAAAGTTTTATATATATATATATATATATATATATATATATGTAGTGTGTGTGTGTGTATATGTATATATATATATATATATATATATATATATATATATATATATATATATGTGTGTGTGTGTGTATATGTATATATTTGTGTGTGTGTGTATGTGTATATATGTGTGTGTGTGTGTATGTATATATATATATCTCGCAGGAGGTTCCATTCCTGGGCTCTTGTACTTACAAAAAGATTTACGTTCGAATATCTTCACACGGTAACAGGTGCGTACATTATGCAATCCTCCTCTTTACTTTTCTGTTTTGAAAAAAAAAAAAATCCATAATACAGCGTTTGTCAATATCACATGTTAAAAACACGTGAAACACAGAAAATGTATTTTTATTTTAAAAAAATTATACAACATAAAAATATTCCAAAACCACACGTTTCATGTGTGATTGAAACATGGAGCTCATGTGACACTTGAAAATGGCAGTATTCTCATTTATTCATTCATTCATTTTCTTTTCGGCTTGGTCCCTTTATTAATCCGGGGTGGCCACAGTGGAGTAAACCACCTTTATAGTATTCTATTATCACATTAATCAAAACATCTCAAATCAAATATAAATGCTAGTTTTAAACTTAGCTTAAGGTAGATCTATACTCAAATGTATCTGATGTGCTGCTGAAGTGATACAAAAACACAATAAAGATTCATATAAAATCAACGTACCTCTTTGTTGAACACAGGCTCACTGTATATGATCTGCTCTGACTGAATCTCAGCTGTTTGAACAGGAGTCGATTGTCTTAAGATGTGATTCTTCAGTATATACACATTAGTATCAAATCAAATGACATTTACAGCTTTATGTTTTCCCCATATAAAAAGTTATTAACAGAGTATTATCATGTTTGTCTTTACGCTAAAGTACATTCAACAAAAGTCATTTGCATTAATTGTATTTCATGAAATTATTCAGCTTAATGAGTTATTATACCCCAAACTAAATTATATTCAGTTATGATTAGGCATCTACAAACACTGTATATACATTTATATGCATCAAAACAACAAATTACTATACGATAGATACTATAAATGTATAAGAATTTAACGTCTTCACACCTTCTTGATCAGTTTTTCTGTGTTTCCTGTAGATCAAGATCACAACTAAAGATCCAATCAGCAGAGATCCAGCAGAAATCAACAGAGGTACAAATACAGGAGAACCTGAAGCAGACATTAGTAAGACAGTCATTAGTAAGTGTGAATTTATACTCGTACTGTGTATATTAATGCTGTCGTACCTGGACATGGCTGACAAAGTGTGTTAATGTCCAGATGTGTGGTCTGGTTGCTGATGGTGTTGTTGATCACACAGCTGTAGGTGTTGTTATCCTGATATTCCACCTCCAGAGGTAGAGAGAGACTGATGCTGAGATCAGACACACTGATGCTGGACAATACACTGTTTCCTTTGTACCAGGAGAGACTCACAGCACTCACATTCACCACTGAACACAACACTGAACAATTATACTGGGATGAGGAACACTGAGAAGAGTTGAGGACAGGAGCAGGCAGATGAGCTGAAACATTAGAGAACATAAGATAGATGTTAACAAATCTAATACAATTCCTATTATGGATCCGTATTTGAATGCGTGTTAGAGTGTGTTTACTCTACACTTTTTGTGACCCTATGCTGGATCTTATGTTGCACCTGTTCATTTTTGGCAAAATGGAAACATGTTCTAGATTGATTTTTTTTTTTTAATGCCAGAAACTCATTCGAATATACTGTAAAGATCATTTTCTATGAAAATTTTTAGTAAATCTACTTTAAATAAATCTAAAATTAACTTTTTATTAGTATTATGCATTTTCTAGTCAACTTTTAAAGGTTATTTTCATAGCATTTAGATTTTTTAATCTTCAGATTACACATTTTTAAGTTGTTGCATCTACTTTTTTACATTTGTATTTAATATTTTTCCGTAACATAAATTTGGCTGTACTAGTTTTTTGGTCTGTTATTGTAAGTTATTTTGTTACATAAACTCTTCAGTGCTGACTAATCGAATGTACAGTTGAAGTAAGAGTTATTAGCCCCCACTTTTTTTTTTATTTATATTTCACAGAGTATGTTTAACTGAGCAAGGAAATTTTCACAGCATGTCTGATAATATGTTTTACTTCTGGAGAAAGTCTTATTTGTTTTATTTCAGCTAGAACAAAAGCAGTTTTAAATTTTTTAAAAGCCATTTTAAATGCAATATTATTAGCCCCTTTTAAGCTATATATTTTTCAACTGTCTAAAGAACAAACCATCATTATACAATAACTTGCCTAATTACCCTAACCTGCCTATCTAATTAACCTAGTTAAGGCTTTTAAATGTCACTTTAAGCTGTATTTGGCTAATAAAGTGGGTTGGGCGCCAGGGGTTAAAAAACCCCACTACAGTTTCTCAAATAATTCAATGAAATTAAAAATTAAGCTTCAATAAATGCATGATTAAATCAAGCAAACCAAAATCAAATTTTTAATCAAACAAACAAATCAATAAATTAATAAAGGAAAAAACAAAAACAACAAAGCAAACAAGCTTTAACTTCAACACATTTTAGTTAAACTCATCATAAACCAAACAAACGTAAATTTCCAGGCCCAGGCACAATACTTATTAATTACAAAACAATCAACAGGTGATACATTAATCAACCATAAAGATACAAATCAAGCAAACCAATTCTGAATATACAAAAATCAATATAAATCAAATTTACCCACAAACAAATAATAATAATATTTTGGGGCCAAACTCATCACACATTAACAAACTTGTATTACCCAATTATACACTTTTTTTTTTACACTGAAACATATCTAGTCTAATATTATTTACTGGCAAAGATAAAATAAATCAGTTATTGGAAATGAGTTATTAAAAACTATTATGTTTAGAAATATGTTAAAACATTTGACACTTGTCATGGTTTTGTGGTTCAGTTTCAAATTTAGTGCAATTTAATAAAATAATTGTACATTAATTGTACTGCCATCCATACCCTGGTAAATACAAAATAAACAGATCCAGACTGCTTAAATGATAAATAATACCAACTCGGGTACAATTGTAATGAAAGACAGTGCTTAGCATAATTGAGTACAGCCCATTAAATATATATATATATATATATATATAATTATTATTATTCATTTCTCTGTCAATAAACAGTGAATTTAAACAAAACAGATTTATTAAGTAGATATATTTATGGCAATAATATTTTAGTCACCAAACATATTTAGAAATTGAAAGATAATATGTTCAAATTCATGCAAAATCAATCAAAAATATATATATATATATATAAACTTAAACTAAATTATTTGCTTCTTGATTTTTCCTCTTTTTTTATTTGTATTTCATATTTTTCTATAATATAAATTTGGCTGTACTAGTTTTTGGACCGTTATTGTAAGTTACTTTGTTATACAAGCTCCAGATTTGGCTTCAGTACTGATTAATCTAATGTATATGCACAAATATAAAATTTAATAGCTTCCTATTAAAAATATGAATTCAAAAGATAGATCTGTGAGGTGTGTACTTGTATGTGCTGAGCACTGTATGCATGCAATTTAAACTCTTACTCAAATTTCAATACCTAAGTAATTTATAAAATCAGAATGATGGGAACAATGATCATTACTCACCATAGACAGAAATGCTGAATGTTTTTGTTGTCAGTAAAGCTCCAAGTATCTGTATTTCATAGTGTCCAGAATGTTCAGATCTGATGTTCATGATGGTTAGAGATCCAGTTTGATTATCCAGTTTTAGTCTGTCTCTGAATCTCCCATCCAGAGCATCATGTTTAATAGAGACCATTCCATCAGCTCCACTCATTTCAGCAATTAAAGACTTATTAGCTCCAAATTTCCAGAGAATGTCATCTTGATCATCTTCTTGTGTCTTCGTAACTTCAGAGTTTAGAGTGACTGAATCTCCCTCTGTCACAGACTTCACTTCATCACCAAACACACCTGCAAAACATTAAAGATAGATTTTAAACATTAATTATCACGATAGTGTAGAAAATAATGAGTAACACTAGCAGAGACACAAACACGTGAGCTTACTACTCTGGAACTGAAATAAATTACAATAAACAACAAAAGTATTTATAACTTACCGATTATACGGCACCAGCACAAACAGAACAAAACAAACACGCGAAACATTTTCAGATGTTCAGTGAAAAGTCGGATGTTATTCTGCACGACTGTTCACTAGTCAAAGTTAATCTCACATGATCTCTATCCTCCCCCTGACTGAGCTCAACCTTTATACACACATATACATACACACAATACTGCATACACTTAACATGTATATATATATATATATATATATATATATATATATATATATATATATATATATATATATATATATTAACCCATAACACAGGGTTAAACATCTATAACCTGAATATTTTAGTAAAAATGCACACTATAATTTAAAACATTGACCCAATGTTGGATGTTTCTACATTTGACCCACCCTTGGGCTTATACAACCCTGCATTTTAGACTTTCATTGTCTTTATATTATATTAATGATATTTTCTATTGCCCAACCTCAACCCCTAAATATAAACATTAGAGAAATCTGCATAACAGTAGATAAAGATACAGTAGAAGCATGTTTGGACCAATATCTAAGCCTTTTTAACTAAGCCTATTTGTCACTTGGCTGAGTTAACAATTAACATTGATTTAATTTTTAAATTTTATATATATATATATATATATATATATATATATATATATATATATATATATATATATATATATATATATATATATATATAATATATAATTATATATATAATAATATATAATATAATATATATATATAAATTTAACCCAATTGTTAGGTTTGTTTATATTTGACCCAATGTCATGTTAATAGACTTTTTTTAGAGTTGGACTAATTTATACATTTTCAATTGGATATAATGGAGGACATTTGAGCCCTCACAAGTATCACTAAACCAGCACACATAAACTGAACACATGATTTCTACATTCATGCACTATTCAACTCATGAACACGTACATTCTTCAATTTTAGCATTGATCATTTTAGATGATGTTTCACTCTTGTGTTCTCTCTAATATTAATAAGTAGAATAATATTGCCAGAATTTCTGATTAACAACATCACATTGTAAAATGAAGCACAAGTCTACTGCAAATTTAAAAATTGTGTGCGTATATTCAGCGCTTGGTTTTAGGGAATGGAAAAACACATGTGCTATCTGACATTCATCTTCAGAGTCAACTCGAAACTGTTGCGGTTGGTTGTTTTTTCAGAAATGCGCTTTGATCTGCTGGTGGACAAACAGCTTGTTTGTGAAAATGAGCTCTCATTGCCTACTGAAGTAAGCCCACCTGCACTGAGTAAAAAGGGCTTCTTCCTGTCCTGCTGCTACAGCATGAGCGTTCATTTTAAGCTCTCCTGAAAAACTATTTAAGACTGACCCAGAAAAGCACAATAGTATCTGGATGCAGACTTGAATATGAAAAGCTGAGACTGCATATCTCAGACATGCAATGTCAGAAACGGTGCACTCAATGGAGCTAGGGACATCCCTGTGAGGATTAGGTGTGCACATTAAAACCGTTGCATGCAGCTCAGCCTGCATATCTAAAACTGTATGTATAAGGCATAGAGCCCTGTCATACATGTGGCTCAATAAGGCGCAAGACATGTTTTGGTGTGATTTGCTATTTTCAGACCAGTGCAACCCTAATTTTCATGTTTTCAAGGCATATTATTGGCACGTTGCTCTTTTGAGGAACTGAAATAGACTGTGCCATTGCCCAAGTAAAACCTGAATGGAATGACAAAGAGAAGTGTTTTTCCCTTCAGTCAGGGCTTAATTTGTGCCGGAACACACTGGATCTGTATTAGTGATGGGAGGTTTGGATCATTTTACCGACTCGGATCTTTGAGTCTCGTTCATCGAGATGACCGAATCTTTTTTTCGAGTCATTTCGTTCATTTGGTTCAATTTGCCAAAATATTATTAAAATGTTATGAATTGCTTCCAAACACATCTACAACTAGACCAAAAGGTTGATCACACGACAAATAAGTCATAAATAGAATATTATAAGAAGGTGGAAATAATAATTCAATGTTTACCTGCTCTTTTGTCTATGAAGGTAGGCTATTGTTGTCTCCTTGCTCAGCTCACCTCTTCATGTCTTCAAATGTCAGTGATTCGTTCACGTTACACTGACAGTCACATATAATCTTAACCAAAGTACACAGTCTGAGTCGATAGGAGCCTTGATAATTAGTTCATCTTTCAATTCAATTCTTTTTCCAGCTATAAATGCATGTGATTGGCCCGTGAGGAACGAGTGACTCAGACCCGATTGAGGACTCGAGAGGTGAGCGGATCAATTCTTTTTCCGGCTCTAAACGCATATGATTGGCTTCTGCCAATGTAATGAAGACTTGAAATTAACGATACTACCTGCACAAATGTGCGCACGCGCGGATGAACGAATCACTCCCTGAGAGGACTCCTAGTTCCCGAGTCATATTGAAGATTCGTTTAAAATGAACGAATCGTTCATGAACGACCCATCACTAATCACTTGACTGTGGGAGATCAATCAAAGATCAAAGTGTGACCTCTTGGACAGAAATAAAAAAAAAAATTCTAAATGTCTAATCATCTTGTTTAATCCCTCCCCTTTTCCAATGGGAATAGTCAATAACAGGAGAATGGTCAGAATAGGCAGCAAAACAACAAGAGCAATAAACAATGCAAAGGGTCAAAGCAAAACAACGCTTTGTAATGCTTACGGGAAAAACAAGACTCAGCAAAGAGTATGAGAATGTGAAGTGTATATGTAGACCAGTTAATCAGTCTTCATGAGCTTCAGCTCTGTGTGTTTGTGCAATCGTTTATCATCCCAAACGGTGTGTGAGGTGCATGATGGGAGTTGTAGTTCATTTCAGTGGCAGTTCTCCAGCTATCTGCAACTGCTAGATCATGGTGATCATAAGAGAACAATTTATTTGCCCTCTTAAATTCATTTGATTATACATGCTTTCTCTTCAAACATTTTTTATGACTGAAGCGACCTGCTACCAGAAGACCAAAACCACACACTGATGACACTTGCTGGTCAATCTATGCAAGTGCAACAAAAACTCTGCTCAAACATGCATAAATCACCTTTTGTGTAATATTTACACAATAGTACGGGTAAATAAAATTTCATTTGCATGTGTAACTTTGTATCATTGAGATGCTTTGTATTATTGTATGATTATTGGTTGATCGGGCTAACAAGAGTTTCTGAAGTCTTTCTTTTTAATATTATTTTATTTCTCATTAAATGGCGGCATGGTGGCTTAAGCACGGTCACGTCACAGCAAGATGGTCATTGGTTCGAGTCGAAGGTAAATCAGTAGCAAACCTCTAGAGCTTGCAAATCTAAATGTGAGAACTAGTGACAATCGTATTTGTAGTATGTGTAAGTTACAATGCACACTCGCAGCTCTCACATTGGGTTTTATCCATTGTTACATAAATCCTGTGTTCAATGCTATAGTCAGTTTAGTAATGATGTAAACATGCACTTGTCAACACCTAAGTATCTACACCCTATCTCAGTAAAAGTGCAAAGGACCAAGCTTTTTTTTTTCTTGTACTTTTGATAATATATATTGGCATACATACCAAGCATTGATGAGCTCCTTTTTGACCAGTATGAGATCAGACTTTTTGCAGAATTTCCACCTGCTGGACAACAAGTGTGTGAAAAGTCTTTCAGATGCAGACTGAAGGAGGTATGAGATGTACAGAGACTTTTGAGGTAGGTTTTTATTAACTAACTAACCATTCAAAGCACCTTATGGCATCTGCACACCACAATGACAAATCAGTTTACAGCTTACCCTCTCTCACTAATATTTTGTATTTTTTTTTTACTTTTTTAATACAGGATGAGATATCTTCAGCTTTCAGACAATTAAAGTTTCTGGAATTAATGACCGTAAAGGTGAATTTTTCTGCTTTCATTTAATTTTGGGTGAATATTTTTCCCTTCAGCTGCTTAAGTAAACATTAAAGTGGTTAAAAATAACCAAATATAAATGACATAACTCAAAAACTTCAAGTTTTCTATTAAAAATAAAAATAGTTCACAGAGTTGTATCTTTGGACTAATGCAATACAAATTTACAACTCAGCCTAAATTAATCACAGCTCAATATTAAATAGCTCAATAGTTATGTTTGTTGACACCTATTCTATACAATAAAACAGTATGATCGTTATAAAAATTGTGAGATCAAGTTAAACCTTAATTTGTTGTACGTACTGTAGTTCCTTTAAACAATACTATGGTAAATTGTGTGAAACTATAGTTTAGTATTTACACTTTTCTTAATGAATGCTATTTGTATTGACAATAGTAAACGAATATACTGTATTATACTTAAATTTTTACCACAGTAAACTGTGGTGTATTGTAGTATAAATATGCCTTAGTTACTATAAAACTACAGTATTGGTTTATTTATATTGTTATAGTTGTAGAACAATAGCAGTTATATAATAATAATGTGGAAAAAACAGTCTGTGACAAAAAAAGGTGTGAGAGTTTATAAGATAATGGAGGGGTGCTGTAATATATGTGTGTGGCCGCTAGAGGGCAGAAAATGAGCATGTTGTAAAGGTTAGTTACTGATGAACAGCGAGTAACAAAAAGACAGCTATTAATGCAATGCACCAAACATTAAATTATTTATTTAGAAAAACTCAAAATATGTGGTGATGATGATAATGATGATGATATTAAAAACAAAACCGAGAATGAATCCATAAATAAGTGCTCTCAAAAGAGGTCATGCTGGGAGCTTCAAAACCATCTCCAGTACAGATCCAGTGTTGGATCATCGTTTTTTGGGGACGTTTTGATACACTGCCTCTGTTTTTGATTTCTGCAAGAAAACAAACTCAGTCAGGAGTTTAGCAGAACTTTTCTGACAAAAACCTTTTTAAAAAAAAAGTATCAACATTAATTATACCAAGCACACACTAAAGTTTTAGAAGCATCATCAACCGAGCTAAAATATAAAAATAAATCTCCGAAATTATGTTAGCAAGTGTATGGATCACAACTATCCTCAGAAATGCCATGATAAACCACATAATTGCAAAGGCATGCTGTCTTTGTCAAATTTAACATGACATTACTAAACCATGAATATGCAAGCTTCCTCATTTGATCCTTGAACAACGAAGCAGTAGTAAGCAAGAGAACCATCACAAATTGACTTTAGTGAGATGGTTAAGATTTTAATAATTAATAATAACAATAATGATAATAATAGTTAATTTAGGATGCAAATAGAAATGTACTGTAAGACGTGTCACAGTGCAACTATATGCAGCTTCACTGAGTACAGACATGCACTGTTTTCTTCACTGCTAAGTTAGATGATCTCAACTGTATTTCTGGAATGACTTTTTAAACAGTTTTAGAACTTCACACTGTATTCCATTTAGTTTCAATGGCGACAAATCAAGCTTCAGTTAAGTAAAGTGGCAGATTTAAAATTCGAAACTGCATTCCAGTCCACTTTAACATTAAGTTAAATGAATATAAATGTTTTTTGTCAGTTGGGTCAACACTCAACAGACTAGCTGCAACTGTGTGCAAAACTACAATCAAGCTTCATTCCTTGATCAGCAAACCTTTAATCAAAGCCTCTTGCAAAACAGCCACCATGAAGCATCTTACCGTTTTTCGTTTTTTTGGTTTACTCAAGGCTGAATGTTTTGTGTTCTTCTTCTTGGTCCGAACTGCATAAACAAAAATAAAATTAATAAAAATAATGGGTTACAATTACTCATTTGGAAAAATCTTAATTAACAATTATGACCCTGGTGGACCACAAAACCAGTCATACATGGCTCCAGTTTTGATATCTTAAAGTTAGATAAATAGTATTTTTATTAACGTGTGGTTTGCCAAGATAGGATAATATTTAGCTAAAATACAATTACTTGAAAATATAGAATTTGAGGGCTCAAAAAAAAAAAAAAAATCTCAGTTTGATTTTTACAGCTATGTCACCCTGCAGCCCAAGACCGGTTTCTCATGGAAACTAAGCAGGGCTGAGCATGGTCAGTACCTTGATGGGAGACCACATGGGAAAACTAGGTTACTGTTGGAAGTGGTGTTAGTGAGGCCAGTAGGGGGTGCACAACCTGTGGTCTGTGTAAGTCCTAATGCCCCATTATAGTGAAGGGGACACTATACTGTCAGTGAGCGATGTCTTTCGGATGAGAGATTAAACCCAGGTCCTGACTCTCTGTAGTTATTAAAAATCCTGTGAAACTTCTCATAAAGATTAGGGGTGTAACCCCAATGTCCTGGCCAAATTACCACCACAAATACACACGTTACATTACATTAGTTATTGAGAAAATTATCTTTAAAGTTGTCTAGTAAATAAAAAATTAAAATGTTTTTAGCAATGCATGTTACAAATCAAAACTTGAGTTCATACATATTTAAGGTAGGAAATTGACAATATATGTTCATTGGTACGTGATATTTAATGAATATTCAATAATCAATCATTTTGTCTGAGTATTTTGTTGATTTTGTGCTTCAGGGTCACAATTTTTAGTCAAAAAGATCCATATATAACATGTGTATTAGCTGCTTTCTGACTTGTTTTTCCTTTCTTGCTGATGCAGATGATCCCGATTACTGTTACAATCAGCAGAAATCCCGCAGCAGCAGAGATCAGCACAATCTGCCATAGGAGAAGACTCTGATCTGAAGGGGAAAAATTGGTCATGCATGTTTTGTAAGTCTACAATAAACACCACCAAACACCAATGCTGTATGTTTAAAAGCGAGCTCACATAAAAATGGTAATGTTTCCCCCTTATCTGAACATGTCTGACAGAGTGTGTTGATGTCCAGATGTGTGGTCTGGTTGCTGATGGTGTTGTTGATCACACAGCTGTAGGTGTTTCTATCCTGATATTCCACCTCCAAAGGTAGAGAGAGACTGATGCTGAGATCAGACACACTGATGCTGGACAATACACTGTTTCCTTTGTACCAGGAGAGATTTACAGACCTCACATTCACCACTGAACACACCACTGAACAGTTATACTGGGATGATGAAGATGAGGAGGAAGAACAGTCCCTGATGAGGACAGGGACAGGCAGACGTGCTGAAATAACAGCAGAGGTTAAAAATAATTGATAAAAGTGAATAAGCTAATTTAGGACACACACACAGAAAAGCAAGCCAACTGTTGATTTTCTATTGCAGGAGATTGTCATTTTTAAAAAAAAAAACATGAAGTGTTTTTAAGTGGAAGTGCATATGGAGAGGAACGAGTGTGTTCCCTACAGGTGTTTTTTGTTTTTTTCAGTGTGACAGAAGCAGAAAGTGCCTCCGTGTAACCCCACTAGTCCTACACCACACAACCTGCTCTGAGCTGGGATCGAACTGGCGACTTTCCGTATGGGAGTGAGTTGCTCTACCAAGGAGGCTAAAGACCATGGCCTCTAGTTTCTGGTGCTAAAGCACCTTTAGATGTCAGAGTGAGGTTTACCTGCACAGCACTTCTCTAGCTGGTAGGGGTGTCAAAATTAATTGTTTCTATGGTGCACCACGATGCAGATGCAGACAATTTGGTATGGGTTTAATAATAATCATAACCGGTTATTATGTACTGACGTCATTTATCTAATATTCGCTATGTCGCCATAGCTTACTATGGCGAGGAAGGCGTGGGTATTTACAACGCTCCAACTACTTAAAAATGCAGAAACTGTGCTCAGTTTCACTGCGTGTGTGTTTGCTGGACAGTCTTTCACTGACACTTACAGCAGAAGCCCCTATTTCAATGCTATTGAGAGAATGAAAGTGTACTCCATCTCTCTCTCTCTCTCACTGTGGCACCGACATATCGAATTGAACCAAATCGATGGCATGATAATCGTAATCGAACCGAACCTTGAGACTAGTGTGGGTTTACACCTCTGCTAGCTGGCCTCCACCACACTCACCCCCCTAAACTTCACTCCCATCCGGGTCACGGCACCAATTTAACCCCGCCAGTCCTATACAACCCAAAAGTTGTAGAGACCAATCCCCTAGTTGACGAAACATTGCGTGACTTTTTGAGTGATGTCGATTGACTACTTTCCAAATGACAATGGGCAAGAAAATTGCATCTGTATTCATCTGACCTGATATCTCGAAGGTGATGAGACATTGGGCGACTTTTTGAGTAATGTTTTTGGGCTACTTTCCTATTGAGAATGGGCAAGAAAATTGTATCTGGGTCCATCTGACCTGATAAGTTGCCATAAGTTATCTAGTTGTCCATTGTCACCATCATTGCTCATCTTTGCATCAGTTAGCTCGTGTATCATCACTTTGACACTCTCTTAAAAATGCTGTTATTTCAACCCAATTTCGGGTTAAAACAAACAAAACCAGTCGCTTGAGTTTATTTAATAAATTAAAATTTTTAGTTACAAGTTTAGGCCAAAGTTTGTCCATATTTTACCATATTTGGGTTTAAATATCCCAGCATTTAAAGTTTATAGCACATGTGCAGTAAACATCGAGTTACTTTTAAGTGATGTTGATTGGCTACTTTTTTATTGAGAATGGGCAAGAAAATTGTATCTGTATCCATCTGACGTGATATCCCGAGGGTGATGAGATATTTGGCGACTTTTTTAGTGATGTTGATTGGCTGCTTTCCTATTGAGAATAGGCAAGAAAATTGCATCTGGATCCAGCTTACCAAAAAGTCCTGAAGTTGACAAGACATTGGGCTACTTTCCTAATGAAAATGGGCAAGAAAATTGTATCTGTATCCATCTGACCTGATATCCCGAAGGTGATGAGACAGTGGGCGACTGTTTGAGTGATGTTCTTGGGCTACTTTCCTAATGAAAATGGGCAAGAAAATTGTATCTGGATCCATCTGACCTGATAAGTTGCCATAAGTCTTACCTAGTTGTCCATTGTCACCATCATTGCTCATCGTTGCATCAGTTGCCTCGTGTATCATCACTTTGACACTCTCTTAAAAATGCTGTTATTTCAACCCAATTTTGGGTTAAATCAGACGAAACCAGTCGCTTGAGTTTATTTAATAAATTAAATTTATAGTTACAAATTTAGGCCAAAGTTTGTCCATATTTTACCCAATTTGGGTTGAAATATCCCAGCATTTATAGTGTATAGCACATGTGCAGTAAACATCGTGTTACTTTTAAGTGATGTTGATTGGCTACTTTTTATTGAGAATGGGCAAGAAAATTGCATCTGTATCCATCTGACCTGATATCCCGAGGGTGATGAGATATTTGGCGACTTTTTGAGTGATGTTGATTGGCTGCTTTCCTATTGAGAATGGGCAAGAAAATTGCATCTGGATCCAGCTGACCCGAAGTCCTGAAGTTGACAAGACATTGGGCTACTTTCCTAATGAGAATGGGCAAGAAAATTGTATCTGGATCCATCTGACCTGATAAGTTGCCATAAGTCTTACCTAGTTGTCCATTGTCACCATCATTGCTCATCGTTGCATCAATTGCCTCATGTATCATCACTTTGACACTCTCTTAAAAATGCTGTTATTTCAACCCAATTTTGGGTAAAATCAGACGAAACCAGTCACTTGGTTTTATTTAGTAAATTAAATTTATAGTTACAAATTTAGCCAAAAGTTTTTCCAGATTTTACCCAATTTGGGTTGAAATATCCCAGCATTTATAGTGTATAGCACATGTGCAGTTAACATCGAGTTAGTGCCTTTTATATTGTGGATAAAGCAAAAAGCTGAACATTGTTTTTGCGAGTGCCTTAGCTAGCCGCTAAAATGACTAACAGCTTTTTAAATTCTATCAAATAACTTGTTTGTTAAGCCATTCAGTTGGATCAGTCCTACAATAACAGTAAGGAAAAAGAGCTTTGACTCGGACCAATACCGTTGGGTTTCTCCATATATCTCCTACTCGTGGAAATAATCCTTTGACACGATGATAATGAGTGTTTGCTGTCGCCGATTATATTTCTTTTCAGCTGGTGTAACATAAGTTTTCTAATATGACATGCTGTGCTCTACTTTTGTGTCCATAAATTTTCATTTTTGGGTGGTTGACAGCTTTTAGAATTTTGATTCTGTTTTTTTTTTAGCTTGTTTATTGCACATCTTGTCACACTCAGCTTTTTTAGTTTCTTGTAATAGGTCAGTAACGATAGGGGCGCATCTCCCCGTAATAGAAAGTCAATGGATAGGGTTCAATTGTCCATTAAGTGTGTCTCTGAAGTTTTAAACTTCAGATTTCTGCTTTAAAACCTCTGAAATATGATCTCATTGGTGCATTTTGTTTTTGTACAAATAGTTAATTAAATTTGTGGTAATTAACATTGAGTTAGTGGACTGAGTTTAATTTGTAACCTTTAATTTCCCTTTAATAAAAGCATTGAATAAGTGAATACATGATCTCCACTCACCATAGACAGAAACTCTGAATGTTGTATCCCTCAGTATTGCACCACTGATCTTGAGTTCATAATCTCCAGCATCTTCAGTTCTGATGTTTGTGATGGTCAGAGAGCCAGTGATTTTGTCCAGCTTCAGTCTGTTTCTGAATCTCCCATCAAGAACATCATCAAATATGGAGAAGATTCCAGCAGCTCCACTCATTTCTGCAATCAAAGATTTTTCAGCGCCGAATTTCCATACCAAATCATCATCTTGATGTATATCAGTAGCACGTAAAAGGAGAGAATCTCCCTCCAGCACTGACACAATTTCTCCAAACCCACCTGAAAAATTGTAAGTGTAAAACTGAAATTGGAAATAGTTTGTTATAATTTGTAAGAAAGCAAAAACAGAAAGAAGATCATTTGAATTTAAATAACAAATATAGTAATATTGGACGTTTTTCCTTGCATTTATAATTCTTGAAATGTACAAATGGCATGACATTTCAAATATTCAGTGTTTTTCTGTCGATAAACATTTTATTTATTATTTTTACTGATTATTCCAGGCCTTATTTTCCCACCAATATTAAATAAAATCATAATAATTCATATTTATTTATTTTTTATCCAAATCTTAACAGCATAATCTGGAATTCAGGGCCTGAAAAATGTTTTCATAACTTACCAGTAAGACACCAGCAGCACAAACAGAATGAGACCAACATTTTCTTCGGTTTGTTGTCTGATCTAATAATGCCATCCGTTAAAACTTGTGTGTTTGATGTGTGAATCCTCCCCCAACACACGCTAACCTTCCTAGTTCACAACCACACGCTCTGATCTTATCTGAAAGTTTTGAACATATTATATAAAGATCTTCTAGTACTTATTAAGTCTTAAACATATTTTAATGGTATACAAATTCATTATGAACAAGACCCCCTCCCCCCTCCACAGTAAAAACTCACGTTTTTAAATAAGTATTTGTCTGTTAAATATAGGAGTGTTGATCTATTTGAATACTTGATTTGTGAGCAAGTTGAATTGTAAAGTAAATCGGATGTTTTTACTTGGTTTCTAATCATTTATTCATATCATAATTATCATGTAATCATTAATCTTGGGTGTACAGTGACTTGCAGTTACATTCTCAGTGTCAAAAACGGTGTCAAACGGAAACCTTCTGTGGCCTGATTCTCTTGCATGCATGGTTTGATCTGTTGGGTGAGCCAATCACGTTTGTTCGGCCATTTGTTTAATGTGGTTTGGTTTGGTTTGTAGCTGAACGAACTGAACTGTACTTCCTGTTTTGCTGTTGTTATCTTATAGTTGATCAGACAAAAGGGAAAATCTAACCAGTCTCAGGGACGTGGATTCTGACTTTTTTTTTAGTTAAAAAAATTAAATTAAATTAAATTCAGCAAGGCTTTGAGAAATGGTCCAGAAATCTGTCTGCAAGATTGAAGTGAAAGTGAAAGTGAAATTAAAAGTTAAAGTGAAATGTATATAATTTGTCATGTGTGATCTAGGTGCTGTCCCGTGTTTTAAAATTATTGTTAAACTAGGCCTATTATTTTCAAAAAGTTGGAAAAAATAGATCCAAAATGTAAAAAAAAAGCACCAAGTCTTTGTTAGGGGTTCATAACAGTTGACGCTGTGTACCAGTGTTTATGTTTGGCCATCTGGTGGTCAAAAGACCAAAGTGAACAATGCATATAAAATGGATTATGTAAATTAAGTCTCTGATGTCCCTAGAGTGCGCATGTGAGGTTTCAGCTTAAAGTACCTCACATATGATGTTAAACAACCCTTTGAATCTGCCCCTTTTAGGCTTTGATCCACATTGTGCCATTTAAACATCTTAATTTTTGTTCTTAAAGTGAGGATAACCTCCTGCATATCTTATTCCAAAAGCTATAAGATATGTCAGAAATGTATGTTTTTTTTTTTTTTCAAATAAACAGTGGTGTTAAGCAGGGGTTCCCAAAATCAGCCTGCGACCCCCAAATTAACCATTCAAGTGACTTGCGACCTCCAATATCCTCTGAGGTGGTTATAAATACAGAAACCTTGCATGCAATGACGTACACACACCAATAGACCCACATTTATTTTTTGTTTAATTCTTTTTTTAATGTATGTGAGTGCTGTAAATTTGCCAGAAAGGTAAACCTGGTATTATAAAATCTATCTGCTGTATCTGACACTATTGCTGTGTCTTTAATATAATGTATTTACCCCAGGGTTCACAATCCAATTTAGTATATAGTAACTATAAACAACTATATTGTCTTTTCAGTATGGATAAAATATGGTAATTCTTAAGGTTTAATCAAAATAAATAGATTTTTGGAAATCACCAGGTGACTTTGAAACCTCACTTTGAGAACCAGTGGTGTAAAGTAACAAATTACAAATACTCAAAATACCGTAAGTGAGTTTTTATAAGGAATTGTAATTATTAAGTAGGTTTAAAAACCTGTACTCTTACTTGTGTACATATGTAGTGCATAGTCTATGTGGATTATAAAAAATCAGTCCTGTGATTTCTGTCCAATTAGATCACACATAGAAGGGCAATGTATAAATGCAGTTAACTCTTTGGAAGCATTATGTTTAAGAACATGTCTAAAATCTTTACACACATTGACACTGTTTAGATGCATGTCACTGATGAGAAGATGGCAGATGTTTACTGTATGATGACCGAAATGGCCTTCAGCAATAACTAAATGCAGTACAGAATGTTACGTTTACACACATCCACAAATGACATGTAAATGCATCAGCTTTTTACAGCGTAATACTCACTACTCTTGAGTACTTTTGATAGGGCTACTTTTTTCTTATACTTTTGAGTAATATTTACAACCAGAGATGTATAAAGTACTAGAGACCCAGACTTAAGTAAAAGTACAAGTGCTCTATCGAAAAGTGACTTGAGTAGAAGTTGAAGTGCTCTTTAAGCACCATTCTAAAGTATTCAACATCTTTTGTACTTAAGTATTGGAATGAGTTTATTTCAAAATTTACTACTGAAATACTAAAAGTAAAAGTACAAGTATTGTGTGATGTAGTTAATAAAGAAAGCAGTCTTTAAAAAGACATCAGATTGTTTATTTATTTTAAATATCTTTTTTAGGGGGCACGTGATTAAGCAGAACGAAAAGAAACATGGCTTAAGATACTGTTTTCCTCTAGCACTTGAACCACAGATCTGACAGATTATAACAGCTTTAACAAACACCTTTCAAAGTTGTTTGTCACAAAAACACTCCGTAATTCACTCAAAACGCTATTGAAACCCGTTTTCAGATCGCAAATTACCAGTTGTAAACGCTGCAAACGGAAGTTCTAAACATTCTACCAGAAGACGCTGGTCGCTATGGCGCCCTCCATGCAGCATCCAAGATAAAGGTCTATAAATGTAAGAAGTAGGGGTGTGAATCTACACTGGTCTCACAGTTCGATTCAGTTACAATTATCATGTCATCGATTTGGTCGAATTCGATATCTCAGTGCATTAACGATGCTTTTCATACATAATTAGATTTTTTCTTCACGACACAAGAATTTTTAAAATTAAAATCTATAAATATATTTATATATTATTTGTAATACAATTTTGTTCTTTAATACAGCAGTAAGACATAGGAACTGTAACTTTAATTGTACCTGCTCAAAGAAAACACTCTTTCTGAATGTATCAAACAAAACTCAAGTACATGCACGGAAGACAGCATGAGCATTTATAGCAAATAAACTAATGTAAATATTATCCCGCTTGCTTTTAGAGCGCTGACAGGGGTGGTCTTACACCCCTATGATTGGTCATTGTCTTCACCTGCTCAACAGAAAGGGCTGCGATCGGCTTTAGAAATGAAAGCGCTGTTCACCGATAGCGGTAAGAACTGCCGCGCTTACAATCTATATGTGCATAATACGCGGTTATCACAGGTAATCCATAATAAACACACTGGAGAAAACTTGTGAACTTATGATCTATTACTGAACTGATATCGATCATTTTGACACCCATGGTAATTAGTGACGATGCAGCTCAGAAAAAAATCTATCAGAGTAAAAGTATTAAACTCATCGAAAATATGTACTGAAGTACAGTACAATAAAGAGTACAGCTACAGCCTTTTAGTACTTAAGTACAGTAGTTTACAACAGATACTTTTACTTTACTTGTTCTACATTTTTGGTCAAGTAATGGTACTTTAACTTAAGTATGATTTTTTTTTAGTATTCTTTCCACCACTGCAAGTAATTTGTAAGCACTTCATGAATAAATGTGAATAAATAAATTACTCAAGACATTTACCGCCACCTAGTGGCAGTTCATTTTAAGCTTCTGGAAAGGAAAAAAAATCTCTGCCATTTTAATTTAACTCAGTTAAATTACTGATTAATTTGTGATTAATCGCTACAATGTGTAATTATTTAGATGGAAAGGAAACGTTTATTGACAGTGTCATGTCGGGTTATATGGTTAATTCACACAAATGTACAAAAAAAGCTTAGTCTTAGTTTATTCGATTCATCTATAGCGCATGTGTTTGGACTGTGGGGGAAACCGGAGCACCCAGAGGAAACATGCTAATTCGGGGAGAACATGCAAACTTAAAAATACCAACTGATCCAGCCAGGGCTCGAACCAGCAACCTTCTTGCTGTGAGGCGACAGATGAGGCCATCACCATGTCAAATTATCCAAACCTCTAAATATACCTGTAAATGTAACAACTAATTATTTTTCACATTTTCTAAAAACAATTTGACCGGGAAAAATTCAAAACATCTATTTATATAGACAAAACACGTCTCATTTTGATCATTGAACAGTGTTGAGGCAATTACAAAAAACGCGAGTTGCATATTCAGATCACTAATAAAGTTTTGCATAAATGCTTGCATTTCTCGAGCGTTTTTCAAGAAAATATCTTCATTACTTTTTTATGTAACGCTTATGGTGTGTAGAAACATAGTACTATAGCTATAAATATTAATTCATAAATATATTATCACCTTGGAGTTGTAAGGTTTTATCTGTTTTCTGAATGATTTTGAAATGTTGAGCTTCAAAGTTTCTGCATTCCATATAGCATGTATGTGTGTAACATTTGTTTTTTTTTTTTTATAAAAAGTCTTAATGTAAACAACTTATAAAAATCATACCATAATGTAAATAAGTTGTCATTTAATAAGAATATGTCAATCCCTCAATTTTGACAAAAAATGTCAGACAGAACCTAATAATTCTAAGGTGAGAATATGATTCGCTTGCACAGAATCCATGGCTTCAAATGAATAGAAAGTGAAATGCATGCGATATGTCGTTCATGTGGTTTGGGGTATGGTCATGCAAGACATCAGTCCAGAGAGACTTCAGAGTGTTTTAATTTCAGTATTTATTAAAGTTACCTTCAAAAAGTAATGAATTAGAATTTTGTTTAAAAAATCTAATAACGTAACATTGCTTTAGCATTATGTTCTGTTTCTTTAATCTAGACATGAAATGCCCAAATATGGCCCGTATGCACCACTGATCAAGATCTCTAAAAAAATGTGTTCACATGTGTGATGTAAATTTACACCAAAGTGAAACGTGACGTGAATAAACATTAAGAATGAAGGAAATGTAAATTCATCTGGCTCTTGACAGAAACTTGACAGAGCTGCTCTTCTGGATGCCATGAAGAGTAGTATGAAAAGTCTCTAGTACATTCTATTCAGAATTTGAAAGGTTTGTGCCATGTTTCAAAGATTTGATAAGTTTACATAATGTCACTGGCAATATTCTTATAAAATAAAGATTTAACATGTTTAACGTATTGTGCGTTTTGTTTAAATTACTGATGACTGGACTGTTCACACGTGTTAAGACACTTAAATTAAGGTTGAATTTTCAAGTCAGTGAGAAAAACTATCGATGTCGTGTTTTTTTTTTTTTTCATTGTCATATTTTGGCAATTATTATAAGTATTTCGGCAGTATTTTATGCAGCCTATACAACATTAAACATAAAAAATATATATTTTTAAATATATATTTATTACATTTTCTACATAGATGCAAGATATTTGAAGCAAAATCATAAAGGAAAAGTTATATAATTCAATTTTAATATCAACAATTTCACCTTAAACAAACAATAAAACATTATATAGCTGGAAACGTTAAGATAACAGGGGAATTAGGCTAGTCATCATTTGAAGTAAAGAATGTTTTTCAAAGTTGTCATAAGACAGGAATGGGTGTTGTTTAATAGTTTTCGGAAGACTATGAAGAAACTTTACTGTGAGAAGTGAACATTTGATCCTTCGCTTTGACTACTGTATTTGTATGCTTGTTATTACTGTGTGCCCATTTCTTTCAATTTTATTTGTTTATTTTTTATAATGCAAGAAAGAACAATTACAAAGCCATAATATGAACAAAGAGACGAGCAAATTATGCACGATTAAAAGATTCATATGGAAAGAGTTTTACATGCAACATAATAATTAAAGTCTTTTAAGGAGTTGTTTCTTTGAAAATGTACATTTGTGGATGTAAGATTTAGCCATAAGCAATACATTATTAAAAAATATGGGTTCTAGGATCAGAAGGACAGAATTATACTGTTTTGGGGTATACAAAAGTTTGGAAAGAAAAACATTTTTAATAAAATTGTAAACCAAAAAGCTGCACTCCCTGACGTCACCGCGAAAGCGAAAGCATAGACACACAGATCTGTCAGCTCTCCATTCGCTCTTGCGGCACTTTTGACTTTCGAGTTGTTTTTGAAGCTTCGCTGTCTTGCGAGATTTGACAACACATTTTGACTAAATTGTTTTTAAATAATTTTATATTACTTCCTTGAGGCCACTCAGCTATGAAGAAAAATGAGAGTGTTTATTTGGATCTTATGGAGTGTCATCAAAGGTAAGCATTTGGCATTTTATTTAGTACAAATTAAAAAAGCTTCTGTAGCCTTTAAGTAGCTGATGAATTAAAATGATGTGATTGCGGTAAAGCTGGTTTATCGCACAATCGTTCTGTGACAATTTGTGACATGCTGCAACATCTGAAAACAAAATTAGCTCTATTCATATAAATAAAATGAATACTACACAGGGGCGTTGCTAGGATCGAAGGGGATAAGGCGCGTATCCCCTACCCCACACCCAAAATTGTAACACCATAAAGGAAAAAAAAAACATCGACTAACTCACTTCTCATTATTCTCAAATTATACCTCTTGGGCCTCTTATCTCCTCCTGATTTTCAGTTTGTTTGTTTTTTGAAAATGTAATTTTCTTCATGTCTTTATATCTGAAAATATGATTTATTTTATAGTGCGAGATGTTATCCAATGTAATACGAAGCTACAAACATGTTCATTTGGACAGGGTGATTAACTTAGGCGTAGTTTACTGGAATTTCTAAATTTAATACCTTGCGAAATATTGATATTCAATAGTCTACTGTTTTTGATATAATAACAATTATTATAAAAATAATTATTTTTATAAAAAAATGTATAAAAATAAGTTTACTTCAAATGTCTTTAGAGGGAGATTTTTTTAGTTTTCCTCAAAATAGGTTGATGTGGGCAGTGTAACACTTTAAATGCATGTAATGCCTGTTCATTCATACTTGAGCAGAAATTCCACATATGCCTCACAACACTAGAACATTCCAGGAAATCCCTACTATGGATGAAGGAATTCAGCTATTGCTGTAGTTGAATGAATGAAAATAAGATCTGAATGAACATAAAAAGGCTTTAACTGATCAATTACACAACAATAAATGGTTTATATGTGTTCTTCCAGCCATCTTAGGTATTTTTATAAGAATAAAGTCGATTTATAATTCGGTGCTAACTGATATACCATGTTATAATAGAAGCTATAAAATAATAAGCTAGATGCATGAACTCGCTGTGATTTAACTATTACAGAAACAGATGTGCCTGGCTATATCAGATCTAGATAAATATGTCTACATATCTATATAATATCTAGAAAGCTAGTACAGTTTACGTTTTTCTGACTAATTCACATGTATTTACTTTCATATAATGCACATTTGATCGATTAGTTATTTTATTTCACCAAAACTACACACATTTTATACTGTGAAAACATATATTAAGCTTCATCAGTAGTTAGAACTATTCAGTTTGGCGAAACAGTTGTATTATTACCTCATCAGCATCAGCTCCTCAAAATAATTATTTTTAAACCATGTGACAACAGTTGCATAAAACATATTCTAGATAAGTTGGTGGTTCATTCCGCTGTAGCAACCCTGGATTAATAAAGGGACTAAGCCGTAAAGAAAATGAATGAATGAATGAATGAATGAATGAATGAATGAATGAATGAATGAATGAATGAATGAGTAAATAACGCATTACTTTAATATTTGAGTTACTTTTTTTAAAATGTAATGTGAGTTTAAAAAATAAATTGATGAATCAAAATGATCTGCCGCGGGAACAGACAGAAACCAAGATGGCAGAGCCTTACATTTCTGTGGGGTTTCTCATTAATTTGAACACATGGAAGAAAATGGGATTATAGTCTCAATGGATGGTGATTTTACTGAACTAGTAAGACAAAAATACAAAAGTAGCAAAGACATTGCCTTCAACTTTCATCAATCTGCATATGGCATGTGTAAGGAGGTTCTCAGAAGGTAACATTATTCCAATTTATTTTAGTGTAATGAAGGTGTACAAGTTAAGTGTGTAATTAAATGCAGAGCTCCTCTGTTTCAAAAAAGAAAAATACCCTGCAAGTTTTGAGATCAAGCCTCAGGCAGGTATGAAAATGTAGCTCAAAAGTAACATAACACATTGCTTTCCATAAAAAGACACAACTTGTTACTTTTTTGGGGATTAACTCAATATTGTAATGCATTCTTTCAAAAGTAACTTTCCCCAACAGTGGTGTAGACTATCTTTTAAAAATCATATATTATTGTACTTCTCCATTGAGAAGACTTTTACCTAAATCATTTTTTTAAATACATCCTTTGGAGCCAGCCTGGCGGAAATACATCAAGGCACACCCAAATCCAAATTCTTTTTTACTTCCTGTCTCAGGAGTTTTCTTATCAGATTGAATTTTTAATGCTTTATCACTGGCTATTTTTTGTATGACTGTTACATATGTCATTTTACAATGTTGTATGGTTGTCAGTCATACACTCAGCGGCCACTTTATTAGGTACATCTTACTAGTACCAGGTTGGACCCCCTTTGCCTTCAGAACTGCCTTAATTCTTTGTGGCATACAGTGCCTCCGGAAAGTATTCATAGCGCTTCACTTTTTCCACATTTTTTTATGTGACAGCCTTATTCCAAAATGGATTCAATTAATTTATTTCCTCAAAATTCTACACACAATACCCCATAATGACAATGTGAAAACAATTGTTGCAAATTTATTAAAAATAAAAAACCTGAAGAATCACATGTACATCAGTATTCTCAGCCTTTGCTGTGAAGCTCTAAAATGAGCTCAGGTCCACTGATCATTCTTGAGATGTTTCAGCAGCTTCATTGGAGTTCACCTGTGGTCAATTCAGTTGATTAGACATGATTTGAAAAGGCATACACCTGTCTATATAAGGTCCCAGGGTTGACAGTGCATGTCAAAGCACAAGCCAAGCATGAAGACAAAGGAATGGTCTATAGTCCTCCGAGACAGGATTGTCTTGAGGCACAAATCTGGGGAAGGTTACAGAAACACAGGTGAGCCTGTGTGAATTGTAGCCTCAGTTTCCTGTTCTTAGCTGACAGACATGAGTGGCACCCGGTGAGGTCTTCTGCTGTTGTAGCCTATCCGCCTCAAGGTTAGATGTGTTGTGCGTTCAGAGATGCTCTTCTGCAGACCTCGGTTAAGTGGTTATTTGAGTTAATGTTGCCTTTTTATCAGCTGGAACCAGTCTGGCCATTCTCCTCTGGCATCAACAAGGCATTTGCACCCACAGATCTGCCGCTCACTGGATATTTTCCATTTTTCGGACCATTCTCTGTAAATCCTAGAGATGGTTGTGCATGAAAATCCTATTAGATCAGCAGTTTCTGAAATACTCAGACCAGCTTGGTTTGAACTGCAGCAGATGGTCTTGATCATGTCTACATGCCTAAATGCATTGGGTTGCTGCCATGTGATTGGCTGATTAGAAATTTGTTTTAACGAGCAGTTGGACAGGTGTACCTAATAAAGTGGCCGGTGAGTGTATACTATAATACAAATAAATACATTAAAAATAAAAAGATTTTGTGTAAAGTTAGTTTTTGACCAACCTTTTCCATTTTATGTCATTTCTAGTATGAAGATGGTATTGTAGTGCGCAAAACTTGTTCGTTGTATGCACTTGTAATGACAGAAGTGTTTCTTTCCCTAAAGTCTTTGAGATGGTTTTTGTCTTTCTGAAAATTGACTTATGATTGCTTTTGCTGCTGCAGGTGTGTCTGATGCTGCTGCAGATAAAGTGTCAGTGATGGAGGGAGAATCTGCCACTTTGAATACTGGAATTATAAAAACACAAACAGACAGAATAAGATGGTATTTTAACAACAATCGCATTGCTGAACTCAATGGAGATCAGGTGAAGATCTGTGTAGATGATGTGTGTCCTGAAAGATTTAGAGGAAGACTGCAGCTGGACAATACATCTGGATCTCTGATCATCACAAACACCAGAAAGACAGACTCTGGACTGTATCAGCTGCAGATTAACAGCCGTAGAACAGAAAAGAAATTCATCTTGTCTGTCCAGGGTGAGTGTTATTTAATAAAGGGTTCATTCACATAAAAAATGCACTCATATGTTTGTCCATATTTGAAACTACAGTAAAGATGATTTCAATTAAATACATTTCTGTTTTTGAAAATCTGAAATTGAAAACCTTTCAACCAAAAATCAGAAGCCTGACAAAGCTAATGTGAATAAACAATCAATATGAATCCGCTATCCTAAGGGTTAATTAATTCAGTTCATTTTCATCCACTAGTTTCAAACCACTTCTTTCTTTTATTGAACACAAAATAAGATCGAAAAACAGTAAGCGTTAACTTCCATAGTAAGACAAACAAATACAATGGCTACAGGTTTTCTAGCTCTCTTCACTATATCTTCATGTTTAACAAAGAAAACAAGAAACAGTGGAGGATGAGTAAATGATGACAGAATATTCAGTTTTTGGTGTTGTGAGGGAGAGGGTGAGTCGACAATTTTAAAATTTCTTTAACCATTTTTTTCTCAACCATTTTAAATTACAATCTTGAGGTGTGTTAATTGTAACAAATATTTTTGAAGGATATTATTTATTTATTGTCATTTATTTATATTTGTAATACATACAGAGTTATTTCATTAATGAGGTTAAGGTTTAGGTTTAGGTTTATTATTACCAATTCTAAGGTAATAATACTTGTTTATAAAGTTGAAACGTCAGTAATGGAGTGAGTTTAATAATTAGATACGGGTGTTAAAAAAGCAGATATATATATATATATATATATATATATAATACTGTACACACACACACACACACACACACACACACACACACACACACACACACACATATATATACACAGTTGAAGTCAGAATTTGTATCTCCCTTTTAATTTTATTTAAAAGTAAGTTTATTTTAAAAAATTTTATTACTTATTTTAATGTTTAAAATGCTACACCATTTCAAAAGTGGCTTATAATTGACTGTCCGTTTCTCCAGGTGCCCTTGGTGCTGATAGACTTGGATCATCAGTGTCTGTGATGGAGGGAGACTCAGTCACTCTATGCACTGGTGTTCAAACAAACCAAAGCAACAGAATTAACTGGTATTTTAATAAAGGGCGCATTGCTGAAATAATAGGCTATCGGCGTAAAGTCTGCGCAGATGATACCTGTCCTCAGAGATTTAGGGACAGACTGAAGCTGGACAGTCAGATTGGATCTCTGACCATCATGAAGGTCAGCACTGAGGACTCGGGACTTTACACACTCCTCCATCGTGGCAGAGAAAAAATCTTTAGGGTTGCTATTTTAGGTAGGTCATTTATGTCTATTGACTTGTTGATCATACCACATTAACTAATATTATTTAATTTTATATAATTAGAACAGTATTACAATTTCCATTTATCTTTATTGCAAAAAAAACATCTGTGAAAAAGACATGTTACAAAAAGATTGATAGTTGGAGGTGATCATTTTCCCATTTTTGTAAATGTAAAATCTGGTAATTTTGGCCATTTCTCTTTAAATCAGATTACTTTGGAAAAAATAAAGCAACATGAGCCAAAACAAGGTGGCATGGTGGCTCAGTGGTCAGCACTTAGTGGTTAGCCTCACTGGGTGTATTGCATAGTCAAACACGAAACCTAGGGGTATGAATATTTTGGGCTTTGCAGTGTATACATAAATTCACTCATATGATCAAAATCTTATTTCACATTAGCTATTTAACAGCCAAAATTATTTATGTAAATTATTTATGTGATATTTTTAAAGTTTTTTTTATGCTTTATTTTATTTAAAATAAAAACCAAGGTCAATTAACAACTGTAAGAAACACCCCCCCATTGCTGAGAGTCCGTTTGTGGAAATTCGTGAGGTTTCGGCTGTCCTGAAACTTATGAGGTTTGCATGGAAAGTTTGTGGTGTCCCAATTGCATGGTGTTCGAGCAGGCCAGAGGGGGCAGAGAGCAACAGCGAGTGCGAGCCAGCTAATGCAAAAAGCAACGTTTCTTTGTTGCAGGGTGTTTTTAAGTGACCTGGGTTGGTCCATCCGCATGGCACTCTCTGCCAATGAGCAATTGCTATGAAGGGTGGGGCACACTCAAACCAGTTCAGTGACTTAGGCAATTTGGCCCCTGATTTCCAAGCCTGATTCGAACTGATTTTGATTGCCAGTGAGTCCCTTCAGGGTTGTAATAGTACTAATACAATAAAACAAAGAGACAATAAGTGTACAGCGCTTCATCTTTAAAAGGAGGCCTTTCTAAAAGTAGAATGGGAAATGCTGCTGTGATTAAATAATGAAATGTAACAATTACAACCTGGCATGCATGAAGACCTCACATGAAATGTTCATTGGCGTTATTAAAACAAGAAAAATGTTTGTTAAGAGCATTGACCAATTCTGTTCTAATGACATAAAGTAGTATGTTCACCGCCTAAAGCCTAATGCACAGATCCAATATATTGTACACTCAGGTCATTAAAGTATAATAATAAACTGTTTTAATTCAAAAATCATGTAAAAATGTTGCAATATATGTTGTTTTCAAAGCGCTGTTCAACATGAACATATTCAATTTACCTTTATTTCAATAGCGCTTTTACAATGTAGATTGTGTCAAAGCAGCTTAACAGCAATTCTAGTAAATTGAAACTGTGTCAGTCCATTTTTCAGAGTTAAAGTTTAGTTTAGTTCAGTAGTTAAATATCTCTGCCAAAATTACAAAACACTGAAAAGCAAATCCATTGATGTGTGTACACACTGTACATTCCATTATATCAAGAAACTGAGATAAACTAAAATGAGCATTTTCACAAATCAGTCATATGTTGGTTTGTTTTTTCAGACAGTTCTACTGAAGAGAACTGGAAGCAGAAATCAGTGACAGAGGGAGAATCTATCACTTTAGACACTCCTATTAAAACAACTCCAAATGATGTGCTGAAGTGGTACTTTGGCGAGATTCTCCTTGCTGAAATCACTGGAGATGAGAGTCAGATCTGTGAAGATGCTCAGTGTAAAGATGGTGAAGACGAATTCAGAGACAGACTGAAGGTGAATCATTCATCTGGATTTCTAACCATCATGAACAGCAGGAAAGCAGACTCTGGAGAATATACACTACTGATCAACAGCACCAGCTTCTACATTAGTAGGAGCTTCTCTGTGATTGTCACTTTCTCAGGTTAGTGTAATGATCTTTCTCATATCAGTCACTTCTCTTTTGAGATTTTTATTATAGTTCACATTACAGTGTTGCCAAATCAGTGACAAGTAGCTAAAGCCTCCTTGAAAAGTTTAATATTGTTTTCATGTAATGCCATGTGCTAAATTAGCATATTTACAATGTCCTTGTTTTGAATTGGCCCTTTACTTATTTCCTTTTCATAAGGCCTTTCTATTAAAGCGAAATTCTTCTCCACTCCCACCCAACATTTGTGACTATTTCTCACAAACGTTACATGAGATCTGCTTTCCTTATGTCTGTCACTGTGCTGTTTATCTGACGCAGCCGAGGCGGAGATTGAGGCACACTCTGACAGGCACTTGGGAATAGTGGGTGGGGAGAACCGGTATTAAAGGCACAGACAACAAAAACAGCTACATGATTTCCAGAGCAGAAAATCTTAATGTTCAGAAAGCTATAATAAATAATCTAATGGGTGTTTTGAGCTGAAACTGTACAGACACGTTCTGGAGACACAAAAGACTTATATTAAATCTGGAAAAAGGGGTAAAATAGGTGCCCTTTAATAAAATAGGACACTTTTTTTGGCAATAACTTGCCAAAATATCCCCAAATCTATAACACTGATCACAAAGATACAAAGGATTATCTTTGACATCTATGATTTTACTTATTTTCTTCTCTCTTTCTCTTGTTGCTTCTGTTTTAGGAATATCCTTAAGTACAGGAATTGGAATGTGTGTTGGTGTGCTGGTGCTGCTACTGCTGCTGGTGCTGCTGACGGCTGCTGCTATAGCTATTTACTTTACAAAAAAAAAAAACACAATCGAACAAGAGATCAGAGAATGGTGAGTATTAGAAACAGCTGATTTAAGATTTTAAAGTTGATTGAGAAAAAAAGAGTATTTAGAAATCGTACAAATATATACATCATTCTAATTAAAGTCACTGTTTAATTGTTTCGACACGCACTGAAGTGCTGGGAATAAATCAGGCAAGATCCTATGTTCATTAAATCTGTCTGTCTGAAAGAATCTTATCTCAGAAAAATTGCATTAATTTTTTTTGCTTAACAGTATGTATGTTTCAGAAACCGTAATGTATTTAATAATAATAATGCAATTATTTATTTATTTATTTACAATTTAGAAAAGTGGTATGAATGTTTTATTATATTAATAACTTTAAATATTTGTATAATAATAATAGTAATAATAATAATTAATATAGTTGTATAATTATTCAGTTAAATTTGGGTGCTACGTATGACTTCTCTTCTGATAACAATATTTGCCCAGGGATGCAGAATATCATTAGGCATTCGTTCGAAACAGTAAAATAACTTCCAAAATAAAAGAATAATATATATAACCATCTTATTAAACTAGCCAACCTGTTAATCTCTATTTTTTTGTAGTATGTGTGTCAGCCACCAATCAGAATGTGTTTCTACTGAGTGACTCTTCCAATCAGACACCTCAAACTCAAGATGCCCCTCTAATGAGTAATGGCCGGTCATTATGCCTGTCATCGTTTATCTGTGGCTGTCCTGAAAGGGGGATAAACAAGTTTGAGCTGCTTGAGCATGTGCACATGAAGGTGGGACATCTTCAAAATGACCAAAACGACAGAATTAGGCCAGAGGGATGAGCCCTTCTGAATGGAAGATGCTAAGCATCCATCAGTTTTACCCGTTGAAATCTTTCATTCTGAAGTGCCTTTGGAAGTGGTCAGCACTTTGTTTTGGAATAACACTTCAATATTGCAGCAATGAATATCACTCCATACTGACATTGCTGCTTTAACTGAAGCTCTTTGAATGACTACTGTAGAACAACCAGCAAACTGCCTTGGGTCAACTGTCTTCATCAGCTCTAACAAAAGAAAAAAAAAAACTGCTCAGAAAACAAACTCTTATTAAGATCATGTAAATGTTACATGTGGCATGCTTCTTGAGCTAATCCTAAGTTTTGTGTACCTAAACTTGTTATTAACTTCTATAAATGTAACCGTTTACTTAATGTATTAATATTGTTTGTATAGGTGCTGGATATGTAATCTTTTTAATCAAGGTTTGAGGTTTGAAAAGGGCTTTAGGCTTTGTTTGAAAATGAAATAGTTTTGCTTGCATAATTTATCTTACTAGTTTGGTAATACACTTTCCTTTGGCTTTATCAGGGGCTGACAATTACACCAGCAATAGTTTACTGTTACCACACTTGTAAAGCACTGGAAAAGGTTTGAATAATGCACCTGGAATGTACTTGAAAAGTGCCTAAATTTGACCTCAGAAAAGGTGAAAGAACCCTGATTGTTTACACTTCACAGTAATCGAAAATGGTAACTCAAAAAGATTATTTACTGAAGCTGCTAAGTTTGTCACTGTCTTTAACTTTAAAGGGCACATAGTTTACCCCTTTTTATGATTGAATGTTAGTATTAAGGTTCTTCTGAGTGTGTTCAAAGGTGTTATTTTAGGGGCGTTTACACAGCTCGCTGTTTTAGGGGCGTGTTGTCAGGGTTCTGCCACTTTGGTCTTGTAAATTCTTGTTTTGGTGGCAGAGCTCTGACACTACTCATGTCTGGTCCTGTTTCTGTCTCTGTGTGCGCGCGCTGTCGTGGGTGTACGCAGAGTGTGCGCACTGCCGCTTGATGTGGCCGCGCACGCTCTGCGTTCCTCAGACGCGCGCGCTCTTGTACTAGTGTTTGTGTTTGTTCTGTCAGCAGCGCGCTGCTTTATTCTCAGCGCCTCCGTCTAGTTGGTTTCAGTTTTGGTTGGGGCTGAGATGAAGCATGCGTGTTGCTTATGTGTGAGCGCACGGTAAGGTGTTTATCTATCGTGTGCTCGTGTCTTGCGTCTCTTTTCAAAGCACGTGGCTCGGTGTTTACATTGCGCTCTCCCGTCTATTGTCTTGTCCCACCCTCCTTGTTAACCCATTATTAGTTAATTGTGTTCACCTGTTTGTGTGTTAATTTTCTACAGTTTATATACCCCTCACATTTGCTGTCCTGTGCCAGTTCGTCATCACATGTTGTTGTTTGAACCCTTGTCTTGTCATGTTTCCAGTCCTGTTCCTTACCAGCCAGCCCAGTGAAGTTTGTTTGTGTATGTATTTGTTTTGTTAATGTTTTCCCCCTCGGGGTAGTTTATTTTGCATTTTATTTTATGTTTATTATTTAATAAATTCCCCATTTTCCTGCACTTGAGTCCTCGCTCCTTTTTTCCCCATTTCCCCTCACCAACCCTGACACGTGTTGCTTCACATGAAAATTAGTTTCAAATTCCCGCCCAACGTATCAAGGGGGCGGAGCCAAGAGCTCACCTGCTCTTTGTATGGCAACAAGCAGGCAGACAGAGACGCTGCATGAGAGGATCAGCATTCAGCCATACATGTACGCCTCGGCCACAGACCAAGCAGAGTGTACACAATCATTTGTGTCTTTGTATAGTTTCTCAGCCAACTGTGTGCTAGTTTAAAGTACCGAGCTTGTACACCGACTAATAACCACGCACACTGAATTAACTCTGACTGAGGCACCGAATGACCCACTTAGAGCCGCGACATGGCACACCAGACACGGACATTCGCATGTTCAGATGGCACTCTGTGGTAGAGATCTGCGCGGGACTAAATATTGAATCCCGCCAGGTTCTAGCCCGAATCCGACCGCTCCCGCTTGTATTCAGCATTTGTTGTCCTGCTGCCTGCCGTGCCCTTTCCCGCTAACGAGAGGGGGGAGAACAAAACCGAAAACCACCCAGCTTTACAGAGTCCAGACAGCCTATAACAAGCTGTCTGCATAAACACACACACATAAGCACGCTCTCTCTCTCTCTCTCTCTCTCTCTCTCTCTCTCTCTCTCTCTCTCTCTCTCTCTCACAGCAGCACAAAGGTCTCTCTCATTCGCGCGCACACACAACAACAAAGCGACACCACGTGAGGCAAAGGCGCTCGCACTTTACAGCTGCACCTAGTTAAGATCACACTCCCAGGGAGCTTCTGTGGCCTCGAAAAATGCAAACGGCTGAAGTTTAAGGTAGTTGCAATGAAAAGTACAAACGTGTGCAAACCTACCAAATGCTGATCTTGTGTTGAGCCCAATGAGCCTTACATCTAATAATAGAGCAAGGATGTTCCTCTAGTGACACCGCTTTGACTCACACGCTGAAAATGGCAGACGTGAAACGACAAACCGAGGATATGGTGACGCGCCTGTCAATCAATATTGGTGGGCGGGGGGACCGCACTCCTACGTAAAGTTGCGGTCGATCTAAAAACCACTCCAATCGGTCCACCGTTTTTATGTTGTTAAGTTGAAAAAGAAGGACTGTGTGTGTTTAAATCACCCCAATATGACGGTCTATACACTATATTTATACACATGTCTGTCCAGACAACTTGAAAAGTTGATTTTTCACCATAGGTGCCCTATAACCCTCTCTTGCACACATTATGATAAATCTATTAAAAAATATATTTGACTGTTTTTCTTTTCTTAAAATGGCTTAACTTGAAGTGCTGTAAAAAATGTTTTGGAAAAAAATATTTTTAAGGTACTTTATGAAATGTTGTCATATGGCAGGGGTGGCACACCCTGTTCCTGGAGAGCCACCTTCCTGCAGATTTCAGTTGCTACCCATATCAAACACACCTGCCTGTAATTATCACGTGGTGTTCAGGTCCTAATTAATTGGTTCAGGTGTGTTTGAAATGGGTAGCAACTGAAATCTGCAGGAAGGTGGCTCTCCAGAAACAGGGTTGACCACCCCTGCCATATGGCAACAACGTCCAACAGTGGATCTAACTTAGAAATTTCAAGTTTAAAACTTTCCTTATAATTAATCATTTTGTTGTTTGAAATGATTTATTGGTGTTGCAGCACTATAAATTTTAACACAGAACTTATTAATGACACCTTTTACATACTTTCCAACAACTCATATTCCAACAGCATTTATTCATTCCATTGTTTTTTGCTAAATATTATTGAAACAAACCTACTATTGTATTATCATATAAATAACATACAGTAAATATAAATGTTTCCTCCAGTAAATATAATAACAAATAAATAACAAGTCTAGTATATCCAGATCCATCGGAATAATGTAGCTACTAGCTGACAATGTTTATACAGTATATTATACTATATACTATACTATGCCTGTCATATCTGCCTCTGAGCTAACTTACCTGTACTGTCTCTATCAAATGTCCAGTAATAAACCCAACCATCACAGTACTGTAGAAATATGCATTATTGTCATACAGTGTCATAAAAAATGCTACTATAATTTATGTACATATCGCTCTTCCGGCTGCATATCCAATCTAGACTGTACCTTGCTGTTGTTCCATGTCGCATTTGCTATTTACATGGCGGACTTTGTAAGTGGAAAAACTGAACACTTCACTTGTGGAAAAAACTGTTAAACAGAGCATCTGCAGCAAGAGGATAATGAGCCTCCTCCATTCCGCCTTTACTTTCACTTTCTCTCTTTTGTGGATAAAAAAACGATGTTGTATGCACTCCACTGAAGACATCCATTAGCCTGCAAAATGTATTTTGTTTGTTAAGCGGAAAATTTTGTTTTTAAAACCATTACTAGATCCAGTTCTGATTTCCAGCAAACAAATAAATGAACAATAATAACGAAGTGTGCTCAAAAAGGTTATATCCCAACACGTCCTATTCTTATGCCCCATATGGTCCAAAACCTGAGAGGTGGACAAATCTAAGCTTGTTTTTAATAAAACAAATAATGTGTGTAGGCCTTGCATATTGTGTCGTGCTCCACCCTGCTCTCTCTCTCTCTCTCTCTCTCTCTCTCTCTCTCTCTCTCTCTCTCTCTCCCTCTCTCTCTCTCTCTCTCTCTCTCTCTCTCTCTCTCTCTCTCTCTCTCTCTCTCTCTCTCTCTGAGAGAGAACTTGGTGAAAACTTGAACTTGGTGAAAGTCCTACTTAAAATAGACAAAACCAGCCACTTGGGATTATTTATAATATAAATGTATAGTCCCAAATTTAGCCTAAAGTTTGGCTTTGACCATATTCTACCCAATTTGGGTTGAAATATCCCAGCATTAATAGAGTGCATAGCGCGTGTGCAGTAAACATTGTGTAACTGACTTTTAGAATGTGGATAAAGCAGAAAGCTGAACATTGCTTTTGCCAGTGCCAGCTACATCACTAAAATGTCTAACAGCTTTGTTTTTCTTAAAAGAAATTCTTTCAAATAATTGGGCCATTCAGCTGGATCAGTCCTACAACAACTGTAAGGTAAAGGGAGTTTGACTCAGACTAATACAGATGAGTTTCTCTATTTATCTCCTACTCTGAGATTTGAATAGGATGCTAAAATAATCCTTTGACACGGCATAAAATCAATTCAATTCAATTCAATTCAATTTGTTTATTGTCATGTGCACAGTAAGAAAACACGTTTCCCTGTACAATGAAATTCTTCCTTTGCCCTCCACAGTAAAGTCATACACACAACATACACATATACATGACATACACATATACACACAGAAATGACTGTAGTATAATTATGAAATGTAAATATATAAATTTCTATAAAAGTAAACAATATATAATACTGATTGTGGAGTAATGAAAACAGATGTATGAGTGTTTGCTGTCACCGATTATATTTCCCTTCAGTATGCGTAACATTAGTTTTCTAATATGACATGCTCTACTTTTGTGTTCCTAAATGCTCATTTTTAGGGTATTAAAAGCATGTGAAATTATAATTCTGTGTTTTCAGTGTTTATTGCACATCTTGTCCCATTCAGCTTTTTTAGATACTTGTTATAAGTCAGAAGTGATAAGGAAGCATCTTCTTGCACTAGAAAGTCAGTGGAAGGGTTGAATTGTCCACCCAGTGTGTGTCTGGAATTTTAAACTTCAGATTTCTGCCCTTGGAATCTCTGAATAATTGATCCCATTGGTGCATTTTTTTTGTGCAAATAGTCAAATAAATTAGTGGTAATTAACATTATGAGTTAGTGGACTGATCTGTAAACTTTAATTTTCCCAATTGCTAATAAAAGCAATTGATTGAGTGAACATGATCTCCACTCACCACAGAAACTCTGAATGTTGTAGATCTCAGTATTGCGCCACTGATCTTCAGTTCATAATCTCCAGCATCTTCAGTTCTGATGTTTGTGATGGTCAGAGAGCCAGTGATTTTGTCTAGCTTTAGTCTGTTTCTGATAATTCCAGCAGCACCGCTCATTTCGGCAATCAAAGATTTTTCAGCTTCAAATTTCCATACCAAATCTGCATCTTGATGTATATTGGTAGCATGTAAAAGAAGAGAACCTCCCTCCTTTTTCAGAACACCTGAAAAATACTGAAACAAAGCTCACACAGATTAAGAGTAAAGCTGAAATTGTCAATAGTTTGTTAACTTGTTATAATTTGTTAAGAAAGCAGAAACGGAAAGGTCATTTGAATTTAATTAACAAATTTAGTAATATTGTAAGTGTTTTTTTCAGCCATTTCTTGCATTTATAATACAAAAAGTTCACAAATGACATGAAATTTCAAATATTCTATTTTTTTTTTGTGCCTAAACATTTTATTTATTTTTTTCTGATTATTCCAGCCCTAAAATTTTTATATTTAATATAATATTAATAATAATAATAATATTTAAATATTAATATGTTAAATAATAATATTTAAACAGTTATAATAATTAATATTTTTATTTTTATATACAAATCTAAACAGTAGCAGCATTATCTTAAAATTCTGGCTCTGAAAGTGTTTTCATAACTTGCCAGTCAGACACCAGCAGCACAAACAGAATGAGACAGACAGATGAAGCATTTTCTTCATTCGTTGGCTGTCTGATCTAATGAAGCCATCCATTAAAACTTGTTTGTCTGGTGTGTGCATCCTCCCCCAACACACACTGACTCTCCTAGTTCACAACCACACACTTTGATCACTAAAGTTATTAATATTATAAGATGTTCTTCCAGCCCTTATTAAGACTTTAACAGTTTTTTAATTGTGTACAAATTCTTTATGAACCAGAAAACACTTTCCTCAATGTATTAATATAATTTTAAAGTATTTATCTGTTAATATAGGAGTGCTGGTCTATTTGATCTACTTGATTTGTGAACAAGTTGGTTTATAAAATAAATCAGCTGTTTTTTGTTGTATTTTAATAATTTATTCATATCATGATTATCATGTTATCAATTCCATCTTGGGTATAAAATGAGTTGCACAACCTCAAGGGTGTCAAGCGGAAACATTCTGTGGCCTGATTCTCCTCAGAAAGCGTGCATGGTTTGATCTGTTGGGAGAAGCAGTTGCATTTGTTCGGCCATTTGTTTGATGTGGTTTGGTCTGCTGAATGAGCTAAATGGCCACTTCCTGTTTTGCTGTTATCACCTCACAGTTGATTCCCTCACAGAATGGCTTTACAGACAAACAAAAGGAAAAAACTAAAGCAGTGTCAGGGTCATGGATTCTAACTCAATTGTTTTTATTAATAAAAGAAAAAGAAGTTTAAGATTTTGAGAAATGGACCAGTAATCTGACTGCAAGATTACAAGTGCAATTTATATTGCTGTCATGTGTCACAGGACAGGACACATTTCTCCATCCTGTTCGTGACAGCCTTTGAAGTAATCTTCATCAGAGCAAGACAGATAGCCAGAGGGCTGATGTCACAATCCGATGGAAGACTCCCTGTGCTAAGAGGGGACATGGATGATGTAACATCAATACTTCAAACAGCACCATTTTTACTCTCAGTTTGAGTAATATTTACAATATGTTACTATTATTTAATATTTTATACTTTTACTCTACTTGCACTACATTTTTGGTCAAGTAATGGTACTTTTACTTGAATATGATTTTTTTAGTATTCTTCCCACCACTGCAAGTAACTTGTAAGTACTCCATGAATAAATGTGAATAAATAAATTACTCAAGACATTTACCGCCACCTAGTGGCAGGTTGTTTTAATTTCTGCTAAGGCAAAACAATCTCTGCCATGTTTTGTAATTTCTCATTTTCTCAACTGTTAAATTACTAATTAATTTGTGATTAATCACTACAATGTGTAATTATTTAGATATAAAGAAAACATTGATTGTTTAGATGGTCAATTGACATAAATGTATTAATAAAATGTTCATTGAGACAATTTGATACATTTGGAAATTTATCTCAGACATTTACGTGTCACATTATTCATTCAGTCATACATTTATTGTTTCCTTTTGGGCTTAGTCCCTTTATTTAACAGGAGTCGCCACAGCGGAATGAACCACCAACTTATTTAGCATGTTTTACACAGCAGATGCAACCTATCACTGGGAAACACCCATACACTCTCATTCAAATACATACAACAATTTAGTTTTTTCAATTCCCCTATAGCGCATGTGTTTGGACTGTGGGGTAAACCGGAGCACCCGGAGGAAACCCATGCTAATTTGGAATTCTGGGAGAACATGCAAGCTTAAAAATGCCAACTGATCCAGCGGCCTTCTTGCTGTGAGGCGACAGATCAGGCCACTGCACCACCATGTCAAATAATCAAAGCCTCTAATTATACATGTAAAAGCAGCAATTAATTATTTTTCACATTTTCTAAAAACAAATTGACTGGGAAAAAAAACAAAACATCTATTTATATAGACAAAACTCATCTCTGGTTTTGATTATTGAACAGTGTTGAGGCAATTACAAAAACAAAAAAGTGAGTTGCATAATCAGATCACTATTAAAGTCTTGCATTAATGCTTGCATTTCTCGAAAGTTTTTCAAGAAAATATCTGGATTACTTTTTTATTTAATGTAACGCTTATGATGTGTAGAAACATAGTACTATAGCTATAAATAGTAATACATAAATATATCATCAGCTTGGAATTATAAGGTTTTATCTGCATTCTGGATGATTTTGAGATGTTGAGCTTCAAAGTTTCTGCATTCCATATAGCATGTATGTGTGCAACATTGGTTTTTTAAATAAAAAGTCTTGAAATATAAGCAACTTATAAAAATCATGCAATAATGTAAATAAGTGGTCATTTAATAAGAAAATGTCAATCACTCAATTTTGACATAAATGTCAGATATAACCTTATAATTCTAAGGTGATATGATTTGCTTGCACAGAATCCATGGCTTTGAATGAATATAAACTGTGAAATACATATTCACACTACTCATCATGGAATCCAGAAAAGCAGCTCTGTCAAGTTTCTGTCAAGAGCTCGAGATGAACTTACATTTCCTTCAGTCTAAATGTTTATTCATGTCACATTTCATTTTGGTATAAATTTGCATTACATTTGTCAAAACCTTTTACATATATATATATATATATATATATATATATATATATATATATATATATATATATATATATATATATATATATATATATATATTTATTTATTTATTTATTTATTTATTTTTTTGAAGAGATCTTGATCAGTGGTGCCCAAACTTTTTTTGTTTAAGGGCCAAAAACCAATTATCTTTGAAAGCCGTGGGCCAAAGATGAATATACTCTTTTAACAATTTTAAGCAAGAAGGTCGCTGGTTCAAACCTCGGCTCAGTTGGCGTTTCTGTGTGGAGTTTGCATGTTCTCCCTGCCTTCGCGTGGGTTTCCTCCGGGTGCTCCGGTTTCCCCCACAGTGCAAAGACATGCGGTTCAGGTGAATTGGGTAGGCTAAATTGTCCTTATGAGTGTGTGTGTGAATGTGTGTGTGGATGTTTCCCAGAGATGGGTTGCGGCTGGAAGGGCATCCGCTGCGTAAAAACTTGCTGGATAAGTTGGCGGTTTATTCCGCTGTGGCGACCCCAGATTAATAAAGGTACTAAGCCGACAAGAAAATTATATATATATATATATATATATATATATATATATATATATATATATATATATATATATATATATATATATATTTCTAAAAAGAAATCGTTTAAAATCTCTTTTAACCATATTAACTAATGCAGTATAACTTTTTAATTATAACTTACTGCAATAAAATAATCCCATTTGTAAGCAAAGTTCAATGCTGAATACATTATTCCAGCAAAATCTACCTTTACCTTGATTTGCTCACCACTTTCAATGAACATTTTGATTCTTTAAATGTTGACCACTGTATAGTCTATATGCTTGTTATCAGTGTGTGTCCATTTCTTTTATATTTATTTATTTTATTATGCAAGAAAGATTACAAAGACAAAATATGAACAAAGATACATAAATCCCAGCAAATTGTACATGATTAAAAGAATCACACCAAGAAAGAGTTTTACATGCAGTATAATTATTAGTATTTTAAGGAGTTCACATAAAAATCAAAACCCTGTTTGGAAAAAAAGAAGCTTTTTCTATGAAATGGTACAATTATGGATGTAAAATTTACCCAGAAAAGGCAATACATTAATAAAACAATTATAATAAGAGGGATCTAGGTTCACAAGAACCGAATAATACAATTTTAGGGTATACAAAAGTTTGGAAATATATAATAATTGTAAACCGCAAAACTACAGTACACTCCCTGACGTCACAGCACAGCTAAAGCAGCTCGCAAAAGCAAATTCATAGACGCACAGATCTGACGGCTCTCCTATCGCTCTGCAGCGAGCACCACTTGCTTGCGGCACGTTTGAGTTCGACGTTCGCGGCTAATTCATTGATACTGCTTGCCTGACAAGTAAAACTTCATTATAGTTAATCTACGAATACTAATAACGATCGAATAATGGGCTTGTTTTTAAAGCTTCGGTTTCGCAGTCTTGCGAGATTTGGCAACACTTTTTGCCCAGCGCTGCTTCATGTTAACGCAGGCAGTGAGCACCTGTTGTAGTGTTGGTTGTTGCAGCGTAGGCTGCTTATTCGCTTCAAAAGCATCTTTAAGAAACGTGAATGGATTTCTGCCTTTCTCTGTGTAGGCTAGTTGCTTACGCGAGATTTAATGTTTCTGCTTCAGACTAATTTTGAATCCTGGTGGTTTTTAAATAAGCTTTATATTACTTCATTGAGGCCACTCAGCTGTGAAGTAAAATGAGAGTGTTTATTTGGATCTTATGGAGTGTCATCTTCATCAGCGGTAAGCATTTGGCATTCTCTTCAGTACAAATAAGAAAAGCTTCTGTAGCTTTTAAGTAGCTGAGGAATTAAAATGATGTGGTTGCGGTAAAGCTGGTTTTATAATCGCACTATTGTTCAGTGACAACTTGTGAAATCACGAAACAATGGCATCTGAAAACAAAATGAGCACTATTCTTTTGACTAAACAAGGTTGCACTTTGATAATCATTGGCTGTTAATATGATTTCACTATTTAGAATTAGCAAATAATATAGTTGTATTTAAAAAAATAGATTTGTGAAAGTTTATAATTAAGATCAGTGTTGGGTGTAACACTTTTCAGAACACTTTTTATTACTTTTCTTAGTAACAAGTAAAGTAGCGGGCTTCACGGTGGCACAATGGGTAGCACCTCACAAGAAGGTCGCTGGTTCGAGCCTCGGCTGGGTCAGTTGGCGTTTCTGTGTGGAGTTTGCATGATCTCCCTATGTGGGTTTCCTTTTCCGGTTCCCCCCACAAGTCCAAAGACATGTGGTATAGGGAAATTGGGTAGAATTGTCTGTAGTGTATATGTGTGTGAATGAGTGTATGGATGTTTCCCAGTGATGGGTTGCAGCTGGTAGGGCATCCGCTTCGTAAAATATATGCTCAGTTTAAACTGCAGTCATGTCTACATGTCTAAATGCATTGAGTTGTCGCCATGTAATTGGCTGATAAGAAATTTGTTTTAATGAGCAGTTGGACAAGTGTACCTAATAAAGTGGCCGGTAAGTGTAAACTATAATAAAAATAAATACATTAAAAATAAAAAGATTTTGACCAACCTTTTCAATTTTTATCTCATTTCTAGTATGAAGTTAGTATTGTAGTACGCAAATGTTGACTTTTGTTGAACTGTTGTTTGTTGTAATGACGGAAGTGTTTCTTTCCCTAAAATCTTTGAGTTGGTTTTTGTCTTTCTGAAAATTGACTTATGATTGCTTTTGCTGCTGCAGGTGTGTCTGATGCTGCTGCAGATGAAGTGTCAGTGATGGAGGGAGAATCTGCCACTTTGAACGCTGGAATTGTAAAAACACAAAAAGACAGAATAAGATGGTATTTTAATGGCAGTCGCATCGCTGAACTCAATGGAGATCAGGTGAAGATCTGCGTAGATGATGTGTGTCCTGACAGATTTAGAGGCAGACTGCAGCTGGACAATACATCTGGATCTCTGATCGTCACAAACACAAGGAAGACAGACTCTGGACTGTATCAGCTGCAGATTAACAGCCGTAGAACAGAAAAGAAATTCATCTTGTCTGTCCAGGGTGAGTGTTATTTAATAAAGGGTTTATTCACATAAAAAATACACACATCTTCCAAAGTGTTCTCAACTCTTATGTTGGTCCATATTTAAAACTACAGTAAAGATGTTTTCAGTTAAATACATTTCTGTTTTTGAAAATCTGAAATTGAAACTTTTCAACCAAAAATCAGAAGCCTGACAAAGCTAATGTGAATAAACATAATTGATATGAATCCGCTATCCTAAGGGTTAATTCATTCAGTTCATTGTCATCCACTAGTTTCAAACCACTTGAGCTTCTTTTTTTTTGTTGAACACAAAATAAGACTTCCATAGTAGGACAAACAAATACAATGGCTACAGGTTTTCTAGCTTTCTTCACTATATCTTCGTTTAAAAAAAAGAAAAAACAGTTGCGGATGAGTAAATGATGACAGGATGTTCAGTTTTGGGTGTTTTCTGAAGTTGTGATGGTGAGTTGACAATTTAAAATTTCTTGGGTGAAGCAACAACTTTAAATTATAATCTTGATGTGTGTTCGATGTAGCAAAAATGTTCTGAGGGGCATTTATTTATTTAAATATTTTATTATATACAGAGTTATTTCATTAATGAGGTTTAAATAGACAAATTTAAACCAAAGACAAATTGTAAATAGACAATTCTAAGGTAATAATGCTTGTTGATAAAGATGAAATGTCAGTAATGAAGTGAGTTTAATAATTAGACATGAATGTTAAAAAAGCAGATATATAAACATAAAACTACATATCTAACTGTATATATATATCTTTTTTATACTGGTAAGTGATATCTCTCTCTTCTGTATGTTGTAGTGCTGTATTTATACCATATAATTTTAGTGTATTGAGTGTGAAATGGGACTCGCATATCAGGAATGTGTGTTGTTTTGGCAGAAAGAAAGAAGAAATTCTCACGCAAGTTAACGTTTTTCCTTATTGCAAACACAACATCAGTCTGGTATTTATTGGTTTTTTCGGGGGTTTATTATTATGATATCCCGATTGCAACTGAGAAATACTGTAGACTTATATACTGCAGGAGATATCTCATTGCATTTAACATGACATTTAATGTCACGTTCAGCCTTACAATCTCAAAATGTAAGCAAAATCACCTGTTTTACTCTAGAGAATCATTCAAATCCCAGCTTTAAAGTGACGTTGGTGAATTAGTAACAGCTTCTGCTGTTCTGACGTCAGCTGCAGATGTGAATGAATGGCGGAAGAAAGTAGTTCCTAATACAAAAGAGTTTTAGACTCTCCGTGTTTGATTTCCTGTTTTATATACATGATTATTTAGTCAAAGTAGTGTGATATGGCTGTGTATTGTCACTGGTGGACAATATGAATGTGTATTGTCACTGGTGGGCCAGTGCTGATATACTGCCACATTACACTGATACTCGTGTGATATTGCTTTTATATATATATATATATATATATATATATATATATATATATATATATATATATATATATATATATATAAGGTAATAATACCTAACTTGATTCAACTTAAAAGTTTAAGACAATCACATTTTTTCTTTTTGTTGAATTATTGAAATTTAAAATATGATTTACTGTTTGTAAGAATTGGCACTGTAATATGCACACAAACTCTGAAAAGAAAGAAGAAATGTGGTCGAAAATTACAACAATTAAGTAATTCCTTTCCCTGCCCACCAGAGGGGTTAAATTCATCATGTGTCTTTAGAAAACATGCCATGATCAATAATACTTGTTTGCATTTTTGAAATGCTACACAATTTTAAAAAGTGGCTTATAATTGACTGTCCATTTCTCCAGGTGCCCTTGGTGCTGATACACCTGAATCGTCAGTGTCTGTAATGGAGGGAGACTCAGTCACTCTGTGCACTGGTGTTCAAACAAACCAAAGCAACAGAATTAAGTGGTATTTTTATACTGATCGCATTGCTGAAATAATAGGCTATCAGCATAAAATCTGCACAGATGATACCTGTCCTCAGAGATTCAGGGACAGACTGAAGCTGGACAGTCAGACTGGGTCTCTGACCATCATGAAGGTCAGCACTGAGGACTCGGGACTTTATACATTCCTCCACCGTGGCAGAGAAAAGATCTTCAGGGTTGTTATTCTTGGTGAGTCTTTTATGTCTTTTGACTTGTTGATCATACCACATTGACACTTTTTATTATTTAGTTTAAAATTAGACCAGTTTTACAATTTCCATTTGTCATTATTGCAAAAAAACAAAAAACAAAATGAAGTTTTGAACATATCTGTAAAAAAGACATTTTATCAAAAGATTTGATAGTTGGCGATGAAATCTTTGCCAGGTGCGGACTTTTTGATTTGGGTATCCTAAGCAATTCCATATATATATATATATATATATATATATATATATATATATAATAATATAATATTAATAATATATTTTATTTATAACACGTTTTTCTAAAACCCAAAGCGTTTACAAGAAAGTTAAAACAGCAAAGCACGGTTAACAATAAAAAATACAATAAAAACACAGTAAGCATAAAAGATATCACAAATTAAAAACAGACCTAGAGTTTTAAGTAACGTTTTAAAAGCGTCCAATGAACCGGCATTCCTAATGTTAGTGGGAAGAGCATTCCACAGTTTGGGAGCATGGAAAGAGAATGCCCTACCTCCCATAGTGCTGAGTTTGCAGCGAGGCTGAAATATTGTAGGACCCGAGGCAGAGCGTAGACAGCGGAAACGGATATCAGGTCACAAATGTAACCTGGAGCAGAAGCATGAACCGCTTTATATGTTAAAATCATTCATTTTCTTGTCGGCTTAGTCCCTTTATTAATCCGGGGTCGCCACAGTGGAATAAACCGCCAACTTATCCAGCAAGTTTTTACACAGTGGATGCTCTTCCAACCGCAACCCATCTCTGGGAAACATCCACACACATTTGGCCTAGCCCACTAGGGACAATTTAGCCTACCCAATTCACCTGTACCGCATGTCTTTGCACTGTGGGGGAAACCGGAGCACCCGGAGGAAACCCATTCGAAGGCAGGGAGAACATGCAAACTCTACACAGAAACACCAACTGAGTCGAGGTTCGAACCAGCGACCTTCTTGTTGTGAGGCGACAGCACTACCTACTGCGCCACTGCCTCGCGCTATGTTAAAATTAATGTTTTAAAATCAATACGAGACTTGACGGGTAGCCAGTGAAGCTGTTAGAGTATAGGAGTGATGTGTGGCCGAGGCGATGTACTGTATGTGTCAACACACGTGCAGCAGAATTTTGGATGTATTGAAAATTTTTTAGAGAATTCGCTGGTAACCCTCCGAACAAGGAAATGCAAAAATCCAAGCAAGACGTGATAAAAGCATGGACGTGAAACAACACAATCTCACGGCAATTCGTAACTTTTTCATTTAGTGGCTAATTCGTATGAATTCGTACGATCTAATTCGTACAATTTAGTACGATTTGCTTATCCCCCAATGACGGTTGGGGTTAGGGGTGGGGTCAGGTGCCACGCCTCCTTTTTAAAATCGTACCATTTTGTACGACTGAACTCGTACGAATTCGTACGAATTAGCCACTAAACTGGCAAAACGTAAAATACTTACGTTTTCTCGTGAGATCAGGCTGGTGTTTCAGCATCAGGCCTCGAGAGAAAAGGACGGAAGCGGGCTATATTACGAAGATGATAAAAGGCCATATTAGTTACATGTTTAAAATGAGAATTCAGACTAAGCTGAGAGTCCAGGAGAACACCAAGATTATGCACCTGTGGAGATGGTGATAAGATAGACCCATCAACCGTTAACTCAAATTCACTACACCTCTTGACGTTAGAAGGAGTGCCAACCCAATAAAATAAAATAGTAGTGATGTGAAGTTGTGCACCAAGGCTTTGAAGCATGTATCAAAAAAACGATACATCTCGCAGTGAAGCAGTGTACCGAAGCTTGATTTGTTTTGCCAACATCACGTGATCAGTGATGTCCAAAGCTTCATTTTCGCCTATACCCACGTGCCTGATTGAATTTTGATTCAAAGTTTTAAACACCCTCATGGCGTCATACGCGTCAATCACATATTTCTATTGTTTCAAAGCACTGCACTGGTGCAAAACTATCTTTAAAGACAACCACTGCATATTGTAGTATAGTGTCTAACGGAGGCCAGCTGGCGAGTGCAGCCCGGAAGCATCACTCACATAGTCTCCTCCTAGTGCATTCGGTTCCCATGAAGGAAAACATCAAACACACTGCTTCCTTGTTTGACAACATGGGAAAATCAACAAGCCAGAATCAACAAAAAAGCCAGATTACAATTTGCTCAGTTAAACTGGGAAACAGAATAATTTTTGGAGACATGTCCTGTGGTCTGATGGAACAAAGATTGAAGTGTTTGGCCAAAATGACCACCCACATAGCAAAATTTCTCTGGCCCAGCTCTGGCCCACACAGTCAGGTTTTGCTTGGCCCACATGCCGCAGTGAATTACAGTACATGACTGGACCAAATCTGGCTTCCAGACAAGAGCCAAACACGGACCATATCTGGGCCAAGTCTCAGCCAAGTTAATACCTCATAACTGGGCCTGAACTGGGCCAGATAGGTTGGTGTGTCACGGTTGCAATGAAATTGATAAACCCATGGAGTGATGCGCTTTAGGCACACTATGGGCACGCTTTTTCTCAAAGTGACCTGATTGGTAGAATATTTTTTTCTTTACTCAAAAATTAGTTTAGTGTATTTTAAATGTGGGTCAAGAATGGCCAAACTCACATGGCCCACTTATCAAATTTTTAAATCTGGGCCAAATACTACGTTTTTCATCTGGCCCAAATCTTGTGTGCCACCTCTGCCTAACCCGGGCCATGTATGGCCCACATGCTGTATGCCAGTGCCGGATGAATGCCTGCTGTGCCAGCTTTATGCCAAATCTGGGCCAGAATTCTTTGCTACTAGGGGAGTATTACATTTGGAGGACATAGGGAAAAGCTTACAAGGCTAGGAGCATCATCCCAATTGTAAAGTATGGGGGCGGCAGCATCATGTTGTGGGGCTGTTTTGCTGCAGTAGGGACTGATCCACTTCACAGCATAGATGGCATCATGAAGAAAGAACATGATGTAGAAATACTGAACCAACATCTTAAGACATCAGCCAGGAAATTAAAACTTGGCCACAAATGGGTCTTCCAAACAGACCATCACCCTAAGCATACTGCCTAATTAGTTAAAATGTGCTTTAAGGACAACAGAGTGAATGTTTTGCAGTGGCCATCACAAAGCCCTGAGCTCAATCCTATAGAACAGGGATGTCAAACTCAATTCCTGGAGGTTCGCAGCCCTGCACAATTTACTTCCAACCCTGCTCAAACACACATACCTGTAGGTTTTAAACAAGCCTGAAGGACTCAATTAGTTTGATCAGGTGTGTTTAATTAGGGTTGGAACTAAACTGTGCAGAGCTGTGGCCCTACAGGAATTGAGTTTGACATCCCTGCTATAGAACATTTGTGGGTAGAGTTGAAAAAGCTTGTGTGAGCAAGCAAATCTGACTTCATTACACCAGTTCTGTCTGGAGGAATTGGCCAAAATTTCTTCAAATTATTGTGAGAAGCTTGTGGAAGGATACCCAAAACATGTGACATTTGACCAAATTTATACAGTTTAAAAGCAAAGCTAAAAAAATACTAAGCAAATTTATGTAAACTTTTGACTGTCTAGAAATAAATTCTCTCATTATTCTGGCATTTAGCAAATGTAAATAATTTAGGTAATCCCAATGGACCTAAAATAGTAAACGTTTAGTATGATTTAATTAGACAATTAAAAAAAATGGTTATGTTATGTTCCTTTTTAGAGTGTACATACAACTTCTGGTTTCAACTATATATGTTGGTTTGTTTTTTCTGCTGAAGCATTAAAGAACTTGAAGCAGAAATCAGCGACAGAGGGAGAATCTATCACTTTAGACACTCCTATTAAAACAACTCCAAATGATGTGCTGAAGTGGTACTTTGGCGAGATTCTCCTTGCTGAATTGACTGGAGGTGCGAGTCAGATCTGTGAAGATGCTCAGTGTAAAGATGGATTCAGAGACAGACTGAAGGTGAATCATTCATCTGGATCTCTGACCATAATGAACAGCAGTAAAGCAGATTCTGGAGAATATACACTACTGATCAACAGCAGCAGCTTCTACATCAATGGGAGCTTCACGGTCTCTGGTAAGTGTAATGAACTTTCTCATATCAGTCGCTTCTCTCTTGAGGAGTTTTTAATATAGTTCACATCACAATGTTGCCAAATCAGTGACAAGTAGCTAAAGCCTACTTGAAAAGTTGAAATTGTTTCAGTGTTGCGTCATGTGTTAAATTAGCATATTTACAATGTCCTTGTTTTGGGTTGGCCCTTTACTTATTTCCTTTTTATAAGGACTTTCTAATACATCCTTCTCCACTCCCACCCAAAATAAAATCTTTGCATTTGACTTTTTTTCCAGAAAAACTAATTGCTTCCAGTCTGCTTCTCTGTACTGAGAGAACTTTTTCTGACAAAATCCCCATTCACATACTGTGGAAGCCAAAATTTTTAGGATACGGCATATTCAAGATTATTTAAAGAGCCCCTGTTATACATTAAAAGGGATTATATTGTGGTTGTAAGGGTCTCCAGCAACAGGCTGGCATGCATGGAAGGGCTAAAAACACTTTCATAGTCTTATAATATGCATTTATTTTTACCTAATTATCCTAGCAACACATTTGTTTCCAAACACCTCCTTAGCGCAAAGCTAATCGGCGCTGATTGGACCGATGACAGCCTGCTGCGATTGGTCGACACTGACAGCGTGTTATCAGCGTGAGTGTTACGAACCCCAGTTTTTTAAGGCTCGTCTAGGGACAGGGTTAGCAACATAAAAGGACACAGAAACCAAAATTACAATTCTCTATTTATTTAGAGACCAGAAGATACGTGTCCTATCTAATTAAGGTGGCAACAGAAATATAAATCATTAATTAAACAATAACCAAGTCAAAGCAATTGCTTTAACAAACAAACAAAAGTTCGGACCTTCATCAGGGCAAGATACGGAGAGATTCTCAGCAAGTACAGGTCATACTCTTCAAAGAGAGACAAGATCGCGAGGATCAGTCAGACGCGCTGGAAATCAAGAGCCACACCGACACACACTCAGCTTCCGCTTATAAAGGCGACAAGTTGAATTAGCGGCAGGTGCAAGGCGGAGCCAGCCTCAAAGAAAAGAAATTGCAATTAATAAAACAATCTCCCCCACAACACAAAAGTTACGTAGAGAATAATAATAATAATAATAATAATAATAAAGAAGGAAGGCTAAATAAAGAATAAACCGTGACAGCAGGGCCGGAGTGGGACTTCTTTTCAGCCCTGGATTTTCAAGCCTCAGACCGGCCCACCTCAGTTCACGACTGACTATATTAAAATAAGGTCATTTCCAATTCAGTTGCTATTTACACTATCACGTCTTTTTTGAGAAAACAGCTGCTTTAGAACTTCAAATGTTCAACAACCCTAACAGTATTATATGTCTTAACAATAAAAATGAAAACAATAAATTACTCTAACGAGGATCAAACCCGGGTCCGCGGAGTCTTAACCTAACGTGCTAACCCCTGGACCACAACAGCTGTGTGTAGTGAGGAGACACAACTAAATTTTATCATCATTAAAATAGATAAAAAGAGAAGAGTTGCGATAAAATAATGAATAAAAAGGCTGTGGTCAAGTAAATAAATACATTTAAAAAGTGTGACTGCTGAGAGCAACAGATTCTGGAACTAGGGACACCGGCCCTCGCGGCCAAAAAAACGGACCGGCCCACCGGGAATTCTCCCGGTCCTCCTGATTAGCCAATCCGGGCCTGCGTGACAGTGAGACAGAATGAAAGGCCCAGCACTGCTTATCAACATTATTGAAGTAGTTAGAGTGCAGAGTGTATGTGTGGGCATATCTGCCAACAATCCTGTTTTTTCTTACAGTTCCATCTCCAGCCTCCCACCCATTTTGTTATTTATCCCAGAATACTTCCATGATTTCAACCTCCCCTAGTCTTCAGTATTTTAATATGGTCAGTGAAAGCCCCAGTACACCAACATTGGTATAGCATCCTATCACCTGAAACACGCTTACAAGCTACTAACACCCAGGGCTGGTGCGTCCACAGAGGCAACTTTTGCAGCTGCCTGGCGTCAGAATAGTGTGGGCGGCATCCGTGAACCAACACCAACAGCTGACGGTGGCCATAGCAACGACAAACGGCAGTGGAACGCGAGCTCACAAGTGCATTTAAATCCATAAACAAAGCAGCACACATCACATTTTTAACATGGCACTAGACGCAATATGAGAATATATAGAGTTAACTTGATACAGTACACGCGTTTACAAGTAACAAAACACAAATACATAATTTGCTAGCTAGGAGGAGGAGCCATTTTAATCACACTTACTTACTTTTGTGAAATGGAGAAAGAAACTGATCCATGATCCACTGATCCATGTACGGACAGTCCCTTACATCAATAGACCTTTCTGATCCGTCCTTTAACAAACGGCCAATGAATGCCCTATTGTAAGCATGTAGATTGCTAAAGCACTCAAACAAGACTGGGCTATAATGCTGAGGAATTTTTGCAAAAATAAACCTCAACCACATACTCACAGTTTCATCTTTAGGTAGAGAAAATAACACTAACTTTCCCCTCACACCTCCAATAATATCCAGCTGAGCACAGCGTGACTTAATAAAACCGGCGCCTGCTACAGTGCTTGTCTTCCTCTTTTTCTTTGATACTGTGTTTCAGGTTTAAATTTTCCTGGGTTTGTGCGCACAATTAGGCGGGGCTTAAGTTTCGTATCGACGTCATGCCGAAACGTCTCAAGACTCGTTATCAAGACGATTCATTTGAAGCACTCTGAGTTGACTCTTTTATAAATGAATCAACAGTTTTAAAAACTGTCCACTTTTAGATTTAAGCCTTAGCTGAGCTGTTACACACTACATGGAAGGTCATTCTCAAAAACCCATAATAAGGGCTCTTTAAGTAAGAAGTTCATTTGTGTTGGTTGAATTTGCCATTATTATACCCTTGAAGGAAACCTATTTCACCCCCTTTTCCAGATTTAATATTAGTCTTTTGTGTCTCCATAATGTGTCTTTAAAGTTTCAGCTGAAAACACCCATCAGATTATTTATTAGACCCTTCTGAACATTAGGATTTTCTGCTCTGGACACCATGTAGCTGTTTTTGTTGTCTGTGCCTTTAATGCTAGTTCTCCCCACCCACCATTCCCAAGTGCCTTTTTAGAGTGTGCTTCAATCTCCGCCTCGGCTGCATCAGATAAACAGCACAGTGACAGACATAAGGAAAGCAGACAAAAGACTTATATTAAATCTGGAAAAAGGGGTAAAATAGGTGCCCTTTAATAAGATATAAGACTTATGACATTGCCAAAAACTTGCCAAAATACCCCTAAATCAATAACACTGATCAGTACTAAGTATTAGCTTTGACATCTTTGATATTACCTATTTCCTTCCCTCTTCCTCTAGTTGCTTCTGTTTTAGGACTATCCTTAAGTACAGGAATTGGAATATGTGCTGGTGTGCTGCTGGTGCTGCTGACGGTTGGTGCTACAGCTTTTTACTTTACCATAAAAATGGTAAAAAAAAGGTCAAAGGATAAAGTAAAACCATTTACTTTACCATGTGACAATCGACCAAGAGATCAGGGAAAAAGCAAACAAGTGAATGGTGAGTATTAGAAACAGCTGCTATAAGATTTACAAGTTCATTGAGTAAAAAGAGTTTTTAAAACAATTTATATTTTTACGTTTTCTAATTAAACAAAGTCAATTGTTTTGACAGGCAACGGAATGAAGCAAATAAATCAGGTGAGAGCCTATGTTCATTGAATTTGTCTGTCTGAAAGAATCTTAGCTGTTTTTTGTGCTATATGTATGTTTCAGAAACCATAATGTATTTATTAATAAAGCAATTAAGTATTTTTACTTGAGAATTTATAAATGTGGCATTAACTTTTTTATTATTATTTATGTCAATATCTTCACATATTTGTATATTTATTATTATTATTATTATTATTATTATTATTATTATTATTATTATTATTATTATTATCATCATTATCATTTAGTTAATATAATCATATAATTATTTTGTTAAATTTGGGTGTTAGGACTGCTCTTCTGAGAACATTCTACCCCTAAAAATGCAGAAAATCATTGCACATTCTTTCATTCTTTCTAAAATAAATTAAGTGAAGTTTCATAAACTAATTTCGAGAGGAGCACGTGATATGATTGAGCACTGCTGGCCACTCATCCGTAATCAGTAATAATCCAATCAGAGTGATCCTAGCTTAATATAAATGGATCACTTTCTCCTTATTGCTCTATCTTCGTTTTGGAATAATCCCCCCTTCCACCCTATCTCCTCCTTTTTCTCCCCTTTCTAAAGGGGGAGCTATCGAGACCTACCTAATCTCGGATCCCCTGATATGCTTATTGACCGGGCGGGAGCCCTGGGCTCAAATATCTCCAAGCTCAGGGTTCACTCCCGGGAAAGCCTGCCAAACCTGCTATAAAGGCCAAGCATATCTAAGTGGGAACTCTTGAAATAATACATGTAAAAAGTGGACCCTTTTGAGGGATATGCTGACAAATCTTTTAAAGTAGTTGCACTTTCTAATCACTTTGTGTTTATATAACCGAATTAGTAATCTAGCTAACCTGTTCATCTCTATTTTTATAGATAGATGAGACAGACTTTCAACCAACTAACTTTGCCACTGAATCATTCCATGTTGAAGAAGAAACTCGTTCGACTACCTCTTCCAATCAAACATCCAATAATCAAGAACATATACCATTTATAGATGAAGAACCGGAGGATGAGTATAAACCAGGCATACCAGTTATACAGCCAGAAAAGGGTGTCATACTTGAGTAGCGCAGATCATTTTTATATCGAGTTTTAAATAATGCTGATTACATGACCAAAGACTGCACAGACTGTTCTTTGAGATTTTATTTATTTTGTCTGTTGTTGTTTATCTGTGGTTCTTCTATGATGGTGGCTGAATAAATCTGAGCTGCTTGAGCATGAGCACATGAGGGTGGGACATCAGTGCCAAACAGCCAATCAAATCGATGGGATTAGGTCATAGGTATGAGCCCTTCTGAATGAAAGATGCTTTTTTTGACACAAAACAACTTTCTAAAGTGTTTTGAGTGCCTGAAGTGTTCATTAGTTTTACCCTTCGAAATCTGCCGTTCTGAAGACCCTTTGGAAGTGGTCAGCACTTTGGTTTGGAATAACACTTCAATATGGCGGCCATGAACATCACTTCATACTGACACTGCTGCTTTAGCTGAAGCACTTTGTTAACGACTACTGTAGAACAACCAGCACACTGCCTTTAGTCAGACAAAAGAAAAAAAGTTGGTCAAGACTGCTCAGGGACCAAACTTTTTAAAGATCATGTTAATGTTACATCGCACACTTCCTGACTGATCGATAATTTTGTGTACACTTTTTATTAACTTTTTAAAATGTAACTGTTTACTAAATGTATTAATCTTGTTTGTATGGGTGCTGGATATGTGACCTTTTTAATCGAGGTTTTAGGTTAAACTTTGAAAAGGGCTTTGAGTTTTGTTTGAAAATGAAATGATCTTACTAAATAGGCAATACTCACCCTCTTCAGCTGTATCAGGGGCCAACAATTACTCTGGCTACTGTTAAGTTTTACCACACTTGTAAAGTGCTGGAAAGCATTTGAGATGTGCTTGATTAAGTGCCTAAATCTGACCTCAGAAAAGGTGAAAGATTCCTGATTGTTTACACTTGCCAGTACCTGTAAATGGCAACTAGAAAAGTGCAACAAGCAAGCAGATTATTTACTGGAGCTGCCAAGTTTGTCACTGTCTAACTGTATATAAAAAGAAAAAAAAAGTTTTGTTAACAATATTCCTGACAACTGTGATGATTGTGGTGATGGAGAAAATTTGTTTTTTTTTTTTTTTTTTTTTTTTTTTTGTTTATTGATGACATATAAGGGTAAATCAGTTCACTTTAAGATTAAAGCGGTTTAAAATGACCAAAAATATTAGAAATAACTAAGGTAATATTGAATCACTAAAAGACATTTATAGACTGTTGAATGCGGTTTAAAATTACCAAAAATATTAGAAATAACTAAGGTAATATTGAATCACTAAAAGACATTTATAGACTGTTGAATGCTGTTCTTGACAATGTGTGTTTCGCAGGTTCAAAATGTTGCGTCTTTTTGTGGTAACCAACACAAACCTTTTTTGTATTTTGTTTTTGAAATTATTTGCAGCATTACTTGTTTAAAACACTTTCGATTAATTTCAAACTTTGCCAAAACACTTTAGATATATTTTACTGTATACATTTTTATAAATTTTGCCAGTTGCCAACAAATGAATGTGTCTCTATGGACCTCTGCTGGACGGTAAATGTACAGTCTGTTAATAAAAGTTTATCGACTGTTAAATGGTGTTATTGCAGTTTATTTCCTTTTTGTCTATAATATAAATCTCTAAATATACATTTTATAGATTGTTTGTGTTACCAGTTGGAAATGGCATAGTATAAATTGCATTGGGTTTCAATTGGAAACAAATTTTCAGATTTTCACCTGCTGGATGACTAGTAAAAAAAACTCTAGATGCAAATTAAAGATGGGACATGAGACAATCATGGAGACTTGAGGTGGGTTTTTGTCCATTAAACAACTATAACAATGATATATCAGTGTAACAACTTACTTTTTTTTTAATTTTGTTATTTTTTTGTAGGATTTAAAGTAGGGCTGCACGATATTGGAAAAAATTGACATTGCGATATTTTTTTCCTCTGCGATATATATTGCGATATTATATATATATATATATATATATATATATATATATATATATATATATATATATATATATATATATATATATTTACTTAAAACTAGGGCTGTGACGTCACCATGACAACCGCGTCACCGCGGTGGTCATTGCCACCTCGGTTGTCCATTGCCACCGGCCGTAGTACGTGACGTCACGCACTTTAAAACACAAATTACTGTTATGTTGCCAAGTATTACATATCTGTTAGAATATAACATTAGGCGCGATTCAGCAAGTTCAAGTTCAACTATGAATCTTGTTAGAAAACGAACTCTTACATCTGGGAACATTTTGGATTCGTGCCGAACTAGAAAGGTGAACGAATCAATTTGGATTAAGCTTTTTGTATGGGGGTTTTAAGTAAAGTGTGTTTTAATATTCACTGCTGAGTGCTGAGAGTCCAAACACTGAGGAGCAAATCCATCGATACGCAGATCCACGGGTCCCGAACCATGCAAGCTAGTGGCGATTGACGGCGAGGGAAAAAAAGCCATGTAGGCTTAAGCAGGTCGCACACCAGAAGCGCCGCTCGGCGGCGCGCCGCGCAGCGCCACGCCGCGCCATGCATTTTAGAATTCTAAACATAGGTTTCTATCAGGATACACACACCGGCGCCGCAAGTCGGCGGCTGTCGGCGGCGCCCGGCGACGGCTCAGGACGCAGTTCATTTTTCAGCCGCGCCACAGAGCGCCATCTGATTAGTTTCATGTTAAATATCATTCGAATGTGCGCGTCTGGTGTGCGATACTTTAATCTGTCATGTACGCGCCGTGTCGCGGCGCCGAGCGGCGCTTCTGGTGTGCGACCTGCTATACTTTAATCTGTCATGTACGCGCCGTGTCGCGGCGCCGAGCGGCGCTTCTGGTGTGCGACCTGCTTTAATCAACTCCTGTCTTCTAAACGCAGAAGCCCAGCTCAGCCAGGCATGGCAGAGGCATTTGCAAAAATGGCCAGATACAAAAGAGAAAGTGATAAATGGAAGACATTGACGAGAAATTGAGCATAGGCTATTTGGTAACTACTTAAGAACGCGCCGCTCCGCAGAGTAGAGAAACCTGCGGAACAGAAGGAGAAGCCCTCTCTCGCATGATTGTGAAAAAGTAGCCTGTCTGTGCATTTTTCGCTACAAGCACACCGTCTGACAGTGTATTGCTGGAAACATTATAACCCCATTCTTCACTTAAACCGGACAAAGTCAACATGTTAGTTTTTCTGGCAAATAATTAAAAATATGACTACAAAAGGTGGAGAGAAACTACGCTGTTTTTATTAAACATCTGACTTATATTGTTACTAGGTTAATATTTTCTTTTTACGTATAATTATTAATATTTATATTATTATTACACTGATTAGTAAAGTGCCATTTAGAATTTTTGTTAAGTTCTTAAAAATGTAACGTTTAATTGTTATTATTATACAGTTTCAAGCAGTTAAAGTAATGTAATATTTAACTACAATATTAATAAACAGTTTAGTGTTGTTTTATTAACGAAAGTTCAAAAATAAACATGTAGCCTATGTTTATACGGATGTTTTATTTATTAATATTAAATTCGGTTATTCCTTAATTTTTACATAAAAGGTAGGTTAACTTAAGTAGGCTACATTATTTGTTGATGTACGAGATCGAGGAACATTTGCCAGTAAATAATGTTCGCACCACTTAAAAAACAAAACAAATGAATAACTTGCGAAAAGGATGCAATAAAAAAATGCAAGCGCTTAATCATTCTTCACAATCGGATTCGTACGTGCAATAAGCCGAGGCTATATTGCGCCGACAAGAACAAGCCCTAAAACTAAGTCTAGAGAGAGAATTAAAACTAGTTAATATTAATGATTATAAACACGAACTGCGTTGTATGATGAACGCATCACAATGATGTCGTGATCTTTGCTGAAGAACTGATATGTTATCGCCGTCTCCCCAGCCAGGTTTTCATCTGCTTTTTTCCCCTTTTTCTGGATACAAAGTATCAGCGCCAGACCAGTGGTTTAAATTATATTTTACTCTCCTGATTTCTTTTCTTTTCATTAAAAAATAAATAAATGTTTAAAGTTTTGTATTGCATAGCCTATATATTTTTAAAGATTATCATTCAGCCTACCTGCAGCGCATGAGGTTGTGTGCTGGGCAAATCCCCTTTACTCATGCTACCCATTTCATTTATGACACTGTAAACCTGACTTGGCAGGCTGATAATCTTTAAACTCAAAAGGTGTTTTTAACTTGAGACTGCATGCTTCTGCAAAATGTGATGTTTCTTATTACAACTGTTAGCGGTGTCAAAATGAAAGCAAACATTAAAAAGGGTTTTGTTTTATCAATTGTATAGTTTAGTTTTAATAGCTAATGTATATAATAAATTATAATATCGATTATTGTGTAGACTACAATGTTCAACAAAACAATTTTATTAGGTTACTCTAATAGACCAAATCCCTAACTGAAAAACGAATGTGAAAATGACGGGCAGTTGCGTCTTTGCTAAAATTAACGACAAATTTCTTTAGCTTTTTTCCCCTTTAGAGATCAAAAGAGCTGTATTTAAATAATTATTTCACTAAAACATGAATTGAATGCGCAGTTCTTTCCCGTGTGAGTTTAGTGCGCCTCCGCCGCGTCTGCGTTTTTAAGGTTACAGGTGCACCCTGACCTGACGCGGGGACCAGATCTCTGCACTATTGCTTTAATTTCTCAATTTTCATAACTGCATTGCATTTTCATATGGTAAAATATCAAAATTTATGTTCTGAAAGTAGTAGGAATGACGGGAGTGTTAGTAAATAACAGAAAGAACTTTCACTTTTGAGTGAACTTCTGTCACGTGTTATTTTAGTATGATAAAATAAACAAAAATAGTAATGCAGAAAAGTATTTTTCGCTCTGCCAAGCCTTCTCTGTTGCTGTATAGAGAAGCAGCCTGCTCAGTCTCCTTACCCCGGCCCCACCCCGCCCACCGACTCCTAAACGTCTCACTCACTCACTCCCTCACTCACTCACTCACGCGGGCATGCAGTGTGGTCTCATGAGGAAACGCAGCTTTTTGATATAATGTTTTTCTTGTTCCCAAATACAAATAATTTATCAAGTATTGTTTGAAATAAGTATTCGTAAAAACACGCTATTCCTGCTTTTCCGAATACCGTATTCCGGTTCGGCTCCACCCATAATATATATATAATATTTTTTTTTTTTTTGCATCGCACCCTCCTGCGATGTGACTATCGCGGATGCGCACATCGCGATTTCGATGCTGAAACGATATATCGTGCAGCCCTAATTTAAAGCTGAAACTGGAGCAGGATGAGAGTACCTCTGCTGTCTTTTAATGTGTCTTGATTGAACAACCATCTAAAGAGCCTGAGGTTCCATTATTATTTACTTGTATTATCATTTCATTTACATTGTTTGGTAATTGACCAAAGTTTAATATTCAGAGTGAATATTTATCTTTCTATTGAGTGCTTGATAAACTAAAAAACACTTTTATTAACCAAGTGTAATATTTAAAAATTGAGCCTTTTTGAACCTTGCATCAGGAATCAAAACCAGTAAAGTGTCTTTTAAATTCTTTGATAGATGAATTTTTTTTGCAATTTTGTCCATAGCTCAAGAATTGTTTAAACACATGATGCTATCTGTTGGAGAGGAAAGGAAACTGCTAGACCAGGGGTGTCAAACTCAGTTCCTGGAGGGCCGAAGCCCTGCACAGTTTAGTTCCAACCCTGCTCCAACACACTTACCTGTAGGTTTCAAACAAGCCTGAAGGACTCAATTAGTTTGATCAGGTGTGTTTAATTAGGGTTGGAACTAAACTGTGCAGAGCTGAGGCCCTTTTGGAACTGAGTTTGACACCTGTGTGCTAGACTCTAGTTCTAATTTTGTTCAGCAAACAATCCTGGGTGTCGGTCAGGACACAGCAAATGAGGAGACTTGAACTTCTTTCAAAAGTGTATTGATATTAGTCTAGAAATAACGTAACATAAAGAACATTAGGATAATGGGTACAGTTGAATAGGTAAATGTACACAAAATAATCCGTCTCTGCTTAGTTAGGTATAATAAAGCATACAGGGTTATCCTAAATAACAATTAAAGGGCACCTATGGTGAAAAATCTACTTATCAAGCTGTTTGAACAGACGTGTGTAAGTGTAGTGTATGGACCGTCATATTGGGGTGATATAAACAAATACAGTCCTTTTTTTTTTCAATTTAACAACATAAAACGGTGGACCAATTGGATCGTTTTTCAGACCGACCGCAACTTGACGTAGGAGAGCGGTCCCCACGCCCAACAATATTGATTGACAGCCTCGCGTCACGATCATATCCTCAGTTTCTTGTTTCACGTCCGCCATTTTCAGCATGTGAGTCAAAGCGATGTCACTAAAGGAACACCCTTGCTCTATCTAAAGCTCATCGGGCTCAACACAAGATCAATATTCTCCACATTATCACTGTTATCAGAATTATTGCTCAGAATTATTGCAGAGTTCTGGGTGTGGGTTTCTGTCAGGGTGCACGCGGCGGAACTTCAGGTCAGCAGCTAGGCAGCCGCGGCGCCATTGTGTTTGCCCTGATGGAGGTTTGTGTTTGGAGTTCTGGAATGTGTGGCGCGACGATTCAGGATACTTTGTTTCTGCCATGTCACTGAGTGTCTGGTGTGCTGTGTCGCAGCGCATTCAGTGCCTCAGTCAAGGTTAATTCAGTGTGTATGGTTATTAGTCTCGGTGTAAGCTCGGCACTTGTACACCAAGACTATACAAAGACACGATTTTTGTACTCTCTGCTTGGTCTGTGTCCCGAGTTGTACATGTACGGCTGAATGCTCATCCTAGCTTGGCTTCTCTCTCTCTCTGTCTGTCAGCCTGTCTGTTGCAAGTGTAACGGGTGTCCCATCAGCAACACACCCGTCCATATTAACTCAGATCTTGGACTCAATGAAAGTAGCCGTCCACCATTGCACTCAATCAGATTTATTCTCTCCGTCTGAGATAAAACAAAAATATGTTGTGCAGGAAAGTGCAGCATTAACATTTAGCTCTCTCTCTCCTTCAGTCACACCGATCTCTGTGAATCTACACTGAAAAAAAATATTCAGAGATGACTCCTTTGATTTACTCAATTTTTTAACGTAAAGTGGTTGTAAACAATTTATCTGTGTTGAATTTAAACAAACAAATTAAGTCGAACATTAATAAACTTAATTTGTTTGTTTAAATTCAACACAAATAAATTGTTTGCAACAGTTCTGCATGCAACACTTTTTTCAGTGTACATGTAAGCGCAAAGGGACAATATACTCCTGCAATTTATCAACCACAAGGGGGCACTCAAACACCATCTTATTTAAAATGCCTAATTTCATGTTATTCACCCTGATGAATTATATTATAATATCTTTTCAACTCCGTTACATAAACACAGAGCGTGGGAGCTATTGGCTCCGCCCCATGTTACGTTGGGTGGGAAGCCGAAACTGTGAAGCAACACGCCCCTAAAAAAGCAAAATGTGTAAACGCCCCCAACATGACACTTTTTAACACATTACAATAAAAACATCTAAACTGTGTGTTGAACTGAACCTAAACTGGCACACTCAGAAGAATCATAATAGTAATATTAAATCATAAAAAAGGGGTAAACTATGTGAAATTTTATTAAGCACTAAATAATATAAATCATACAAATAAAGATGATACATTAGCAGCAATATGTATACAGAACCCAAGTGCGTTAATAATCAAATAATTTGCCAAACATCACCACAAACACAATAATATTGATTAATACTGCAGTATAAAATATTTCTTACATTTATAGTGGCTGCTGAAGCAATTAACTGTCTCTATCTTAATGATCACACGATCGGACATGAAGCATTAGGCATTGCATGTCTGGGCATGCCTATACAGATGTAAATGTATACTAATACACTTCAACATGGTTAAAAACATACAGAAATAAAGAGAAACTTACTTTATGATCACGTACTAACACTTGGAAAGCTTAAAACACCAAACGAACTTCAGGAGTAGCAAGAATAAACTTTAGTAGCACAGCCGTCGATCTCTGACTCAATAATGAAAGCAACAGAAAAAAGAAACTATAACTATAACGCCTTCTACTGGAAGCATCCGGTAATGCACTCTACGTTTTCAGAATACAAGTCTGTAGTCTAGCTTTCCTTGGAGCCTTTTCTACAGTATCTCTATAAAAGGGCATGAAATCAAGAATAGTTCTTAGAAATAGCTTTCTTTATTTGCTGAAGAAGACTGATGTGCAAAAAAAGGTTATGATGTGTATATAATGTACTTAAATATATGCAAATAATACATTACAATTTTGCCCCAACGTTGGTGAGTGAGTTTAGTGTTTTACACTAAAGGAAAAATTCAGTGCAAATTTGAATGTTTCATATGCACAGGAATGGAAAAAAGTGTTTTCAATCACGCAGTATTCACTATCATCAAACACAACCATCTGCTCAAGCTCAAGATTCTCTGTTTACAAGCTCAAACCACATCTTTGTACAGATGTCAATAATTTTGCTACTTTCTTCATGACATACTAAAACAATATGGCGCTGTTTCTCCAAACACTGCTTTGTTTAGTCCATTAAGTCCATATACTGGTATCTTGAGGCTAAATATGCAGAATGTGTGACAACAGCAAATCAGTGACCATTTAATCTATCTTTTCAAGCCAAACTGGTGACAGACTTGACACAAATTATGTTTATAATGTGCATTCTCATTTACTATAGTTTTGTTTTTTGTCAAAACTTTTAGTTTATAGTTTATTTACGATGGGAAATGTTTTAAAGTTGCCAGCTAATCAATATAGGAAAAAAGATAAATCAAGATTTTCTTTTTTTATTGCTACATTGCCCAGCCTTATTTAAATCCTTTTGAAAAGTACACGTTTTGCAGAGTCCACATTTTAAATCATGTTGATATTCACAGAATGTGTAACGTAGTGTTGTTTTTGACTAATTTCAGTGAACTTTTTTTTTACCCGTAAATAATTTCTAATTTTATATTCTTAATATGTTCACATGATAAATAACAGTATTAGTAACCTCGTGCCAATAGAAAATGTGCATTTTTGTTTTAAAGTAAGGTATTAAGTTGCGTGATGTCACTTCCTTTGGCTGAAAAGCCAATCGCGTCCCGCTCTCCTCAGAACAGATTTTAGCTTTAATGAGGCAGGTATGGTTTGAATGTGCTCCATGATATAATGTTAAAATATAGCTGGTTGAGTTCAAATGTTTATTGATATCGTTGGATGTTATGTTTTAATGCTGGATTTAGTTTAATTGTGTGTTTGTTTAGCATTAATTTTCAGTATATTGTGAGTATTTTGCTTTTGGTATTGTGTTACTTTATTATAAGTTAGTTATCTGTGTTTCAGCTTTATTCAATTTAATTGTAAAATGCTTGACAACTCGACCCTAATCATTATAGCATTAGTGTGCCAATAGTGATATATTAATTATGATTTTTCTGGTAAAAAAAAATAAAATAAAAATAGAATACAGTCAAATAAATACATTTCATTCATTGAGATATGTAGGCTACGTACATAAAGTGACAATTTTCACATTAAACGTCAAATGATTTTAATACAGTGACCTGTGCTGTGATGCTGTTTTAGCTGCTGATATTCAAAAATACATTGAAATGGGTTTTGTTAAAGTTGAAATCTGTTAAGTTTGATTAAATAATACCATTGTATAATGCCCTTAAATTGAATATATCATGGTGTAACATAGGTGGTTCATTCCGCTGTGGTGACCCCAGATTAATAAAGGGACTAAGCCGGAAAAAAAATGAATAATATAATATAATATAATGGCTGCAAGGTGACACAGAGGGTAGCGATGTCGCCTCATAGCAAGAAAGTCACTGGTTTGAGCCCCAGCCGGGTCAGTTTGCATGTTCTCCCCGTGTTTGCGTGGGTTTCCTCCGGGTACTCTGATTTCCCGCACAACTCCAAAGACAGGCGCTATTGGCGAATTGGGTAGGCTAAATTATATATTGTGAATGAGTTTGTATGGATGTTTCCCAGTGAAGGTTTGCAGCTGGAAGGGCATCCGCTGTGTAAAAACATGTGCTGGATAAGTTGGCAGTTCATTGCACTGTTGTGAACCGTGATTAATAAAGGGACTAAGTCGAAAAAAAGAATGAATAATATAATTTAATTTAGTTTTAGTTTTAATGCTTAGATAAAAAAAAAAAAACGGCATAACTTTTATTATACAGATTTATCATCAAATGTGACAAGATCATTGCCCCCTAAGGGAAGCAGAATATATGCTTACACAAAATGAAAAAAAAAAAGTGAAAACAAAGTCTAAAGGATATCAGTCAGTGAAAAAAAAAAAAAAACTAACAGAGCAAAGACCTGCATGACCTCTAATATTTGTTCCAGTAGTCTTATTGCTTTCTTCTTTTGGGGGGAAAATTTTCATACACAGGCTGCTTCTTTGATTTCTGAAACAGAAAACACAGACACATTTACGATCCTTGCTGATATGTGACAGGTTACAAAATCAAATATCGAATTATATATATATATATATATATGTATATATATATATATATATATATATATGTATATATATATATATATATATGATAACCACTTACTAGGAGCATGTCTATGGTGCCGAATTGAATTAGTCAATTAACTTAAGTTGCATGTTTTTGGTGGGAGGAAACCAAAAGCATGTGATCCTCTCGAAATTAGTTTATAAAGTTGAATTGAACTTGTTAAAGTACTGCATTCTCTGTGCTATTGAAACAATACAATTGGTTGGGACAGAATAATAATTATTATGCCTGTTATTTGTAGTATTTTTATAGCGATTTAAATTACCCCTTTAATATATGCAAGAAGAAACAAAAAGCTGGACTTTTGACTCTTTTTATTTATTTATTTTATTTTATTTTTTCCTTGTGCTTCAATGTTAAAACGGCCCTCCTTTAAATTGTCAGTCACTAAAATGCCCCCTGCCAATTCGAGTTTGAAATTTAGGCAGAAATGACAAATTACAATCTTTGTTTATGTTAGATTGATATCTTTTAAACCAGAGTTTTGTCGCTGTTTTGGAGCACACTCGCTTAGATATTATCCTTAAAGCTAACAATACAATTCTCACGGTTTCAATCAGAGCAACCTGTTCTCGATGGTAAGCAAAAAAAGAAACTGAAATTTACCTTTTTTTTAGCAAAGTTCTCATCAAGATTCTCTGAGAAACACTTAAGTCTATCGTTTAAACCCAAGATGGAGCTCAACTTACTTTCTTCTGGGAAACAAAAAAAAAAGGAATGATTGAGGCTGACAGAAACTCACGAGGAACAGCAAGGTGAGTTTATTTATATCGAGTATATTTTGGATTGTCATTGAGGTGAAAGTAACTAGATTTATTAAATTTCATAAAGCCACATGTATCATATTTGATACACAAGTTTCTAAGACCTATATGATATCAACCTGATCAATACTTTGGTTAAAAACCTGCTGTATATGATTTGATACTTGTATTCTCCCCCCTTGTGGATTTTCATGACACTGCAGGCCGTGGAAGGGCTTTTTACCTTTTCAAAATGGCTACTTTCATTGAACTACTCGGATGCTTTTTGGCTAAAAACTATTTGCTAATTTCAAGTTGTTATAGTAAGAATAAAATTTATATTGTTACTAACTTAATTAAATAAAGGTTTTCTTGATTGAAACAAAGCGTACATACTTAGTAATTAATTTATTTTGTTACAAATAAATTGTAGGATAATAAAATAGGATCATAAATAGGATCAAATAGGACCAGGAAACCTGACAGAGATAAAAACACTGCAACACCAATGACTTCTCACTTTTGTGTACTGTGTAAATGTAAAGTGCATCTTTGCCTAAACAAGAACTGAAACTACTAGTACACCTACCGCAAAGTGAAATAATAAAACACTGTAAAATGCTTAATTTCACAATAAATAAAGAAACAAACTGCACTGAAATGTTCTGTTTTGTCTAAATGTTAAGGGTAAAATAGTTTTTTTGTAATTAAAATTATCATTGTTTTGAACAAAAAGTTGCACAAACGCCTGATGTATCAAATGTGATACAAAATAAATATCATGGAAAAAATGTAAAAAAAAATGTTGTTTTTTTTTATTTAGATTTTTTGATTTTTGCTTAATACCTTAATAAACATCCCAGTTCCAGAAAATGTGAATTTTCTGACTATTTATTTATTTTTTTGCTATGTCAGGTCTTACAGGGTTAAGAGAAATACTTTTCTATGAGATAAAAACTGTACTAAATATGTAAAACAAAACATATAAATGAATAGTAGAATGTAAATACTTTTCAAAAGAGAAAAAAATATATGCAAAACTACAAAGTACTATTCATAATAAGGTACAAAAAAGTGCATGACTTCAAATAGACAGCGTAAAATCACGGCTTTTTAAGCTAATCCATACTGAAGGTAAAAATGACCAAGCTTGGATGTTCTAGAAAAAGTGCTTTCCTTAAAAGGTGGCATTATTTTATTATTTTCTTAACTTCTATTCAACAGATGCACTCTCTCGCTTAACAAAAGCATTTTAACTAATGCATTTCTGTTATTATTGTCACTATTTTATATAGTTCCATTTACTTATTCATCTACTTAATTTTGATCAGTGAAACTGTTTCTAAATATATTTGTTTTTTTTATAATTTTCCATTTAGATATTTCTCTAAGTCCATCTGCTGAACACGTATTTCTTTGGTTTACGTTTTACTTTTATTTATTGATTTGTTTATTTAATACAAACAATGGTAATTATATTTAAAGATTTGTTTTGTAATTGGTGGCTCATTCCACTGTGGCAATAAAGCAGGCAATAGTCCCAAGAAAAGTGAGTGAGTGTTTCATAGTAGTGTTGGTTTTTTTGCAATAAAAATGTGAGCGTAAAACTTATCAAGGCCGACCATCCATGCATGTTTCAAAGAAAACTTCAGACAGCAGTCTGGCTGAACAGCATCTTGCAAAAGCCATGAAATCTCTTACCATTTTACGTGCTGTTTCTTTACTCAGTGCAGAAACGGATCTGTTTTCATGCCCAGTCTGTGCTGCATTAACTGTAACTGTAAATGTGTTAAAATTAAGCTTTAAATATTATATCGAAATTGTTGTTTCAAAAAAATATCAACACTAATACGTTGCTCTTCTGACCCGTTTTTCTACTCCTGCAGGTACGAAAGACCCCAACGCCAACTACAATCAACACAACTCCAGAAGCAGCGGAGATCAGCACAATCAGAGATATTGAGTCTAGAGGACCTGAAGAAGAGTTAAAGTCAATCATGTAAGTGAAAATATAGCAAACTACTGAGATCATCTTAGTAAACAATCATATATTTCAGCACTTACATACCTTCACACGGTTGGCAGAGTGTGTTGATGTCCAGATGTGTGGTCTGGTTGCTGATGGTGTTGTTGATCACACAGCTGTAGGTGTTTTTATCCTGATATTCCACCTCCAGAGGTAGAGAGAGACTGATGCTGAGATCAGACACACTGATGCTGGACAATACACTGTTTCCTTTGTACCAGGAGAGACTCACAGCGCTCACATTCACCACTGAACACAACACTGAACAATACTGCTGAGATGAAGAGTTTTGAGAGGAGTTGAAGATGAGGACAGGAACAGGCAGACGAGCTGGTAAATGTCAAAGAAAAAAAAAAACAGAAGTCTAGGTTAATCTGGTCATCTCAAGCTAAAGTATCTCTTAAGCCCGGCTCACACTTTAATTTTTATTTAATCATAAATGATTGTAGCATGTCGGACTGCATGAACATGGCTCACATGTCACACTGTAAAATCTCAGCAGTGAGCTCTTACCATGAAACATATTTTGTTGGAATGTGGAAGTTTGAATTCGACAACATTTTCATAAGGAGAGTACTTTTTTAAAAAGTACCACCAGGAAGAATTTTAAATTATTCATCAAAAATTGAACTGAAAAATCATATTTAACTTTGAATATATTTTTGTGTGAATTTTATTTATTTATATTTTATATGTTTGTCTAAATAACTTTTTATTGTAATACAATTTTCTTTTATCATGTAATATTTTATGTATATCCATTTTGCCATGAAATAACCTTAAGTTGCTGATGTGGCAATAAATAAATAAATAAATAATAAATAAATAAATCTCAGCGGTTATAATGTCAGACTGAGTTACAACAATGATGCGCCAAACATGGAAAAAAATGCCACAGCCATATCACCCTGCAGCCCAAGAGTGGTTAGTCACTGAAGCTAAGCAGAGCTGAGCCTGGTCAGTACGATGGGAGACCATATGGGAAAACTAGACTGCTTTTGTAAGTGAGGCCAGCAGGGGGTGCTCAACCTGCGGTCTGCGTGAGACCTAATGCCCCTGTGAAGTGAAGGGGACACTATCCTGCCAGTTAGCGATGTCTTTAGATGAGATGTGAAGTCAGGGTTCTGACTCTCTGCAGTTATTAATAATCACATGGTACTTCTCGTGAAGTGTCCTGGCCAAATTCCCTCAATCAACCCTTACCCATCATGGCCTCCCAATCATCCCCATCCACTGAATTGGCTCTATCGATCCACTCCACCTATAGCTGGTCTGTGATGAGAACACTGACGCACTTGTCCTGTGGCTGCCGTTGCATCATCCAAGTGAATGCTGCACACTAGTGGAGGAGTGGAGAGACCCCCCCCCCCCCCCCTCATGATTGTGAAGTGCTTTGAGTGTATGGCTATACACGATAAATGCGCTATATAAATACACATTACATGGAACTCACCCTGAGCTTGACATCATTCATCTGTGACTTTTTTAATAACCTGAAATTATTATTCACCGCCAGTGTGAACGATCTGTAGTGGCAATTTTGCACTTAGCGTGCCTCAATAATAAAACCAGAAAGAAAAAAAAGAAAAACATTTCCCCGCAGTGGTTTAAAGTTGTTGTGCTGATTGCCTCATTAGCTTTTTTTTTTTTTTTAGACTGTGTGAAAACTTCTGAATCTACCAGAAGTTAATCAAAGGGAAGATCTGACCACAATGGCCATTAAGCTGCTGTTTGTGAACATGTCAAACTAACCATCAAAGACTACAGATTTCCGCAGAGGACATTGGGCATGTTTTAGATTTCCTAAATTTGTCTTAGACAACCAATTCATGGCTTAAATCCACAGTGTGAGCAGGGCTTTACATTGAGATAAAATTGGAGTCAATGAGACCAATCTCCAATATTGATACAATAAGAATAAGATACGTAAAAAGTATGAGCTGTAAGGTTACTTTCACTTTCAGTTCTATATTTTCTGGGTCTTTACTAAACGGAGCCACTATAATCACATATGAACCGACTATACTGTGTATTTATGACTTTAAATGCTTGGTTTTTGATGCACTTTGCATCTACAGTATGTAGGTTCACAGAATAAGTGGTATGAAAAAAAGTCACAAAATGTCACCATTTAGCCAAATCATTATAGGACACTGGGTTAGAAAGTTTCCAAAACTAAGGTTTGTGGATTTCTCCTGATCAGCAGGGGTGAGAATTTACCAATTTACCAACAATGACTCAAAGAAGGTGAAAACTACAAATAAGCGACAGAATTTGATGAACAAAGATAACCAAGACCAACAAAGGGTGAAGCGGCAAAACCTTTACGCACCCTCAAATGTCAAAGCTAGACCATGGAATGTTGATCTGATGCCAAATACCACAAAACACCCAATATAAGTCCATATTTCGGTTAGCTTTGGTCGAATTTTGAGAACCAACAGCATATTAGGCAGGTGGTCATAATGTTTTGGCTCATCTGTGTTTATGAAAACATTTTAAAACCATAAATGCTGCAGATAGAGCTCAACTTGTACTAAAATATATAATGAATATTAATATACCAAGAAGTGATAGCTCCTCACCATAGATGGAAACGCTGAACATTTTCGTAGTCAGTTTTTCACCACTTATCTCCAGCTTATAATCTCCAGCATGTTCAGATCTGATGTCTGTGATGGTCAGAGATCCAGTCCTTCTGTCCAGCTTCAGTCTGTCTCTGAATCTCCCATCAGGACCATCCACTGTGGAGTAGATTTGCCTGTTTATTTTCAGTCGAGCAATGAAAGCTGGATCGGTTCCAAATTTCCACAGTATGTCATTGTCTTTACGTATTTCAGCAGCAATGTGTAAAGTGACAGAGTCTCCCTCTGTTACTGAGACTGACAGATCAGACCCACCTGATGGGGAGATTTTACAAAGATTGAGGCTTATAATGAAATATATTAACTTTATATACATAGTAAAGTTTGTATGTTTTTAAGCTAGTTGATTTCAGCTTGAACATTTAAATTCACCACATATTTTCAGCCATAACATTATACTTTTGTTAGCCAGGAAGACATGGCTACTTCTGAAGTAACAACATGTTTAAACAACTAAGAATGCTCTACTTGTTTAACACTTTCATTATCATTTAAACGTGTGCGATTTAATGTTTCCAATATTAAGCCAATATTAAAATATATGTAACTTACCAGTCAAACAGCACCAGCTCAAAATTAAAACAAGCATGTAAAACATTGTTCTCAGCCGTTCAGAGAAAGAGATCTCATAATACTGTGTCTGGGGTCTGCAAACTATTACCAAGTTCTAGTGGTTGAAATGCTTACGTGCTATGACTTGTGGTTATATAGATATAGCTTTTGTTAACGCTTGATAGTGGAAAATGTTATCGCAGAAATATTACCGCTTACTGACTTTGAAATGGTGTTCAAATTTGCTTCAGTAAGTTAAATATTAATCATTGTGCATGTGAAAAGTTGTGGTAACAAGTTTATAATTTCTGCAATCCCATGTTGTAACACTAGCAGACATACATCTGAGTCAAACTGCAACCCGCTGTGGTCTTTTCTTCTTTTTTCTTTTTAAAGATGTGGTTTTAACAGAGGAGATGTGTGTAGGTGGAAATGGGTGTGTATTGTAAGTAGGTGAAAAGTTTCTTATCTGATTAGATATCAGCTTCAAAGTCGAATAAAATTCAATTAAAAATACAGAGTCTATCGACAACAGTCAAATTGGACTAAAAGATCTGAATGGGTTGCACTGTTTCTGTTTAAGCGAGTGTGTTAGTGTGTGCAAAGGCCAGCTGTATTTCCTCTGTTAGTTTTACTTTCGATGGATTGAGAGATTTTACAAGCTGAAGCTTTTTGCGGTCTCAAGTTTTGACACCTGCTGAATCTTTGCTTGATTGACATGGTTAGAAAAAAAAATCACTTGCACATCGGACAGGGTGCTAGCATATAATGCAACTGCGCTGCATGCATCCCGTGTTTAAGTCCCGGAAAAAAATCCGGAATTGTGACTTGATATGTTTTATTATTGTTCATTGTCTTTATGGCCAAAACCTCGGCCATATCACCCTGCAGCCCAAGACCCGGTTATTCGCTGAAGCTAAGCAGGGCTGAGCCTGGTCAATACCTTGATGGGAGACCACATGGGAAAACTAGGTTGCTGTTGGAAGTGGTGTTAGTGAGGCCAGCAGGGGGCACTCAACATGTGGTCTGTCTGAGTCCCAATGCCCCAGTATAGTGAAGGGGACACTATACTGCCAGTGAGCGATCTCTTTCGGATGAGGTCCTGACTCTCATTGTCATTAAAATCCCATGTCACTTCTCGTGAAGAGTAGGTGTGTAAACTTGATGTCCTGGCCAAATTTCCTCCATCTGCCCTAACCGATCATGGCCTACTAATCATTCCCATCCACTAAATTGACTATATCACTGTCTCTCCATTCCCTCTGTAGCTGGTGTGTGGTGAGCGCATTGGCGCCCTTGTCCTGTGGCTGCCAACCCATCAACCAAGTGGATCCTACACACTGGTGGTTTGATTGTGAAGTGCCTTGGGTGTACATGGTAAATGCACTATATAAATACAAATTATATTACATTACTTTTTTATTTACAAAGAGTTAATTCGGGTGTCAGACAAAAAGAACAGAGCCTTAAAAACCCAAATGACAGTAGACAATCAGGAACACTAACCACTCAATTAAATCTCTTGATGTCTCATCTCTAAAATGAGGGTTATTATAATTACTCAATTCGCTTAACTGTTTCTTTGTTGAAGTTGTTTCAGAGCAATTCCTGAAAACGACCTCTAGGTGACACTGTAGTGACTGGTTTCGAATCGTTCACGTGGTGGGGGTGGACAAAAGTGAAGAATGGGGGTGGGGTAATTGAACTCACAAATGAAAGCGAAGAGCTGTGGGGTGGGGGTGTGTTTGGGATGAGATTGGACTTGCCGATAAAAGTGCGAAAGTGAAGAGCTGGGGGGTGGGTGGGTGGTTGTTGAAGGTATTACGAGTGGGGTGATAGGGTGACAATATCCCCTTTCACACAGTGGTACCGGTAAATATCTGGAAAATTTACGGAACGACTTTACTGGTAAATTTCAAAAAGCTCTGTTCACACAGGCGAGGATGTTACGGAATTTTTCCGGAAAAGACCGTTCACACATCCATTCCAAAATACCGTTAAATTCTGACATCATTAAACAGAAATGAGCTCTAAACGGCTGCGCTTGTATTTGTAAACATTTGACGACATTACAAACTCTATGGATGGATCAGTATTGTGAACGACTTTGATGAAAACATAGAGGAACAATTTCGCATGTCGAGATGTACATGATATATGTGTGTGCTTGCGCTCACCGGCTGCTTCACAGGCACTCGCAAAGTAACTGAAGGAGGCAGAGCTTGAAAGTAAACAGACAACGGCTTATCATCTTATCTTATCGATAATTATTTACAGAGTTGGCATTAAGAAGGAACATAGAAACGTTATCTTTAATTTCATAAATCGCGTGGACGTGAATGTGTCTGACTGTTCTGATTGGCTAAGGTAGACGTCTTACGTCAGCGTGTTCTAGACGTGCACGCACTCTTTCCGGCAATCTTCCTTCTGCATTCACACATCGCAGCATTCCGGCAAATTACTGGTAAACTTCTCTTTTTCGAAAAATAGCCAGAACGAATTGTGTCTAGATTGGTGTCTGATTGTGGCCACCCCCTGGCTTCACCCCTGCCCACCACTATCCAAAACAAACAAACCAGGCTGAAACAAGGAACTAGAAACATGCTCAGAAATGTACAAGAAATACAAGACTTCACAATGATAGTGACAGTGAGTGACTGTCTTGAAAAGAGAGCAGGATTGTGAACAGGTGCGCAGTGATAACAGGAGAGTGTCATTAGGTGTGAAGAGCAAAACATGATGGTAAGTGTAGTCTGATGGTAAGAGTAGATGGTAAGGTGAGTCGCAAAGGTGATGTGTGAAGTGTCCTCTAGTGTGTCTCATGGGTTGATTTTGAAAGATTTGTGATTTTGGTTTGTATTTAATATGCTAGTCTTCTTACGTCTTAATAGCAACTAATAAGTTAAGCGGTCTTGAGGAATTGGTATGTGAATGGTAAGAGAGGGCTGTTATAGAAGTGGAGGGATTTGATATGCTAGTCTCCTCGCGTCTTAATAGCAACTAATTAGTTAAGCAGTCTTGAGGATACGAATGGTACGCGAATGGTTAGAGAGGGCTGTTATAGTAGTCGTGGTGGGGCGGGTGGGGGTGGTTTGGTGGCCTTTGCATTTAGAACTTTGTCAAATGTGTGTGTTTTTCTATTTACACTCAGACAAAGCCATCTGTATTCTCTCCAAGTGAGTGCAGAATTTACTTTACATCAGTACGGCCTGGACTTTATCTGTTCACTTTATTATTCATTTTAGAATTTGTAGTTTCAACTATCTACCAAGAGGTGCTAATGGGGAAAAGATGCCATCTTATCACTATATGCTCTTTAGTGTAATGTAAACATGTTTCAGTTCATTAGGGAATCCTTAAAGAATAATACAAAATAATAATAAAAAATAATACAAATAAACCTAAAAATATATTTCGAAGAATGAAATTATTACATAGAGTCTAAAACCAACAAACCAGGCAGATCTTAGCAGATTTAAGCTGGAAGTAGCTAAAACTGATCTGGCCATTTTTTTGCACATTCACCAAGTGGATCTCCAATTTTAAATCTCAGATAAGATGTTTTTGTTTAGCATAGCTGTCACGGTTTATGGATCTGTGTGTTCCTCCTGTATGTTATGTATCTTGCCTTGTGTGTTGTCATGTGTGAGGGTGTGTGTCTGTTTACCTTTTGTGTTGACAGCGTGCTAAAGGATCAGCTGATGTCATCAGCTGACTTAATCATCTTCCAGCTGGTCCGTATTGTTCTGGTTATCAGTCCGTTGTTTGTCTTGTTTCTGTCTGTTGTTTTCCAGAATCCTTCGTTGTTCATTGAAGTCTTCATTGTGACCCGTGGCTCTCTTGTTTTGAAAATAATGTAATAATTTTATTTTTCAGTTGTTTTATTTATTTATTTTTTTTATTTGTGTTTATGGTGTCACCTATTCTCTCTAATCGAATCATTTAAAATGATCATCAAAAAGACAAAATGCAGTAACACGAAACTTTCCTCTGTCACAAAGTTGTAATTACAACACAAAAACGTAAAAGTAAATTTGCTAGTGCACACAAAATCAACAAATTTATTGAAATTTACACTTTGTTTTCAGTTAATGTTTCAGTGATTTTGCTTTTCAAAGCTAGAAATATCTTGATCAACTATGTTTTTTTTTTATGGTGTCATAAATTATTACATTTAAAAGAATTAAAAATGTTACTGATTTAAAAGTTTTAATTGGTTGTTTCTGTGTTCTCTCCAAAACATTGCTTTCATTTTACTCGCTATGGAAGTTTTAGTCTTAAACTTAGCCTTATTTTTAAGCCCTGCCACAGTAAGTCTGTGGGAGTTAACTTCTATTAATCGTGAAATCCATAAAATGTATGGCCTATATTTATTATTATTAAATTATCATTATTATTATTATTATTACAATCGGCTCAAAGCTAAAACCCTTTCCATATTAATTTTTAATGCACATCATCGCTCCACCTTCCATGGCAAAGCTTTCACATCACTTGAACTGTCAACTGCGTCTCTAAGCAGAAGAACGACTTTTATGGATCACCATCTTCATCTAGGAGGAATAAAGTGGTGACAATGAAGTTGTCGTTTACTGTGCTTGTGATGGTCTTGTTTTTTATCGACAATGGTAAGAGCGACATTTTTCCTAAGTTTACATTATTTCTGTTTCTTTTAAAATTCATACGGTTCATATTAATTTAAATTTATTTAAATTAATTACATGATTAATTAATTACCTGTCATCATCATAAGTGTTAACAATATCACTAAACTGATCAACAGCAATGTTCCTTAATTGAAATGCAAGAAATTATAACGTGAAACCCACACGTAAAGACCCACAACAAAATTTACTATAGTAGTTGTGTTATACTGTATTATAGTATTTACAACAATTGGTTAATGCTACAGCGTACTGTAGGTTTAATAACCATAGTAAACTACTAGGCCTATAGTTTATTGTAGTAAAAACTCAGTAGTTTTGTGTGATTTGTTGTATTATCATATATTTAATAATCACAACAGACAATTTCAAGTACTTTATTATAGTATGATTCAAAAATACTGTAGTATTTTTTATAAGATATCATATGGGGGCTTTATTTTTGTAGGACAGTAAGACAACAACAACAAAAATGCTAGCCTACATAGTGTTAACATGTCTACATTCATATCGATGCAGGATTTTTGAGTAAAACATGAAGAAAGCCTTTGGGATAATGGAATTCAAACTACCTCAGCATTTGGGTTTGTCCGTATTTTACCAAAGATTTATTAGAAATGTTCATTAATAATAATATAAAGGGGCTGAAACATGAATCAAATTGTGAATTGTATTTGCTTGATTTTTGGTAACACTTCGTTTTATTTGTCCATTTGAGTATCACTGCTTCATATCTGTAGATCCTGCTCCTTCAGCAGACATTTAACTGACTATAAGAAACTTTGCAAGTACATGTCTACTTGCACTAACCCTAACCTCAACCCTAACAGTCTACTTGTAATCTAATCGGTAACTTTTCCTCTTGGCAGGTGTTTTTGGTACAGATGAAGTGTCAGTGTCAGTGATGGAGGGAGATTCGGTCACTCTACACACTGATGCTAAAATAAACCAAGGGGAAAATATCACATGGTATTTTAACGACACTCTCATCGCACAAATCAATGGAGATCTCAGTGAAAGCTGCACTGTTGATCACTGTAATGCAGTTACTCTGATAATCAAAAGCAGACTGAAACTGCACTGTAGAACTGGATCTCTGACCATCACAAACATCCACAGCACAGATGCTGGAGTTTATAAAGTGAAGATCTCAAACAACACCAGAGAAAATGACAAGAACTTCATTATTGCTGTCGATAGTGAGTTCATTCGCTTATAAAATTTATCTTTTTATTAACTGTATATTATATCAAATATCCTAGTTTGCATCATCAAACAGTTCCTGTGAATTTATAGCAAAGCCAGTTTCATTGTATAGTAACCACAGATGGTTTTAAATAATTAATTCCATTGATAATGAACTGTAGATGAGAACAGATGGAGATCACATAATGTCAGTGCAGCTCATTGTTGCGTGTTTAGAGTTTTCAAATGGACTTCTTTGTGTTTCAGATCCTATTAAAGAAGACATTATTAAAAATTAAGGAGAAGATGTCACTTTAGATCCTTGTGAAATGAGAAAAGCAAATTATTCGATGACGTGGTATTTTTGTGGTGACATTCTCATCACTGGAGATCCCAGTAAAACCTGTATAGATGTTCAGTGTGAAGAGCAATTCAGAGACAAGCTGAAAGTGGATCATCAGAATGGATCTCTGACCATCAGAAACATCAACACCGGAGACTCTGAAGTTTGTAAACTTAAGATCGTCATCAGTGACCGATACGTCAGCATCATCAGGCGGAAGAGATTTAATGTTATTGTCAATTCTGAGCAGAAGGGGAACCAACAGCAAAGTAAGGCTAAATCACGCACTTCAACTTGATACATTTAACCTTTTCACTGCTAAGTTTAGAATATCTGGAACACCAGTGGAGTTTGAAGATTTAGAACATTATACACTGTATTCCATTTTGTTTCCATGCCGACACATCAAGCTTCATTTAGGAAGAGTAGCTGATTTGAAAGTTTGGTTTGGATGGCATTCTAAATTCTGAACTTTCTAACTATCACATGTGCAACGTAACTGCTCAAAATGTAAAATAGATTTCTGAAATTATGATCATCAACCATTAAGTAGTTTGAATCAAAATATCACCTGTGACAACTTGCACTCCTTCCATTTTACACAGTTTAATCACTGTAAATTAATGTATTAAAGCCCAAAAGCAAATATTTTATAATTTGTTATTATTATATACTATGTCAAAAGTAAAAATGAGTAAAACATAGAAAATATTTTTGTTTATCAAGGCTGCATTTATTTGATTAAAAATGCTGTTAACATGTAAAATTTTTATATTATTATAATTAAAAATAATGTTTTTCTTACTGAATGTAGTTTAAAATTTCATTCATTCTTTCCTGTGGTTCAGATCTGAATTGACAGCATAATTAATTTAGTCTTCAGTGTCACATAATCCTTATAATGATTTAAATATGCAGGTTTGGTGCTCTATTTTGATCATTATCATTGGTGTTCATTCAAGAATAATGATTATTACTATTATCAATGTTGAAATCTTTTTTCCCTGCTTCATAGTGTCGTTGGAACTGTAATAGAAACTCATGTTAGGGTTCTTTGTTGATTTATAAAGTTCATAATAAGATCATTTATACTTTTACATTTTAAACACATCTTCACCTTGGAATTATATCTGAATGATTTTAAAATATTGAGCTTCAAAGTTTTTGCATTCCATAGCAAACAGTATCTCTGTAACATTTGTTTTAATAAAAAGTCTTAATGTAAACAACTTATATAAAAAAACATTCCATAATGTAAATAAGTTGTCATAAGTATATGTCAATAACTCAATTTTGACAAACATGTCAGATAGAACCTTATAATTCTAAGGTGACGATATTTACTTTCAGTTTTGACCAAATTAATATGTCCTTGAATAAGAGTAAAAACAGTAAATAATATTGGTAAATTAACAATTGTCAGTATTTTGTGATTCATGTATTATTATTATTAATATTATTATTATTATTATTATTATTATTATTATTATTATATTAGACTTTTATTGACATTTTTTATATTTTTAAATGACATAGTCCTATTGTCTGTATTGTTTATGTAAATAACGGTACAAAATCATGGAGAAAAAAAACCAGCCAGCTCTTTTTCTGTTATTTTACAGACCTAATTATAAATATATTATTTATTATACATTGTTTCAGACTACTAAGATTTTGGTATAATTGTCACATTTGTTAAACGACACAGTTGAGTTTTCATCATCAAAAGATCAGAAAACACCTGTTAATCACAAAATTACATCGTTATGTTAATTAACGTTTATTTTTATAACGTAAATGCCGATTAAAATATTAGAATCATTTTTGAGGGATCATGAAGTAATTAACCCTTAGCTTATCATGACAGCCTAATGCATTGATTTTTTTCGAAAATAATGACCTAAGAATGAACATTTTTAAAATGCATTAAATGACTAAATCATGTAGACTTGTCAACATGTTGCTTCTGTGTCATGAGTGAAAGATATTGTTGATGAATGACTCTTTTGCTCTTCCACTTGTAGGTGCTGCAGTGGAGATTTGCAACGGTGTTTTTCTGACGCTGCTGCTGGCGGCCGCTACAGCGGCTGCTGTCATGATTTACCGGAGACTCCACCGGAAACTCAGAGGAACGCCGTGGCATGTAAGCACAAACAGCTGATTTAACAAGATATAGGCTATGAGAAATAATGTACAAAACTATGTGACAGAAAAGTAATATGCTATATTGTAGGCTGTAGTATTACTATAAATTTATGGAGGTGTAACAATGGCAAAACAAACAATTATGAAGCATCAATGCTTGCAAAGGTTAATGTGAGATTATTATTATTATTTTTTATTTGTTAAACTGTGAGGACATCTACTGGTCATAATCATGATTGGCACGTGCCCAACTATTAAGTTCTGTGTTGGTTTCACTTTGGGTTTTGCACCTGCCAAACTAACATATAACGTTGCCTTATCGTTACTTTTTAATGACGATTGATTCGGTTGTCTAAAAAAAGTCACAATAGCGTTAATCAGATGTTAAAATAACGTTATGTAAACCATACATTAACATTGTATTTCATAAAGAAAACATTCCTGGCTAATCAAAAATTTACGTCATAAAAATGCTCTTGGATCCTCTTGGTCTAGCTTTCCAGAAGATATTGGCAACCAAGAATTGTTATTTGGACAGTTATTTTATGATTTGTATTTCATTTTATTTTTTGAAGCAAATATAGACACATTGCTCAATTAACAAGTGCAGTATTGTGCACAAACACTTGGGGGCTTGACATTAACTTTTTTTGATCACCAGCCACTACGGCTAGTAGTTTTCCAGAGTCTTGTTTATCAGTCCTCATCATTTATTTAGCCTTTTGTGAATTTTCTTACAGGAAAACGATGCTGATAATCCTAATAGCATTCCTTTGAGGGAGTTCAGAGTTTTATAAATCAGACTGAGACTGAAAGAGAGACTGAAGACAATAAGAAACATGAAGAAACTGATGAAAATGAGTTGATTCTCTTATAAAGGTTGAATGAGATCCATAGTGGATCAATTCTGGAGTGTAAAGGTGAACAAGCTTCAGCTCACAAAGCATGAACGAGAATCAATGAAGAACCCCTGACCCCCACACAACTGTTCATCATTTTTATTATTGACTTGTGTTGATTGAATTTGAATTAATTTATGTTTTTCTTTAATTATTCTACATTTATATATTTGTTTTTTAAGAAGCAAACAAATAAAAATAAACTTGACCAATGAGAACAGTGAATGCTTTTTTATTTATTTTGTGTAGTTTGAGTGTTAATCTTCTTGTTATTTGCAGTATAAAACATAGTCCAACTTTATATTAAGTGTCATTAACTACTATGTACTTGCATCAAAAGGTAAATACAATGTACTTACTGTGTTTATAATGTATTTGAGAACACTTGTGGTACTTTTGAGTTGCGATATAGGTTGGGTTATGGACAGGTTTGGTGGTATGGGTAGGTTTAAGGCTGGGTTAAGGTGTAAGGGATGGTCAACAGTGTATTTACAAATGCAATTACAAAAGTTAATTACAGATGTAATTACATACATGTATATAATCAAGCATAAGTACACAGTAAATACATGTATTTACAAAATAAGTACATTGTAACAAACTATTAATTCCTGTGTGAGTATACATATTAGTTAAGGCTACTTAATATAAAGTGTGTGGGACCTAAAACGTAAACATTCAAAAGGAGTGTGTTAAATATTTAGGAATTGTTCATATTAAAAAAACTTATTAGTGAGGTAATAAGTTGGTTAACTTAAGTTTGTTACCAAAATTAAGGAATCAAAAAGGATTTTTGACAACTGGTTAAGAAGAGATCTTTATTAGCAAAAGTAGGGGGTTTATCCAGATTAATTTTCCCTGGCTTGCCTTTATTTGTTCATGGTGCTGCTGTTCATGGTTTCTATTTTAAGACCCAGCACAACTTCCCAACCACTTGCATTTCAAGGCATAACCGACTGAACATTCCACTGCATGTGTGAACATGAAGTGAATTAAATGTGGAGTATCGCAGGACCACAGTGCTAAATGAATAAACATAATCATAAATATGAACAAAACACTGGACAAAACAGCGGTTTTAAACCTGCACAAAACTAACATACTGAAGCAGTAATCTAATTATGCTAACAACGAACTACTTAAATATGCACATAAACTAAGACACACTACACAAATACTTTTACATAAGACACAAATAAAAACACACATTTTTAAGTTATAAGTGTCTGATATTGGTGAGCCTGTGAAATTAAACAGTATTTATTTTGTCTGCCAGAAAATTGATGACAGCAGACCACAGTGTGTTTCTTCTCTCCTGTCTGTTTTCTTGCTTTCTCATTACCTCTGTTATTATTGCCTTTGGTATTTGTATTGATTGATTTATTTACTTTATTTCACTTGCAGTTTATAAGTACAGTTGAAGTAAGAATTATTAGCCCCCCTCTGATTTTTTTTTCCTTTTTAAATATTTCCCAAATGATGTTTAACAGAGCAAGTAAAGTTTCACAGTATGTCTGATAATATTTATTCCTCTGGAGAAAGTCTTGTTTGTTTTATTTTGGCTAGAATAAAAGCAGTTTTTAATTTTTTAAACACCATTATAAGGTCAAAATTATTAGCCCCCTTTAAGATATATTTTTTATTTCATTAGTCTACAGAACAAACCATTGTTATACAATAACTTGCCTAATTACCCTAACCTGCCTAGTTAACCTAATTAACCTTTAAACCTTTAAATGTGGGTACTTCATTTCTATTTTTAAATGTCACTTTAAGCTGTATAGAAGTGTCTTGAAAAATATCTAGTCAAATATTATTTACTGTCATCATGGCAAAGATCAAATAAATCAGTTATTAGAGATGAGTTCTTAAAACTATTATGTTAGATATGTGTTGAAAAAAATCTTCTCTCCGTTAAACAGAAATTAGGGGAAAAAATAAACAGGGGGGCTAATAATTCTGACTTCAACTGTATATATATGTGCCTATTAATATTATTTTTTAATTAGGGATGTTCGATAAACAGTTTTTGACTAGGGTAATTCATCATTGACAATCATTCTATTATCAATCAGCTCATAACCAAACCCCTATAAATAGTCAAACACTTCATACTTCTGTTTTCTCTTGACTTCAGCATCCTTCAACCACTCCAACTCCACACTTTTAAACCTGATACCTACTTAAATCTGCAGGGGGAGCATTCTGCTCAGACCCTATTATATCCTGATAAGGGGAATAACATGATTTATGGTGTCTTCACAAACTCAGAGCCCTCTTCCAGGACAGCACACCTGCATATTCAGTCAAATATCTGTTAGTGTGAACTCGTGAAGAACTTTTTTGTTTTGCTTTGGGTTGGTTTCTATTTATGATGTCATCTGCTAATATTGTTTTATTGAATCAATCAAGAATATCATTATAAAGACAGTACAATGAGCTGTGACTTTCCTCTTTCAGAGTAATGGTGTCACAGTTACAAGACTGCGATAGTCATTTTGTCTGAAAATTTCATCAAAGACTAATTTATATATATCAAAGAGTAGCATAACTGAAGTTTTCTGTTAACATAATAACAGTCAAATTCAAATTCTTTCAATAAATGCACTGCAGAAGTCATGCATTTGCACATGCCATGCATTTGTAAGTGCAAACATGTATAGACAAGCAAGACCTGTGAGGTTTCGCATATTCATTAAACCACACCTTTTCTCAGGTTAGTTTCACTTGTCTTGAACTTTATAGTGGAAACAACTGTCACTGAGCTGAGGTATTCGTCTTTATTTCTCTAGTGCTTTTACACTGTGGATTGTGTCAAAGCTGCTTAACATAGAAGTTCTAGTAAATTGAAATTACCTCAGTCCAGATTGGTGGATCAGCATCTGTTTCTTTATGAGGAAAAGCAGTAAAAATGAAGTTTGTCTTCAGTGTGCTTGCAGTGTTGTTGTGTTTTCTCAACAATGGTAAGAGCTTAATGATTACTTTTTTCTAAATGAACATGATTTTTGTGCTTCCAAAGCAAACCACTGTCTTAAAAATCATTGGGTGACGGAATTTGGTTTAAAGCTAAACCGTAACAAATGTACATTAAAAAAGTTACGAGAACTTATGATTTTACGTTACTTTAACTTAATTGTAAAAAGTTAATCCGGTTTGTTATTGGGCAAAACTTTTATAACACAAGCCGAAACTTGATTAACTTTCTAAATGCAGTTTGTGCAGTTTTTACACGGACAGACTGCGACAAGCATCAGCTTGCTCTGGTGGTGCAAACTGCGTTTGGGGGTATAAAACAAATTGCTGGCATACTCTATTACTCCAGTGAACAGTGTGTTTTATTTACAGTGCTGGCAGGTGAAAACCTAATATATACAAGTGTACAAAAACAAAAATCCAAAGTGCCAAAGAAACGACCAAACAGGAAATAAAGATCAAATATATATATATATATATATATATATATATATATATATATATATATATATATATATATATATATATACACACACACAACAGTTCTGTCTGGTTCTCAAATCTGATCGGCTGATAGCCGTGCGATATTCTGCAGTATCACAACTCCTACAGCCTCCTTACCCTATGTGTATTACTCCGCCCACATACAGCAAGCAAAAAGCAGACACTACAGATCTAAAGTTTAAAAGATGCTTGCTCAACTGTTTAACTGTCAGCTTATGATTTGAATCCGGAAGAAAGTAGTTCCTCATAAAGGGTTTTTAAGACTCTTCATGTTTGATTTTGTTTTTATATACACAACTATGTCGTCAAACTGTTGTATAAACGCAATATCACACTCCTAGCAGTGCGATATGGCTGTATATCGGCACTGGTGGGGGGCACTAAGGCATTCGGCCTGCGGGCTCGTGCCAACGCACGCCTCCCACCAGTGCCGATATACAGCCATATTGCACTGCTAGGAGTGTGATATTACTCGTGTATATACAGTATACATATATATGTATATATATATATATATATATATATATATATATATATATATATATATATATATATATATATATATATATATATATATATATATATATATATATATGTATATGTACAAGATTAAAACTCCTGATGTGTTCACATCCTACCCCTTTAGTGTACCTGGTCAAAATTAGTGTACCTCTTATATTTGCACAAAAATCATTTTTTACCATTCAACATTCTTTAGCTGTGAACGATGTCTCAAAGTGTTTAACATGAATTTTCAGTCCTTCAATTGTACTATATTAATGTATTAATATAGGGAGTAGTGACTGAGGGTATATACGGTGGGATGGACACAGAACTAGCACTAGTTATACTTTGGCTAGATTCAGAAATTCAGATTCTGCTGAATTTATTATTCAGAAATTCAGAAAGAAAGAAAGAAAGAAAGAAGGAAAGAAAGAAAGAAAGAAAGAAAGAAAGAAAGAAAGAAAGAAAGAAAGAAAGGAAAAAAGAAAGAAAGAAAGAAAATAAGAAAGAAAGAAAGAAAGAAAGAAAGAAAGAAAGAAAGAGAGGAAAAAAGAAAGAAAGAAAAAAGAAAGAAAGAAAGAAAGAGAGGAAAAAAGAAAGAAAGAAAGAAAGAAAGAGAGGAAAAAAGAAAGAAAGAAAATAAGAAATAAAGAAAGAAAGAAAGAAAGAAAGAAAATAAGAAAAAAAGAGAAAAAGAAAGAGGAAAAAAGAAAGAAAGAAAGAAAGAAAATAAGAAAGAAAATAGGAAAGAAAGAAAAAAGAAAGAGAGGAAAAAAGAAAGAGAGAAAGAAAGAAAGAAAGAAAGAAAGAAAGAAAGAAAGAAAGAAAGAAAGAACACACACAGATGGGTTCACATTACAGACATGCAACCTTAATTTTCCAGTTTTCCGCCACGTTGCGTAAATAGCAAATCTATTTGCATCACTTTGTGGACTTATGGGTGTTTTGTTCTAGAAAAGAAGTGTGTTAAGGCGCATTGTTGGCATGTTGCTATTTTGAGGAACTAAAATAGACTGCTCAATAGACCAGCAGGTCTAAAGTCCAGTGCAGCGCACGTTAGTTGTCCGCCTCGCTTACACATTGCTTAAAACATGCAGGATGTACAACAATACGCAAATATCATAGATCTTACAGTCTATGGTGTTAATGAGTGATGTTCAACAGCGTTTGTTTGCTACGGGCGTTGAATTGGCATGGACGGAGGAGACATATCCACACCAATATCCACCAATTACTGAAATGTCTCTACCAAAACTGTAATCAACTTCAAAATAATAAAATAATGTTCCGTTCACCCTTAGTTACCCACACGTACAAAAAGTCAAGTTCACTACTAGTTCACCATGATACTATTAACCAAGGCTGTGCAATTAATTGAAATTGGGTTATGATTTTGGCCTACATGATTATGAGAAACTATAATCGGGATAAAAACAGTTAAATTGCATCACACACCTCTAAATTTCTCTACATCCATACCTCCTCAAAGCCTGGCTGCAGTAAAATCATGTAAATTGACTTTTGCAGCATGCGACGTGATTGTTATTTGTATTATTAAGTGTTTATTTTATGTTATTAAGTACTTTATTCATATTTTTAAAAGCACGAATTTGGGCTGTTCAATGCATCTCTGAGGATGTATGTTCCCAACAATGTCCAGAGTAAATCTACAGTACGCCCTTGTGTTTCACTATGGAATTGTTTAAGTACTTTCAGTCTCTATGATACATTATTGTGTATTTTTCTTTGGCTTATATTGATTGTCTTCTTCAGATATGACTGGTGTTTATGCAGATGCTGTCTTGGTGTCAGTGACGGTTGGAGATTCAGTCACTCTACACACTGCTGGTGTTAAAAATCTACAGCCTGCAGACGTTAAATGGTATTTTAACGACATCCGCATCGCTCAACTTGATGGAGATCTCCGTTTTAACTGTACTGATATTCAGTGTAATGACCGCACTGAGATATTCATAGACAGACTGAGGCTAGACCGTAAGACTGGAGCTCTGACCATCGTGAACATCACAAACACACACTCTGGGGTTTATCAACTGGTGGTTATTGGGGGTGGGGGAACCATCTTTAACGTTACTGTCCATGGTGAGTTATTCATGAATGTTTAAAGAATTTTTATTTTCTTTATCTGCACTCTTAAGAACGGTTACATTAATGGACCACTTCATTTAAAGGGTCACGAAACACCAAAACACATTTTTTTGAGCTGTTGACAGTCGTATATGTGTCCCACACTGCTTAAAAACACTGTTAGGACACCTATATTTCACTAAAAAGTGTTTTTAAAAAGTTGGTAGTTTTTGCGTTATATCAAGCAAATTCGTACTTCTGGTTTGAAACGAATTTTTGAAGCTGCGTCACGGTCATGACATAATAGCGTTGGACGTGACTACTAATACTAATAGCGTCTGGACGTCTGTGCCAGAGTGAGTCTTATTACGTCTTACAGTGTGATGCATTAATGCATGAATAAGGCTTGGTTCAAACCAATCAGCGCGCTCTATTGTGCAACTTCATTAATATTCATTACTGTCACAGTGTTTAGACGACAGAGACGCCACGTTGTGTTGGCAAAACAAGCGTGAAGTGTTGCTTTTATAGTTTGCTGCAGTTTCATTTTCTCTCTGTGAGAGCTCAGACTCTCGTGTGTATTAACAGTGTACGCGACGCTCGACAACAATAACTTATGTGTCTAAGGAGGATTATTGTTTACCTGAGAGCTGTTCTCATCTGCAAACGCTGAGATCCGGATTCGCTTGTAGTCTCCTCTAAATAAAGACGCGGCTCTAGTTGCTGGTGATTGTCCTGTCTCTACAGATTTGGTAAGTGAGCGACCAACGCTCTTTGTTTATTCAGTTTGTTTGTATCGAACTAAGTTAACCATTGCACTGAGTGTAAACATGTTAGCACCACAACCAAACTTTAACCTCGTGTAGGGTTTTCACCGCATTAAGTGACCGGAATAACACACGCGGCTTTCTGACGCTACCTGCCGTGTGCATCCAAGTTTCCAGGAAATGCGGAGGTTTTTTTTCTCTCGTTCGCCATGCAAAATCAAACATTGCACGAAAAATACACGCTTAGAGCAGTTCCTCGAATCAAATATCTCGTTTGTCGCGAGGGACATGAATGAATTCCCTGAATGAAAGAGCCAAACTGCAGTTAAAGTCCGCCATTTAATAATTTTGGCAAATAATTCGACTACAGATGTCCATGTAGGTTTAACACCATCACTTTCTCCTGTTTGTGTATTTTGACTCTAAAACTCGCGCTTGCCCAAATAGACACTCCCACACCATCCCACTTTTCTTCCTCCGACACTCCCCGCTAAACAGAGCTGGACACGCCCACTTTTCTGACTTTTTCCAAAGTAGAGGTGTGAAAACACCCTGCTGAAACGAGGGGGTTTCATGGCCCTTTAAACAATAATAAAGGTGTAATTTTGTTATTAAAATGTAATCTAAACTTCGAAAAATAAATGAATATTTTAAGACACCTTTAGAATCTCTACTATTAAGAGGGTGTGCATTGATTCATGTGCAGTAAATAGATTTTATTCACCAGAGATAATCTCATGATCTGTTGATTTAATTTTTTAGATGATCCTGCTACTCATTATAATAAAGTAAAGAAAAACCAGGGAGAGTCTGTCACTTTTAATCCTGGCGTAAGAAGAGACCAGATTGTTGAGCTGAAGTGTTTGCTTAATAACACTCTCATCGCTGAAATCTCTGTAAATCAGAGTCAGATCTGCGCTGATGTTCAGTGTAAAGAGAGATTCACGGACCGACTGAAACTGGACAATGAATCTGCATCTCTGACCATCACGAAAACCAGCATCAAAGACTCTGGAAATTATAAATTAGTGATTTTAATCAGCAGCGACAGACGCTTCAGCATCACCAGAGAGAAGAGATTCAGTCTTACTGTCACTTGTGAGTATTTTATTCTTTTCCTTAAACGTTCAACAGTTCATTATACTTTAACCTAAAAATAAATGTTGAGTTGGAGATAAAATCTCCAATGTGCCTTACAAATTTATGCAAGAAATGCTCATGGATGCATTTGGGACACATCATCAGTAATGTATCCTGGGATCATTGGGTGTTTCGGGTCTCTCAACATCACACACTGTCACCCAGCCGGGGTTGATCAAGTCCTGACTTGTGTCCCAGCAGCAGTCCACGGATCCACCCACTTAATCCACATCCACCTTGTGGCCTTCTCGGCGGCTTCGCTTGCGGATCGGATGGCCATTGCGTTTGTCCCTAAGCAACTGTTTTGTGAAGCCGAAGGGATTAGTGATGAAGGCCGCTCACTTCCTGGCTCTCTCTCGCCCCTGTCTCAGATATGCCACTCTGCCCTGTGTAGGATGATCAGCTTCTTTCTCAAAATGTTTTTCAACTCCGCTAATAGTTGCTTCTCCTCATCAGTAGCTTTCTTATACAGTTTCTTGAGGAAGAGAAGCTCCTGACGCAGATGATGTATCTGGGTAGCTCTATGGGTCGTAGTGTAGGAAGTAATGGTACACAGCAAATTTCTGGAGTTGAAAAATTAGGAGTTAGGCAAAAAAGTGTGAAAGAGTTAATTTTTTTGAGTTTATTTTTAAACTTTAACACAATTTTGTGTTATGGATTACCCCTTGCTGTATTGTATTCTGGAGTTCATTCTCTGGTGTTCAGAAACGTGCTTTAACTCCTTACTGGAGTTAAATTTTTTGATAAAGTCCGCCATTACACAACTCTGCCGAGCAGCACATGAGAACTGGAGTTATGTTCTTCGTTGTGAGGTAGGTAAAAGTGCATTGTTATACAATTCTAAAAGCTTTTTCTAAATGTATATATAAAAGTGTGTTTTGCTGTAGCTGTTTCATTTTGTACTGTGAGGCTAGTGACTGCATGTGGCTAACTTAGCATAGCATGTTAGCTTTTCCAATGTGGCTGTTTTGTGCAGTTTTTTAAAAAATGTTGTGGATGTGAACAAGCTATAGAGCTTTATGTCTGTAAGATTTAATATGTGTAATATTGCTCATGAAATGTTTTGGATTGTATCATGATTTAGTCGTGACCGTGAGAGTATGCTGTTTTCAGCTATATTTACATTACATTTTCAATCACACTAACATAAGTTGTTAAATAACATTTATCTTTTTTATTTCAGGCCACGATGCTGATAAAAGTGCAATTTGTAGGCAAGAAAAAATATATTAAACTGGAAGAAGATTGTTTCTTGGATTTTTTCAGTGCGGGTGAGTTTTAGCGTAACAGAGTATTTTTTTTTTTTTATTATAATAATAATAATAATAATAATAATAATAATAATAACAGTCATTTTGAAATTTATTTGATAAATTATACATTGTTGTTATGTTGTAGTCCAGCACAAGTTTGTGATACCAGAGGATACAGCATCGAAAGTCACAGATGACCATGGCATAGAGGTGGATGAGGATGTATTTCAAGAACTTGCAACAACCAAAGAAACATGTCATCCACACTAATGATGGTAGGTTATTTAAGAACATTTTTATAGATTTTGAAAGTTGGTCTCATGACTCAGAGTGAAAGTGTGCATTTCAGAACCATTTGCTGACACGTGTTGTTGTTGTTTTTTCATCAGATTTGACTGTCCTGCAGCAAGGGGCTGTTGAAGTGCCCTCCTCCCCAAGTCTGACAGATACATTGTCTTTGTCAAGCAGTTTGAGCAGCAGTGATTCTGGATCTCAAATTATTCAACCTTTAATGGGCAGTGTCCAAAAAATGTAATTTTTTTTTAAACTTCCATATACATAGATATTATACCGTAAACATTACAAAATAACGTTACAAAATGAATGCATTTTAAAGTAAAAAAATAGTATAAACACAGTTATTAGATTAAGTTTTTTTTGTTAAAAAAATATTAATTTTGGTTATCTTTCTAAATACTTTTTTTTTTCTTCGTTTCAGAAAATCGAGCAAATTCTAACTTCAAAGCCAGCAGAGTTGACTGTGATTAAGGAGTATGACAAGATATTTTTTTGCTGCTTCTGATTCCTGTGAAGTTAATTTTATATAATGTAATGTGTTGATTGTCTCATGCAATTTTACTAAGCCATTGGTTTTAGTTGGCACTAGCTGCTAACATATATTAATTGTAAATGTTTTGCTGTTAGATTTAATGCTTTGATGACAATTAATTTCAAAGTGTGTACATCGATGGAAATTCTAAATCTAATGTGTGGATTTGCATGAATAAAAGCAGTAAGTAAAGAGTATTGCATCAGTTCAGTCATTTTCATATATATATATATATATATATATATATATATATATATATATTGTTTGAAGTACACTTTAACTCTAAAAAGTGTTACATTTTAACATTGGTAAGGAGTTTATATTATACCCAAATGTAAAAGTACTCTCTGTAGGATTACAATTTTAACTCCAGAAAGTGTTATAATCTAACTCAAAAAAATGTGTTAAAATTCAACTCCAAAAGCAGAGTGATTTTAACTCTGAATGGGAGTACATTTGATGGTCACGCATGTACACTCAGATTGAGTTGATTTTGACTCCCAGGGAGTTTATTCCAAAGACCAGAATTTGCTGTGTAGTCATCGTTTTGAGTCGGCTATCTGCATCTCCTTTGGCTATGGCTTGAATGTCCATGATAGATGTGGTGGAGAAAACTTGCTCTGCATGCTTGTATTTGAATCCTGAAAAATCGCTTTAAGGACTGTCACAGTCAATCTGAATGCTTATTTTCGATAAACTGTATTATCACCAGACACAAATTATCAAGTATCATATAAATTGGCAATGAAACGCATTCTAAAACATTTTTGTTTTTGTTAAATGTTGAACACTTTTTTTTATGTTTTTATGTTTTTTTCCATTTTGAAAAATAAATGAATCTTTTATGAACACAGTGTAAATGAAAATACAACAAATAAAATATAAATAAGCAAAAATACACTGAACATGCACTTTTTCCATTTTGAAAAATGTAATAGTTCTTAAAGGACATGAACATACAGCTAATAATTATAATAATTGCTGTATTTTCAGGTCATTTAACAATTATCACATTTCATAACACAAATGAAAATATATTCATAATATTAATGACTGGTATTTAACTTTGAGGTTTAGACTTTGTTGATCATGCTCTTGTTTCAGGCAAGGTTTGTACTTTCTTTAAATAGCATCTATTGCTAAGAAAGTATGTTAATTGCATGAAAAAATCACATACATTTCTAGGGATGTAACGGTATCAGAATTTCACTGTACGATAATACCTCGGTATGAATGGCACGGTACAGTATTTATTGAATCATTTACAGGAAAAACAAAACTAATGAAAAGACCTGAAAAAAGTGGCAAAAGTGTTTATTTACCTTAGCACTGAACATATCAATGACATACAAATTAGCCATCTATCTGTAAGTTTTGAAACAGGAACTTCAATTTTTCAATTTTAATAACAAAAAACTATTAAAACATGTAAAAAATAATAAATGAAGTTTCAATTTAGTATTGTTGAAAGCTCATCACATTCAACACTTAATCACTCACTCACTCACTTAGATAGAGATGTTTTTTTTAGGGAAAATTATCATATAACTATAATCTGGTAAAAGCTGGGATCTCTGGGCATGTCTCCTGCAACAGAAAAAAAAAACCCTCTCATTTGGGACTGAGGTTTCTGGGACAGAGAGATATGATTTAGCCAAGGTTGACAGCAGTGGGTAACGCTGTGCATTGTCGTTCCACCACTTGAGAGGACAAGCCGTGAGTGAGATAGAGGACTCTTTGCGGTACAAGTCATTAGCCCCTTTCACATATACAGACCTTTCCGGAAAATTGCTGGCAATTTTCTGGAAAGGTTGTATGTGTGAACAGGCCCTTTTTGAAAATACCGGTAAATTCGTTCTGGCTATTTTCCGGAAAGGGAAGTTGTAACATTACCGGCAATTTGCCGGAATGCTGCGTTGTGTGAATGCAGAAGGAAGATTGCCGTAATAAGCGCGTGCACGTCTAGAACGTGCTGACGTGAGACGTCTGCTTTAGCCAATCACAACAGTCAGACGCATTCACGTCCACGCGGTTTGTGAGAATAAAAGCCTTTGAATATTTTTCCAGACACATTTAGCTGCTAGAAGTTAGTCAGATCACGTTTATATGTTCTTCTTAATGCCAACTGTGTAAATAATCATCGATGAGATGCTTATGATAAGCCGTTGTTTGTTTACCTTCAAGCTTTGCGTGTGCCTGTGAAACAGCCTGTGAGCGCCTGCACACGCACATATTATGAACATCTCGACATGCGAAAGTGATCCTGCGAAAGTTGTTCACAATATTGATCATCCACAGAGTTTGTAATTTAGTCAAATGTTTACAAACACAAGCGCAGCCGTTTAAAGCTCATTTGTGGTGAATGATGTCAGAATTTACCGGTATTTTGGAATGGATGTGTGAATGCTCTTTTCCGGAAAATTTCCATAACGTCCTCACCTGTGTGAACAGCGCTTTTTTGAATATACCGGTAAAGTCGTTCCGGAAATTTTCCAGATATTTACCGGTATCACAGTGTGAAAGGGGCTTATGTCTGCATTAATCTAACAAGTGTGCTGTGTTCTACAGTCCCCATGACTGTTATTAGTCGTATTCCCCGACTTATATTTTACCACAGTCTGGCAATGCCTACATAATGTTTTTTTCTTTGTCTGTCACCTTTTCTCCTTTTTCGTATTGTGATGGCCACACCTAGGCTGATGGAAATTGTAGTTCCCGCTACCTCCCGTTCGCTTCATTCGCCTAAGCAAACTTTTCTTAGAAATATAGTTTTATTGAGACATGCGCCTACGGTAATATTGAAAAAAAAAATGACTATTACGGTGTTTACAATATTGTTACACCCCTTTTTATTTCTATTCATCTATTTATTTATTATCCATGGGATACCATAAAAATGTATAGCTTATTATTCAATAATCTACTACATTGACTACTAATCTACTACTCTAATCTACTACATTGATCATGTCTTTTCATTGTCCTGGTGCTGAGAGTTGACTGAACTAACTAAATTTAACTGATCTGAATCCAGAAACTACACTGTAAAAAAAAAAAAAAATCCAGATTTTCACAACAAATTACTGTAATTTTTCACAGTATAGTATCACTTCACAGTATTTAACTATAAAAATTCAAAGTAATCTTTTATATTCATATGCGAAATTAAGGCATTAGTATGATTACAGCCAATTACCGGCTATATCTTTTGCAAGCTAGTTATAAGAATTCAAACACTTTTATTTTAAATCAACATAGAAATTAATACAAGCTTCTGATGACCAAAGCAGAAAAGTGTGAACGTGAATCAGAGCTGTTGTTAAATACAGAATTTAAGATCCATCACTCTCTGATAATAATCCCTGTTTCTTTTCAGCTCTTTCGCCTTCACAGCTGTCTGGAGGTGCAATAGCAGGAATAGTTGTTATGCTGTTGTTGCTGCTGTGATTTATCGTCTTCACCACAAATGATGGAGCAGCAGCACAGATTGTGAGTATTACACGCAGCTGATTTAACAAGATGTGGAGTATTCTGATCAAAATTAAACTCTAATTAGTATAAAAACGTTTACCTTGAGGTGAAAATTCTGCCATAATTTACTCACCTTTAACTTGCTCTATACAATAAACAGTTTTGTAAACAAATAAAAGAGGGAAGCAGAAATCCAAGACCTCTTTATCAAGTTTAACCATTTCTTTTACATTTTGTGAAGTTTCCCAACAGAAAGGCGGTGATGCTGGTGATCGTAGTAGCATTCTTTTGAGCGAGAGGAGAGATTCTTAAATAAGACTCAGGCTGCCAATAAAACAATGCAGCAACACATACTGAAAGAGAGACTGGAGAGGATACGCTATTAGAGAATTGTGAAGAAAGTGTGCTAAATAAGAATAGCTTTGGGTTGGAGGAGGTGTTGAAAAGGATCAGTGGAGGATCAGCTCTGCTGGAGTGAGAAGGTGAATGAGCTTCATCTTGTTGACAGGACAATTCCTCAACACAGACACCTGTGGCCTTTAATACACACTTTAATATTCCCTATAGGTGATTTAGACGAATTTGATTATGATTAAGTTGATTTTGCTTAGGTTGGCACCAGTTTGTCTCAGTATAAAGTTTGCTGGAACAATTTAAATTACATAAACATGTAATAATTTTGTGTGTGTGTGTGTTAAAATGTTTTTTGTGTGTACTTTACACTTGATTTCCATAAAAAATGTATTCTTTACAGTACAGTTTACTTCTAGCAGTGTTTAAATGTTTTTACCTTGTAGTCTGTTGGCTTATTAAGCTTGCTCCAAACACGACTTTAACCTTTGCTGTTGTCTGTCAGTATTCAGTTTTATAATTACTTTTTTTGATTAAACTCTACAGTTTAATTAAATGACGTTAATTGTCAGTTTTACTTTGTTTATAATATGTTATGGTATTGAATTATTTATCTAAAAATAAGCTTGTAAAATAACAGGAAATTAACATAGTCATTTGCACATAAGGGATATACATATATCTTATCTTCTAAAAATGTTATCAACGTGCATTTATTAAGCTCAATACAATATGAATATAGTAATGGATATACTCCCTTATTCAAGGCTTTCCTATCAACTGTATTCCAAAAAAAAAAAGATCTTTAGAATTACAGTGAGGTTTTATTAATTTGCTGAACTGTGATGACATCTACTGGTCACACTCATGAACTGCACATAAACTGTTGGTTTCACTTTCGGTTTTGCAACTGCCTGTTAGTTTATTGATACCTATTTAGATATTTATATATTTATATACATGTATGTATGTATGTATATATATATATATATATATATATATATATATATATATATATATATATAAATATTATTTTATATATATATATATATATATATATATATATATATATATATTATTTATTTTATTTATTTTTTTACAAAGTTTTTTACTTTTTGTACTGCTTAGGGCGGGGCGATTTGGCCTAAGACCAAAATCTTGATAAATTGAACATTTTAATAAACAATTATTTTATTTATGTTGTTTTTTTGGACCTGATAGTTCACTCGCAGGTATTGTACAGTAAATATGCTCATATTACAAGTGAGAGATTTCTGAATGAAGGGTGCTTGATTTTAAAATAACTGAGGAAAACACACAATGACTATCGATGTTTATTTATTAAACATCAACATTGACCAACTAAAAATAAAACACACATTGCCTAAAAACAAAGTCACTTTTTTTTTGTTTAGAAAAAAGTAAAAATAAATAACTTTTATTAAAAAAAATAAAACATAAGCAGTATCTCTTCTAAATAAAATAAGTCTTTATCCTGTAAATAGTATTTTAAGCAGTGCATTTCTGGCATCTTCTGTAAACAAATATTTTAATGTGAATGATCATTTTAATGTAATGGAAAATATGCCATCTCAAGGCATCTCTGGAACAGCTTTTAATCATCGTCCAAAGTAAGGCTCAAGAATGGATCCATCATTCAACTTGACCAGAGAGATCAGATGTGGCTGCAAAGTGTGGAAAACAGAGCAGGGTCATGACTCCATGGTAGAGAAAGTAATTGAAAAAAATGGACCTGGAAAATTTTGATCGATTGTAGGTTCTGAATGTCGATTTTGATTATTCACTCAGCCCTGATACTGCTCCAGTGACAGCTTGTATATCTTTCTTTTCCGAGAGCTGTTGCAGACCTTCAACAGAGTTTATCCATAATTTCCCCACAGTTAAAACAACATAAGCTCAAACACTGGAAGTGTAAGTTACTCACACAAAAAAGTGGTTGAATTTTGACTGATTAGAGTTTTCGCACAGTTTAATAGGTTTTTATTATTAAAAATGAGCAAACAAAGCCTTTCTGTCACAAAAGAGTTGATAGCTGTAACAAAGTTTCTTTTTGTGTGGGAAGAAGAAGACAGGGTCGGCGTTGAGGTAAGTAACAGATTTTATTTAGAATTTATAAATGTAAAAGACAGCTCACATTGTGTGGTCGTCGCTCAGCTCTCTCTCCCAACTGTTCCTCCCGTTCTCCTTAAGACGGGTGTCTCTCCGGCCCAATCACTAGAATAAACAGGTGTTGCTTATTATTTCTGATTGGCCTGCTGATTAGCCGCCGAGCTCTGAGCATGCTCTCCCCCTTTATTGGGTGTTCGACCATGCTTACCTCTCCACAATAGCCTTATCTAAATTTTGACAATTTAACAATTTCTGTTTTGCCTTTGATAGCAGTTGTGCTTTTGTTATAGTTAATTTCTCCCCAAAATGGAGAAACATATCTATCAGATATCAGCATGTTAGGCAACCATATGTATTACAACCATAAATTAAACATGGCATATATTCACATAGCATGATTTTAAAACAAAGAGGGGTAAACAAAGCTTATCAGCAAAACCACAGCAGTCATTATGCATGTTTTAGTTTTTGATATCTTCATATTTCATGGTAATATTATTACTGGGTTTGATCTTTGATTGTGAACTATGAGCACTGATGAGTTCATCATTGAGTTGTACAGTATGTAGAGCAGAAGTCAAACGGTTACACGTGAGTTGGAATGGAAAAAGCAACCACACGCTTTTTACACAGACACGCATTCATAAACCGACCAAGCAGACATTGAACTTTCACAAGCTCGTGCAGAAGCTGTTGGTCCAGCACATTAAACCACATGGCAGTACACAGACATAAACAGACAAACTGAGAAATGAGCATTCTCACACTTTTGGTGAGTATATTGCACATACGTCTCGCACTTTTGCACATTTCACATGAGCTACACTTAAGGCTTTAGACTAAAATTACAATGAGTATTATGAGTTAGGCAATTTGTTAAAAGTCAGTGTTAAACAGACAGTAATTACTTTTTTAAAGGGATAGTTCACTTAAAACTAAAAATTTAGTCATCATTTAATCACCCTTCACTTGTTCCAAACCTAGTTTGAGTTTCTTTTGTTTGTTAAGCTTAAAATATATTTTGAAAAAAACTGAAAACCTGTAAATCAATCTATAGTTACAAGTTTACAGCTTTTTTCAAAATATATTAACTTGTGTTTAACAGAGTTAAGACATTTTGTAAAGGTTTTGAACCACTTCAATCACGGTATCTTGTTTCCATTCCATATATGTTTTCAGACTAAAAAAAGAAAACTGCATTTTTTTGGGGGTTTTGTTGGCTCAAAAAAATGAAGAAAAAAAAGGTTTCGGCTCGATTTTTTTAATTTTTTTTTTTTGGTTTAGGGTAAGAAAATGGATAAACAACTTTAAAATTCATTAAACATGTATGCGGTGCTGAAACACCCTTTTTCCTCTGATTGGCCAACCAAATCTGAGCTTGTGAAATCACACTCAAAATAAGAGCCCTCTGTGAATCAGCACCCAGGCTTTTTATTATTATTATTTAGTTATCAGGCTTACATTCATTGCAAATGCATAAATGAAATAAAAAAAAGTAAATTAGCAGTATTATTAAACATTTGCCATTAAAATAAGGTCATAGTTTGCTGTTGAACGTTTTGCTGCTGTGCACCTGATGCTGAGCAGAGCATTTCCGAGCAACATCTGGTTTGCATGATTGTTTCAGAGCTACTGTAGGCCTAAATAATAATAATAATAATAATAATAACAATAATAATAATAATAAGTAATATTGTTTACTCAGTGTTTTTAATGTTTAGTTTTTTTTTTAAAGTAGTTTGCAGGACCAGAATATAACAAAGGCTATAACAAAGGGTACCATTTGTTTTTATTTTCATTTCAAGCTCAGATTTACCAATCAGAGGAAAAAGAGCGTTTCAGCACTGCATACATGTGTATGATGAATTTTAAAGTTGTTTATTTATTTTGAAAGCGGATATGGGATGGACGGTAGATAGCCTGATTCACTTGGATAAGTAAATAAATTTGTTTGTGTAAACTATCCCTTTAATCACATTTTAAAACCAAAACTCAGACTCCCAATCTGAGGTTGTTGACAGAGGCTCTTCATGAAATTCATCACACAGGCCGGTCTCATAATCAGAAAAAGATTAAAGTTTATTTTCAGGTCATGACTTGGCCATACAGCACCTGATGATTCTCTTTACTTTTCTGTAAAAAAAAAAAAACACATAATTAAACAGATTTGTTAATTTAAAATTCATCCTGATCAGCTTTAGATACATTATAAAGGGGAGATTGATATTGTAGAATTAATATATTTAAATGTTATTTTAGTTGTTGGTGCTCCATGACTCTCATGTTGATATTTTGACAAAAAAAAAACAGCTTTTATTTCTGAGAAAGGGTTTTACAAAATAACCAAAGTACTTTGATATTTTAAACAAAGATATTTTATATAAAGATATTTTGTGAAAAACACTGATCAACATTACAGAAATGGCAATGACTGTAGCGTGAAGCAATATAATGAGCATTTCTGAAGGTTACAGCAGTCAAAAATGAGTAAGAACTGAGCAAGAGGACTGTACATCAGAAAATACTTCAGGACATCGCTAGATTTCTATGGTCTTTTTAAAAGTTTGGTTTCTTAACTTTACGTTGGTTTGCATATTTTTTCAATCGGGTTTAGATCAGAACTCTGGGCTGCCATTTCATTATTTCAGTGCTTTTAGTTTTCAGGAAACTGCATTTTGCTGTGTTTAGCGTTTAATGTCTTGCAGGAAAATAGTTCAAAATAAAATATCACAAATCACTTTTTTATAACGCCATCCCATAACTGCTATTAGAAGCTTTGGTTGCTATAGAAACTGGTCAAAAGCACATTGGCTGATCCAACCTTAAAAATAAGCTGTTTGAACATAGTAAACAACACTTGAGAGATGGTTGTATTCTAATATCATTTGTGCTTTTAAAAGTGAAATTTAATTGCAAGCTTCATAATACACTATTAGGAGAAATGAAAAGAGATTGAAATTGTTTTAAAGATGGCTGCCAAAGGACTGCACATGTGCAAATACCCAGACTTGTAGTTTTTACAAAGTGCATGCAAGCAACATCAAATGCACAAACGCAGTGCACTTTACACAGACTAAACCCACATTTGTGGTGTTAGAGGCTAATGGTATATACAGTAGTTATAGTCTCACTTGCACAAACACAGATTTAGTATCTCTTCAAATGTATAAAAACTGTGAAATGCAAAGAATGTTAATTGTTGTGTTGAATTTTTTACGCTTCGTACTCATGCAGTGCAGAAAGATTTGTTTGAGCTGCACCTTGACTGTATACACGTAAATTTGGTCGACTCACTCAATTTTTTGTGTAAATAAAAAGCTTTCATTTCTCATTGAAGTTTTAAAGTTTAATGTTATATATACAGGCTCATAGCCAGCCTGGTGGAAGGGATAGTTCTTTTTTTCTCAAAAAGTGGACCTTTTTGCAGTTA